CAGAGTACTGCTAACACTTTTGAAGTTTGTTGTTTGAGACAGGAACATGTTCCAGTACCTCTGTATGGCACATGTGTGGTTGCATGTTCTTTATAAGCAAAAACAAACAAAACAACAAGCCCTGCCAAGTTCTCCTTTGGACTTTTTTAATGCTGCATGTAGCTATTTGCTCTGCTGAGGTTCTGAGAAGTTTTACAAATGACTTCAGATTTTCCTTCTCAAAGACAAATTCCTGGTGACGTGTTGCATCTGGCAGCGTAGCTCGTATGCTTTCCACTCCTGAGGAGAATTAATACCTCATAAATCTGTTGCATTGTGTGGGTATACCCATCATCCTGTTGCTTTGCAACATATATCTATTGAAGCTCTCTTAGATTGCTTTTTTAAGGGATGACTTTTATACTCCACTTGACAACCATTACCTTCTCCTCATTAAAATCTTGTCCATCCTGAGCAGGAAGCCAGTCAGAAGGAAACCACTTCTGAGGTACTCGTTATGTTCTCATGCTGTACATGTTATATTTGTTCCCAGATCGTATGTCTCGAGGTTCAGGGATCTAAACTAGGTTTTAAATTACCTCTTGAATTTTGCTGGCAAATGCTGTTGCTTTTCATTGAGAAAAACATCAAAGTTGTGGTCTTTCTCTGCCCAGTAGTGAGTAGGGTTCAGCCTCTGTGCTTTCCCATGTGAAATATTGAAAAAAAAAGTAATGCCTGTGTTGCTTCATTTGTCAGTCTTACAAACGTATACAAGATTTTGTTGCATTTAGGCCGTAATTTTTGTGTAATGTTACTTCTATGGTCTCTTGGTAGGTCTGAACAGTCTTGTGTGTGCTGTATAAACATTTTCTCCGATAATTTTTATCTGGAACAGATTGTTGAGCAATCAGAATAATATTAAAAGTCCATAGTATTTTGGGCAGCCAAGAGTGTGTGTGTGTGGTGGAATAACCCCTCTGCTCTGTTATAAATGTGTCTATTCAAGGCAGTAATTTTTTTTTTTGACTTGCAGAATATCTTACTTGATTTTACACCTCAGGTTTGTTTGCAATTGTAAAAACAAATTAGTCCCAACATACTTAGCATTTGAACCACGTCTGTCCAGCATTTTTTCCCTGTTACGAAATCAGATTTTATGCTTTCTTTGGTCGCTCTGTTAGACCCAGCAGAGGTTGATTTGATGATAATTAATTCTTAGCAAAACTAATTTTTTTTTATTTGTCATAATAGCAAAGGGTTTTTGATTGTCAGGATCAAAGTGACAAAGGTGTTTGTGGGTGGGAGAGGATTGTGGTTTTTTTTTTTTTTTTTTTTTTTTAAACAAACAAACAAATTACTATTCAGCATCCTTTACATAAAATGCTGGTGTGACAATATCTTCCTGAGGTCGTTGCCCTTGATTAGGTGCTGATGTGGAATGATTTGATATATAAGGAAGAATTTTGTATGAAAGAAGAAGAACAGTTTATTAATGAGACTGTCAAGTACCTCCTGACTGATTTCACTCAAAATGCAAAGTTGTGACTGTGGGCATTGCAAAGGGATGCTGCTGAAGCAGCCTTCAGAAGTTGGGTAGTGAAAGGTAGGATGAACCGAACCCCTTTAGCTGTTAGCACAATGCTACCCTCTAGTGGAACAGAGTTGCATTTAAAAGGCAGAACAAAAAACCCAACCTTTGTCAGAGAGCAGGAAATTTTTACTTAGCATGTTAGGCAGTGTATGAGAGTACTTGGCACAGCAGCAGCAACGTAGAAGAAAATTTGAGGAAGAAATGGGATAATCTATGGTAATGAATTGAAAACCTAAACTGTAACTAAAATGTTTATTTCTTACTCTGTGTTCAAACGTTCTCGATGAATAGCAATTCCTTCTGGGCTAAGAGGATTTCTCTCAAGCATTTTCTTAAAAGTCATTAATTAGCATATTGCACCAGTCAGAATTGTATGCTGACTATCTAAATCTTTGTCACACGTTGTTCAGTCTTTTCTTTCGGTTGGTTGTTTGCTTTTGTTCCTCGCTTCAAAACGAATCCTTCCAGAGCCTGTTTTTTTTTTTTTCTCTAAACCTGTGATTAATATGGATGCATCCAGTATAATCTGACATTCTTGAATCTGTAATATGCCTGCTGTATTTGCAACATAAGGTAAATGCAGGGAAATGTTGGAAGATTGGCATCTGGTGAAAGATACCATGCTAACAGGAATATGTTACTGCTGAGTGCTTGGGGGTTTTGTAGGGAATTTCAGTTGACATAAAGATTAAAGTCGAGAAAAATGAAAACCAAAGCTTTCATAAGGAAGTGAGAGTGTTTACTATAATAGAAGTGGTAGGGTCAGAGAAGATTACTGGGCTGGGTATTTCAGTTTCCAGATCTCAGTTTAGATAGGTGGGTGAGGTTTTGGCAGCCAGGTAGTCAGCTTGGAGAAGAACAGGAAAAACTGCAACAGGCCTCAGTTTTGGTGGGACTGCTCTTAAAAGGGATGACTAAGAATAAGTGACGAGAATAAACGGGTTCAGTGGGGTATCTCAGATTTAAAAATGGGTTTAGTTCCCAATCTAAGGCCTTTAATTTAATTATTAGTTTTTTTAACCAATTTCCTTTAGGGGCTTTCTTTCTCTGCTACATGGAAAAAAATAAACCACCATACAAAAGTAGCTTGGTACATCGATCCAGTGCTGTCAGCTCCTTTCTGCAGGGGAAAGAAGTGGTAGTTTGGAGCCATGGCAAAATACTGAGCATGAGACATGTAGAAAGCATAATTTCATTATTCTTTTAACCTGAATTTTGTTGTTGTTAAGCTCAGATTGTGTACTTTCCAGTAGAGAATTGATTGTAGGAAGCAAAATACATCTGCTGTCTGAAAACCTTGTTGCATTTATTTTTAAGTAAAAACATTATATTGTGATTTGTGTTCATGGTTGGATTTTTCCAGAGAAAAACTAATAATCACAAAATACATGGGAGGAGGGGCATTGCACTTCAGAATCCATTGGCAGGAGGAAAATGTGTAAAGGCAAACTTTAAAAACATGTCTTTCCTCAAATAGGATCTGTGTAGATGTTTGAGAAAGCATGTGACAGGAGGAGTTTGGCAGTGGCAAAGAAGCGTACATCTGCAGTAAATCAGCTGCTTTGAGTTTAAAGAAATAAGACGTACCTTCCCCACTTTTTGGGGAACCATGGCTTAATACTTGGTTTGGAAAGTTGTTGATGTCTGACACAGGCTCTGTGTTAAACTAGTCTGCTTATTTCAGTACGATGCCTAACTTGCTGATCGAGTGCTTTCTGGAAAGTTAAGCAGGCAACAAAAAGGCTTGCAGTGCTGCCAATAGCTGATAAGTGTTTTCTGTATAACGTGCATTGTTGGGGGAAATTTGGATGCTGCATGTATAAAGCTTCGTACATCTCAGTATGAAAACAGCAAACAAATGGACTGAAACATGAAAATTTTACACGGTTAATGAGCAGATGTCCTCAGAAATCAGGTTGCTCACAGTATGCAAATTATCAAACATCGTTCCAGATCCTTCAGAGTTAATAGAAGAAAAATCAGAGAAAATCATGCTAAGGGGGCAAGATTAAAAAGTTTGGAGTCCTAAAAAATTTAGTTCTGTTAGGCTATTAACAAGGATATTCTTGAAGCAGTTTCTTCTGAATAAACTTCCATGTACGGTTACACCCAAGCTACATACTGAGCAAGGCAACTGAAGAATTAGCTTCAGTATTCATACCAGTGCACAGTGCTTTGACCTGAGAAATGATGAGAGAATGCCTTAAGGTAGTCCTGTCGGTGGAGAAACTTTTTTTTTTTTTAAAAAAAAAAAAAGAGAAAATTTTGTCCACTAGTCATCCAATTGTTTGAACAAGTAGCAGAGATTTAAAAGCAATAACTGATTGTTGCATTCCTGCATTCCCATGTTAGGGCTTCTGTTCAGATGCTACAGAGTGGGGTAGCACAACAAAAAGAAATGCAAGCATTTTTTTGTAATTAACACCAGTCCTCCTCTCTCTGGCAAGTAGGCTTAAAAAAAAAAAAAAGTAAATAGGCCATGGGTTATGGTGTCAGTATTTTGTTCTGGTAATGTTTCTCTAAAGTCTGTGCTTGAAGGGAGCTGTGAAGAGCAAGCCTTAGCTGATGGTGAAAGAGGATGTTGATGAAAATTTTGCCTGCAGTGTATACGGTGCTGTCTTTCCTGGAGGCCCTTAATTTACCACTGCAATTGAAGGAAGTTTGTTAGGCGTGAGAGATTACAAAATGGTGATACTTCTGCAATTAACCAAGTAACCAAGAGACATCTGAGACCACACAAAAAAATGAAAGTCTCTGGAATCTGTTAAGGCTTTTCCTGACACACATAGTATGAGTACTCGCAAGCGCAAGTACTGAGCTCCAGAAAGAAATAAGGTGGAGAGCACTGATGCAGCCTAACTTCCGCCCCCCCCCCCCCCCCCCCCAAAAAAAAAAATAGAAAAAAAAAAAGTCCTACTTTGTAATACATAGTAATATCAGGAATGATTGTGGTGTTCTTGAAAATTAGGATGTTAAGAAAAGTGTGAAAGTAAAGGCAGAAAAGCTCATAGACTTCTGTAAGTGATGTTTGTTGTCATTTTTTTTCTTCCTTTATCAACCAGTATGCTGTTCAGATAAGAAGAGCATTTGACCCAAAACTCTTAGCTGAATAATCAAATACTAGTAGTCCTACTACCAAATAAAGATGTCTGTAGGAAGGTGTGTCTAAAGGTATTCTATAACAATTTGTTATCACTTCAGATGCTCGAGTGTGCCCTTACTTTACTTCTAGAGTTCAAGAGCTTGATTTTCAAGAACAGTATTTAATTAGAGACGCAAATGCCTTTAGAAATTGAGTTGTGTATGTAAGCTGTAGGTGTCAGAGATGGCTGATTTCTTTTGTTTGTTGAGAGGGAGCAGGAACAAATCTGTTTCATTAAAAAAAAAACAGCTTTTATTGTTGTTTTAAAACTTTTTTTTTTGTTTACAGGTGTCAGCTGTGATGCATGTTTAAAAGGAAATTTCCGAGGTCGACGATACAAGTGTTTAATTTGCTACGATTACGATCTGTGTGCAACTTGTTATGAAAGTGGTGCAACAACAACAAGGCATACAACTGACCATCCAATGCAGTGCATACTAACAAGAGTAGATTTTGGTAAGTGGTAATTTGAGACTCTAGTCGTTTGGTGCTGTGTTGTGTTAGTAAACAGAATATGGATTTTTCATGTTTCTACTTACTAAGCACTTTTTCTTCCATTAGCACACTGAAAATAAGGGCACATTCCCATTTTCTAAAAAAAAAAAAAAAAAAAAAAGGCATGTTTTCCTGATTCTGGTATATAAAAACTCTTACATATTTCTTAATTTGGTGCACAGCAGGTTATCAGACTACTAAGTATATTTGATAACAATTATATTTCCAACTAACTTCCAATTCAAAAAATGGGGTAAGCTTTCCCCTTCAATATCTTGTACCTGTAAGTGAAAGTGAAGAAGCAGAAAAATGATGAGATTCTGGAGGAGAGTTGTTCTCTGGTGGTTTATGTGGGAATGTTGGTACAGCAGGGTAATGATAGGCTGGCTGTAGTGAATGTGGCAAGGACTAGCATGTAATCTTCTTGGGACTCCTTTGAAGTTTCACTAATTTCAAAATTATTTCTTACTGTAAAACCACATCAATATTTAAAAATAAGTTCTTGTTTCTCCTATCCCATTTGCTGTTTCTGTTGCATCAGTGTAACAGTGGGGTTGTAACTGAGGAAATACTTCTGCATCAAACCTCTACAGTAATATGCTGCTGTCACTGGACATTAAACAAATATATGCTCCAAGCCCACAGGGCTCACATTTTAATATTTTTTAGTGATTCCAGCTGTGTTGTTCTTCACATTTTGAGTGCTTTAGAGGTGATAATTTCTTTGTTCTTGATGAAAACAGAAATAGTCTGCTTCCTTATTGATTTAAACACCAGAGAACAGCTGGATATAGAAAAGTACTGTTTCTCTTTCAAAATGGCTGTTGGATGTCTGAGTTTCTCTCAGTTCTCAGACCTCTGCTTGCCCTGAGAATGCCTGGTCATGACTTCTAAAATCCAAGCCATGGGAATCTAGGGTTTGGGAGGAAAGCATTTAGTTCATTATCAAAAATGCATACAATCATTTTTGTTTGCATATGTTTCTTTCCAGGCTTCTTTTTTAGGTCTTTCTTACGAGTTAAAAATCTCCACATAACAGTTCAGAGTTTGGGTCAGTATTGGAGATGCACAGTTCAGACTGATTTGTCCCCTAGCAGTGGCTATTCTTGGATGTCTCACACGGGCTAAAATGACAGCGTTGTCGTAAACATTAAGTGGTCATAATTCACAGGGGAAAGAGGACTGAAACACACTTGCTGTGGAGGCTGAAGTTGATGTTAAATACCAAAACTTTGAATGTCATGCAATGGGGAAATTTCTTCTAAACACATACCTCTTAAAAATGCTTGTCATTAGAATGTAGGAATGTCTAGAAAATGTATTTTGTTGCTTGCAACTTAAATATTTCTCTCTTGGAAGTCTTTGGGAAACAAGCCTGTCTTTTGATTTAATGTACATCATTTGTGTATGTTGTGGTGGGCAGGGAGAGGTTATTTTTTGTCATTTGAGCCTGCAGGAAGAATCAGAGAGGTGGAAGGTTACAGTGAAGTACTGAGGTAGGTGGGTAATAGGGCTCTGAGGGCTACTCCTGCATTGTTTAGTGTGCGTGCTACTGTGGCTTCTTTAACTTAAAGATGTCTTCTGGAAATTTCATTTGGCTTGATATCTGAGCATTTCTCCCACAGAATCAGTGTCAGGAAGGATTGTTCCTGCATGTCAGCACTGCAGCAAGACTACTTGCTGGATTAACAGTGCAGGGCAGTAACAGAAAAGAACATGTTGCTGGACTCCTAGCCACAGCAGTGGTTGATGCAAGAGGGCACCTGAGTACTACCGAGCTTGGAAACATACACTGTTGCATGGACTAGGGAATGTTTATAGATAACATTTTCTTAGGACTCAGGAAGGTCTGTACTGTCTTTCTTAAAATGTTCTTATTCTACAATTCCTTGTAGAATGTCAGTCATAAAGGAGCGTGGCTTTACAGTATGTTACAGTTATTAAGAGAAACTGTGGTAACTTTTCAAAGAGACCTCTATAGGCAAGATCATACGACTGAAGAACATCCAAAAATTTAGGAGCCAAGAAATTCTAAGTTTAATTTAAAAGTCTATAATGAACGGTAGAACTAGTCTAAAATGGCCTCTTCCAAGGTTACCAGGGTAGTTATGCCAGTGAATTTAAAAATCATAAAGGAAATATATTAACAGGTTAAAAGAAAAATAATCTCTTGGAGAAGATTGGAAATCTTAAACTAAACAGCACAGAGGTAATCAATTCTTCAGTTTCTTCTTGGTGACATGGTAGGTTGAACTTAAAAGAAAGAAAAGAAAGTGTCTTCTAATGTATGATGGGTAGGGATTGTATGAGAAAGGAAAACTTCAGTAGAAACATGGACTGAAAGCCTTTTAGTATACATGTAGGTAGCTACATGAATTCTAGATTAGGTGGTCAGTGGCAAACTTCAGTACTGTTGTCTGTGATCAGGTTTGACTCAAAGGTATGAAAACTGTTCCATTTTTGTAAGAGTGAACTTAAAGGTATTGGGTATGTTGGGCTGGGGAGAGGAGAGGTGGTTAAAGATGAGCATTGTGCCAAGGAGAAGGAAGCAGCATGGGGGATCCTTCTGTTGCAAAACTGAAACAAGCACTTCAGCCGAAATCAGTGTTGCTTTTCTGATTTTAAAAATGAGAAAAGGGATCAGTGAGTCACTTGCTGGAGATCCAGCTGCAGGTGATGATGAGGACCCTGGTATCCCTAGTTCCCGTCTGACCAACACTGTCTGTGTGCAGACAGCTGGATTCACCTCAGTACTCTGTTCTTAAAGCTGTGACCAAGCTCAGGTTTGCAGTGGATAGCTAATCACATGGACCGATCCCATGTATCTGGGATAGTTTCAGCATAGAAAAAAAATGTATTGTTTACCTCCATGAAAATTCTAGTAAATTTTTAGGGTTCATAGTCACAGTAATAAGGCTGCAAAGTATACGGCAGAAGATGGGCTCCTTCAGGTGCCTTGAAGGCGCTTTTTTTCCCAGAGACTTGGACTAGTATAGAAGCCCTTATAAGAATGCTGAAAATGAATGAAAAGCCTTGGTGATTACTTGTGACACCAGTGTTCAGTCTTGAACCATCTTGTTGGCTTATCTGTCTTTCAGAAGTCATTGTGTGAGCTAGTGTTACTTTGGAAAGTAGATGGGATTCAAAACAGCCATGGTGGTATTGTTCCAGAATCCTGTTGTATTACTTTAATAGAGGGACTGTAAAAGTGTACCTTTAGTTTCCAGCTCTGACGTTTATGTGACTTAAGGTCTTGACACCTTTTGTGGCCTAACATTTAGGCAAAATTTGCTGCTGTTTCCTCAACCTGTCATCTTATGTCAAGTTTGCCAACACTCTAACCGTCTTGGTGGACACATCTGCACGTGCATGTCTTCCCCACCTCCTGCCCCAAACTACTCCATTTTTGTGTGCGTTTGTCTTAAACTGGAGTGACCCTCTATTCCTGTTGTGGCCTAACAGGTGCCAGGTAACATGGGATAATCACAACCCTTGATTTGGTTGTTATTTTCTTTTAGTGATGCAGCCCAGGTCATGGTTTCCCGACATCGATGCGGGGGCAAACAGCTGGTTTGCTGTCCACCGAGACACTCCAGAGCTGTTAGCAGAGCTGCTCCCCAGCATACACTGTCTCTAAGCAGCAGCTGCTCTTTTGGCACTACTCAGTATTGGCAGATGGACCTCAAATCATCTCTAACCTTCCTTAGTGTCAGTGCTGGCTCATGGCTTCAGAATGTGGTGCTTGCTGTCGGGAAGCAGCAAAACCAGGGCTGCTCCACAGGGAAGAGCAAGTCGAGAGCTGAGTGACCACAGCACAAGAGGGGTCAGCCTCCTCGCTTGGAGGGAGCAGTCCTCCTGTAATCAAACAAGATGTGCAGGGCAGGGTTGGTGAGAGGATCAGGCCCTGCTGACTATCCCAGAGAAAGGAAGTGTAACATTTCAGGTCGGGGGTTCGTGGGGAAAATCCATCTAAGGCAGCAGGAGGGCCGGGCACAGCCACAGCAGGGTTTATGGCCAGATGTCTGGATCTTAGATATAGGGTGCAGGCAGGCAGAGAGGTCTGCTTTGTCATTTTATTCTAGCAAACATGGCTATCGCAGTGCATTGGTGGTGAAAAGAGGGTTCCAAGTAGGTGAGGAGAGGAGATCCTGCCACTTGGGAATATGTACCTCCAGTGTGTAAAGCAGGGCAGTATTTATGATAGGCAAAACATTGATGTCCAGATGACTAACACAGCTGTATGGCTGTGTATCATTATGTCATAGGATCAGTCGTAAGGTAGTTCTGGTTGGAAGGGACCTCTGGGGGGTCTCTGGTCCAACCCTGAGCAGGGCCAGCATTAATCAGGGCTTTGCTCAGTCTTGAAAACCTCCAGGGATGGAGGTGGCTTAAAGCTGTATCAGGGGAGATTCAAACTAGACATGAGGAAAAACTTTTTTGGAGAAGATAGGTAGACAACTGAATCTATTCATCCTGTATTTTGGGTATCCTGGTCCACTGCTGATCTACGTGGTGGAAAACATTTTTCCTTACACCCCCGTAATGCACCGCTGTGAAGAGCCCAGTTTAGTCTCCTTCCTCACATCTTGTAGGTGTGGGGGTGCCCCAAAGCCACCTCTGCTCTAGGCCGAACCATCCCCAGCCTGCAGCCTCCCCTTGCAGCAGTGCTCCAGCCCCAGAAAGCTCCAGGCAGACCCTTTTTTGATGTGCTGTGTTGCCACCATTTGTTTTCTTCGAACACCGATAAAAAAATATTTCAAATAATTACACTACAACTTGTTTAATACCAGCATTTTTATTTGCGAGTATCTAATTGAAATTAAATTACTCATGGAAGAAAAACAAACCTAAAATTCCTGACTTTCATGTACCCTTGTAAAAGAAATATGTCTAAACAGCAAACAAGTACAAGCTGTTGTAAAATGTACTCCTGAATCATCTCTTTCAAAGACTGATTTTTATCTAAGGAATCTTACTGTACTTCTGCCTCATTTCTAACCTTCTGCCAAGTTTCAGAATGTATTCGCTGAGGATTTAAATGTTAAATACAAGTAGTCTGGATGGATGATAAAGCAAAACTGCTCATATTTTTGCTTGAGTTTTCACATTAAATTGATTTCCTTCAAGAATAGCTATAATCTATAAACAAGTTTGAAATCTAAATTCCTAAGCTATTGTTGACTCCTTTTTAGACAGTGTTCTGATTCTTCTATTCCGCTGTGTTCTTCCTGCAATGGATCAGCCATGTAGGTAATTAATCTCCTCCTGGAGGAATGTGATTTAGTCTGGTGGTTTTGTTGTTTTCTTTTTACTGAGCAACCTTATCTGCCTTCCTAGCTCTTCTGAGAAAAGGGCTGCAGAGGTCCAGAGGAGCTTGAAGAGTTATGGCCTCAAAATTTTGTGTAGGAGGGCATTTGGAAAGAATCAAAATTCATTATCTGAAAGATCTCTTTGTTGCTACAAGGGATTATTCTTTAGCCATGAGCCAGTTGCATCAGAGCAGTAATACATGGAGCCATGGCCTTTTCATTTTCCCCACACTGCTTCCAATCATTAGGGCCTTCCTTACCAAATGAACCTTTGGTCATCAATAATATGACTATGGTAATAATTTTTAGGACTGTTCATGTACTAGAAACAAAACAGGTAGAGAGATATCTATTCAATAACTGAACTCTAAATCCAGAGAGAAAAAAAGATGGATGATACCACAATTGCCAACCAACTAAAAAACAACTTTTTTTTTTTTTTTTTTTTTTTTTTTTTTTTTTTTTTTTTAGAACTTAGGCTGTTTAAATTAAAACATTTCTGGCTATAAAAGCTCAGAAGCTTGATTGTAAGAGGTGGAGGGAGATTTGAGGAAAAATAAGGAAGATACGATCTTCCAAAGGAAAAAGATACTCGTATTTGCCAGTAACTTATTTCACTTCTTAAGGGTGCTTTTTAAAATATATCTTTTCTTTCAGATGAAGGCATACTTAGTTGCCATATGCATGTATGTTTGCTGTTACAGGAAAGATGAGAAAGGAAGTATAAGTGGGAGAACATGTGGGAGCATAATCAAGAGGTTGGAAGGAACTCGGATTTTTTTTTTTTAATTAATAAATGGCTTGTTTCAGATTCTGTAAAAGCAAGGACCAGAAACAGGATTTGACAGCACTTGTTGAACCTCTCTCCTCTGTGATAGAACAGTACTACTAGAATTGTTGACATCTGGACTGAGCTAACAGCATATCCATGGGAGAGAGATTTTTACATGCATGTTAGATTTACCACTCTCTTCAGATTGGTAGTGGCCCGGTGCCCTTTGGTCCCTTTCTTCAAAGTACTTCCATTCATGAAATGGTGAGGTTTATAGGTAGAGGCTTTTAGATGACCTAATAATTTTAAGAGACTATTTTTTTTTTTTTTTTTTTTTTTAGGTAGTAGATGTTACTTTTATAGGCAAATCCTCTAAAGAATAAGATGATTTGCCCCTTTTGTGTTAGCTTGCCACTTTGTCATCTTCTTTTTTCACCCAAATAGCATATAAGGTGTCAGAACTAGAAAATTTACAAAAATGAGACTGCTCAGCTAGGAGTATCTTGAGAAAAATTGACTTGAAGCTCTGGTGTGTGTATGTCTGCAGCAGTGGAAAATCCCATTTTTCCAATCATTAAATAGGTATTTAATAATCGTGATAAAAATCATACCAATGCATGAGGGAAATTGGATGATTAATTAAACGAGCTATCACTAGGTCCTGTTGTGTGTGTTTGACTGGCATTTTTGTTGTTCCTACAGGTATGCAGCCTTCTTTGCAGAAGTTCTTGCTGCATTACTTTAACCAAACAAGATAGAGTTTACTTGTGCTATTTTGGGCAGATTAAATACAGTGAATTTGGAATTCTTTATTACTATCCAGTTCAAAAGCTTGGCCATCTCACTGATTTTGTTCCCAGAATATTTATGTATGTCCCAACATTTTTGTATCTTCTGAACATGAAATAACGTGAGAACTGAAGTTCACATCTCCTCTGTGCAATGAAACAGTGGAAAGAAATGTTTCTCCTTTTGATATACATGCTTCTCCTTTTTGATACAAAAAGGAGACTTGTGTAATGAGCTTTTGTTAACAATTTGTCTTCATACAATGCTAAGAAGGATTCTTTCATCAACCTCCACTAGAGCACTTTGCATTTATCTGTTTTATTCAACTATATTTTTTTAATCCTTTGCCTTTCAAAATATTTTTCTGAAAGAGTATTTGTTCCACTTTGTGTACAATTGACCCATTCAGATACTGTTAGTGAATCTTTAAAACTTCGTCCTGTGTAAACCTTGTTCCTGCTTTCCTCATTTGAAACAATGACATACTTATATTCTTCATATTTGGGTATGCTGCAGCATATTGGCAATTTTTATACCCTCACTCATGTTTTTATCAACATCAGAGTAGGAATCTGAATGTGAATTTTGAGAAAACTTTCAGAAGAGTGTGCAATGAAGTGGCACTGTCTGGAATCTTCAGTGTCTCGAAGTTTTGTGAATTATGTGCATCACCTGTGTGTTGTATCTGAAACAGCCTTTGTACCGCCTCAAGACAGTCTTGGAACAGGTTGATTGTCATATCACTTTATATTGCATATCATGTTTAAGAGGAGTACGAAAGACTAGCAAAACAAGACTGGTCTCCACATGGAAAATATGTATACTATGATTTTAAGAGAACCTATTCAAGCCAAAAGATAGTTATGCATGTAAATACATGTAAATCCATTTGATTTATCCTGTAAGATGGAGATTTTCTGCTTTGGATTGGTGGACATAAGTTTCTAGTGCGTGTGTATGCGTTAAATAAATGAACCTATATTCAGGATAGTTCTCATGCTGAGCATGATAATTAATTGGATGAACCAGTTAAATGATGAGTTTGTCAGGGTCTGTTTCCTTTTGGGCAACGCTTGTGGTCTACTTGGGCGTTTCATACCATGTGTGTTAAAGGGGCTTCTTTCTCTCATCATCCAATATTGGAACGGGGATCTACTGAACATAAACTGGTCTGCAGCATATTCCATTTGTAGAGCTGCATGTATCTTTAACTGTGTGCATTAGCGTGTTATTAAAAGTGATTTTCTCCATAAAAGCGGGCTTGCAGCGTTAGCCCTCAAAACTTAGTTACTGACCTGTTAATATAATAGACTATGGATATGTACATTTTTAACTTCAGCATTGTCTTTCCTGTGGCTACAGAAACAAAAATGCTTTTCTTCCTAGCTGTGTCAGAAAGTCGGGTCAGTAGCGGAAGATACAATAAACCTTGGGAAGTGGTGACTTATTCTGGAAGAAATACACGTTCCTAATACATTAGATGGATATTGCCTTGGGGTGCGGAATATAAGTTCTTGTATCTGTTCAGGTTAATCCGATTCTTAATTTACAGCAGACTACTCATGATTCTCTGAAAATTTTTAGTTTTGACTGAGTCATAGAAAAAAATCAGTAAAAAGGTTTTAAATCAGTTCCTCAAAAGTTACTTCTTTATTGATGTGAATTTGAAGTTTATTCATGTTTCTTGTAGAATACGTAACCCCTGCAGAGGAAGACTAAGAAAAACAAAAACATTTTTTTCATTGTTAGTTAAATTTTCATGATAAGTATGGATAACTGTTAAGTTTGAACTCAGAAGTGCATGCATTTCATAGGCAGTGCAGCAGTGCTTGAATTCAACACAGTTTTGAAACTAGCGTGTAGCATAATCAGATTTCTCTTTCTTGTATAACTTTTATTTAAGACATTTCTAAAAGCTCTTATTACTAAACAGTGGTTTGGCTATGGCATAAATATTGATGGATGGAGTCACAGAGGACTTTTAAATTTTAATCTAAACTTGCAGAGAGTAGTGTTCAGAGTTAAGCTTTGGAGAACTAATCTCATGATTGAAAAATATGACAGGTCACCTTGTACTAGGGATAACAAGGGTGGTAGAAAAGCGAAGATCTGGCCGCAACAGAGGAGCCTTTGCTTCTACTGCATATTAGAAGATTATATTATGTTCGCTAATGAAAATGAAATGCAGTCTGTCTGTGTGTTGTCATCAGTAATTGAACACTTTGACTATCAGCATATGGCCTTTATAGAGTATTAAAATAGCCATTTTAGTTAAATACCAGATTAATTTGGCAGTGATTGCATTCAAGTACATACATAGAGTGAACATGAACAAGGTGATTGACTCTATTGTGTGAAGTAATTTCTACTTAAATAATTTTTGTTACAGATTTGTACTATGGTGGAGAAGCTTTTTCTGTAGAGCAGCCACAGTCATTTACTTGTCCCTATTGCGGAAAAATGGGTTATACGGAAACATCTCTTCAAGAACATGTTACTTCTGAGCATGCAGAAACATCAACAGAAGTGGTAAGAAGCTTCAGAATTGGTTTTTAATTGTGGTGGAAAAAGATGAAAAGGAATCTTCCGGGAAAGTGGTACAACATCTTTCTTGAAGCATGAATTCATTTAAATGCTTTTTCAGATGTACCTACGTTTGGCAGTGACATCTAAATTCTTCCGTGTTTTAAGGGTACCCTTGGATAATAAGCTTGCTTTTCTTTCATGATAGCTGTTTGTTTGCCATAATGTAAATGCTTGGGGGCTTATTATGCTGTAAGACAATATTTAAAGTGTTCTCCTGGTTATTCTTTATAGCAGTGTCTCCCTTTTTACAGCCTGTATGTAATTGCCAGATGAGTTTACAGTGTCCTGTGAGACCATAGCTATGCCAGTCTGTTGTAACTCTTAAGACAGAGGAGGGTGTGCAGCAGCAGCAAATGTCTGCTTAACTTTCAAGGAATTCTATGGAAGAAAAGAAACCTTTTTTCTTCAAGCCTACTGAAGCCTATTCATGTGTTAAGGAATACTGAGGGGAAGGTAACTTGTTGGCTGTTGTGAGGCTCTGATCTTTCCTGAAAACATAAGGATCTGAAACAGTTTACTTTTAGCCGTGACGCTGTAGGATCATGAGTTATCTTAGTGACACACTGAAGCTTTATAATCTCCTTGATTTTCTCTTTAACTTTGCACCTTTCAGACGTAGTGTCACTAACTGAAAATTCCACATTTGGATGACTTTTCTTTTGTGGTTTGGTGTTGTAGTTCAGATTTGCACCACTTGATGTCAGTGGTATGTTCGTGACACAGAATATCAAGATCCTAGGTTTATAAATGTGGCACGTCCTTGTTTGTGGCTGAAGCTTCTAGAATTCCATATATAAAGCCCAAATTTGTGTTCGTAAACACCTGCTACCCAACTGATTTCTGAAGGAGTTGTGTGTGTTAAATTTGTCTTTCCTCTTCTGGAGTCAGCCTGCAAATTATCATCTCTGTTTCAAATAATGATAAAGGACAGTATTTTAATCCTTGAATATGATTGCATATGTTTGTGCTAAGTATTGACTCCAGCTTTTCTGATAAATGTTTAGTGTGCAAAAGAGGTGAGACTGCTTGGGTACTGGAGACTTACTGCAGATGGTGAAAAGCCATCACCTAACTGAGAAGGAAATCTTCTGGGTTCTAAACTTCTGTGATCCTGGATTTCCAAACAACTATTTTTGTTTAGGTAGTGACCTTTTAGTCCTAATAGTAGATCTGAGTATAAAAGCTGTTTTTTACCTGAGATCTTTAGGAAAGTTTCCAGGAATGGAGTGACTTTTATTTTGTTTATGGTCACTCTTTCCTTCCCACTCATCTTTTTAAATAAATAAGCCAAAAGAATTCTGGTCCACCAGAGGGAAGAAATGTAATAAAATAAAAATAAAACATTGTACTGTTAATAATTTTGACAAGTGAAGACTGAATTTTGCCACTTTTGTATTCAGAGTGGTACAGATAAGAAGATGATTTTCTGCTTATTTTCTCATGTATTTTGCATTGGTACATGTAACAATATTAGGTACTTGTGGACAGGAAGAGTTTGACAATATTTTCTTAAAAGATAATTTAATGCTGGATACTTTTAATCAAAAAATTGCACTAGTATCTATGGTAGAGATTGGAAATTTTGTGGTAGATTAAGGTTTGTAAGCTTACACAATGTAAAGAGAATAAATTGTGAATGAACCTTAAGGTCAGAGTTCTTGATCTGTTGTTGATAAAGTTGATGAGAGCTTTCTCACAATAACAAAACAGGAGCTATTCAGATTGTATTCTTCAAGAATAAAATGGAGAAAATTATCTCTTCCATTAAGTGACAGGATTTCTGGAAGATCAGTGTAGCTTTATGCCCTGGAAGGAAATAGGGCCTTCCTTGGGACTCATTCTAACATGTCCACGTCCTTCTTGTGCTGGAGGCCCCAGAGCTGAATGCAGTGCTCCAGGTGGGGTCTCATGAGAGCAAAGCAGAGAAATTATTTTGTGTGTTTTTTCTTTAATATGTGACTATTTGTTTTGTGGATGCCTGGAATGTGATTTTTAAAGTTTAAGAATCACAGAATCATCTAGGTTGGACGAGACCTCCAAGATCACCCAGTCCAACCTCTGACCTAACACTAACAGTCCCCACTAAACCATATCCCTAAGCTCTACATCTAAACGTCTTTTAAAGACCTGCGGGGATGGTGACTCCACCACTCCCCTGGGCAGCCCATTCCAATGCCTCACAACCCTATCAGTAAAGAAGTTCTTCCTAACATCTAACCTAAACCTCCCCTGGCGCAACTTTAGCCCATTCCCCTCATCCTGTCACCAGGCACGTGGGAGAACAGGCCAACCCCCACCTCACTACAGCCTCCTTTAAGGTACCTGTAGAGAGCAATAAGGTCGCCCCTGAGCCTCCTTTTCTCCAGGCTGAACAAGCCCAGCTCCCTCAGCCGCTCCTCGTAGGACTTGTTCTCCAGGCCCCTCACCAGCTTCGTCGCCCTTCTCTGGACTCTCTCGAGCACCTCGATGTCCTTCTTGTAGCGAGGGGCCCAAAACTGAACACAGTACTCGAGGTGCGGCCTCACCAGAGCCGAGTACAGGGGGACGATCACCTCCCTAGCCCTGCTGGCCACACTGCTTCTTATGCAAGCCAGGATGCCGTTGGCCTTCTTGGCCACCTGAGCACACTGCTGGCTCATATTCGGCGGACTATCAACCATCACTCCCAGGTCCTTCTCTGACTGAGGTCAAACTGACAGGCCTATAGTTCCCTGGGTCTACCTTGTAGTTGGGCATCATGTTTGCTAGCTGCTAGTCGACTGGGCCCTTCCCCTGATAGCCAGGACTGCTGATAAATGATGGAAAGCAGCTTGGCCAGCTCCCTCAGCATCCTCGGGTGGATCCCATCCGGCCCCATCAACTTGCACACATCCAAGTGCTGTAGCAGGTCGCCAACCATTTCCTGCTGGATAGTGAGGGCCACATCCTGCTCCCCATCCCCTTCCACCAGCTCAGGGTACTGGGCATCCAGAGAACAACCGGTATTGCCGCTAAAGACTGAGGCAAAGAAGACATTAAGCACCTCCGCCTTTTCCTCATCTCTTGTAATTAAGTTTCCCCCAGCATCCAGGATGGAGATTCTCCTTAGTCCTCCTTTTTGTGTTGATGTATTCATAAAAACATTTTTTGTTGTCTTTAACAGCAGTAGCCAGTTTGAGCTCCAGATGAGCTTTGGCCTTTCTAATTTTGTCCCTGCACAGCCTCGCAACATCCTTATAGTCCTCCTGCATGGCCCGCCCTCTTTTCCAAAGATTACAAACCCTCTTTTTTCTCTTAAGCTCAAGCCACAGTTCTCTGTTCAGCCAGGCTGGTCTTCTTCGCCGCTGGCTCGTCTTTGGGCACATGGGGACAGACCGCTCCTGTGCCATTAAGATTTCCTTCTCGAGGAGCACCCAGCCTTCCTGGACCCCTCTGCCCTTCAGAACCGCCTCCCAAGGGACTCTGCCAACCAGTGTCCTCAGCAGCTCAAAGTCGGCCCTGCAGAAGTCCAAGATCGTGGTTTTACTGATCCCCCTCCTGACTTCTCCAAGAATGGAGAACTCCACCATCTCGTGGTCACTCTGCCCGAGACAGTTTCCAGCCACCACATCTCCCACCCGTCCTTCTCTGTTTGTGAAGAGAAGGTCTAGCGGGGCACCTCCCCTGGTAGGCTCACTAACCAGCTGCGTCAGGAAGCATCTTCAACACTCTCCAGAAACCTCCTAGACTGCTTTCTCTGGGCTGTGTTGTGCTTCCAGGATATGTCAGGGAAGTTGAAGTCCCCCACGAGAACAAGCGCTGATGATTTTGCAACTTCTGTCAGCTGCCTGCAGAACTCCTCATCCGTCTCCTCATCCTGGTTCGGCGGTCTGTAACAGCCCCCCACCAGGATGCTTCCCTTGTTGGCCTTCCCGCCGATCCTAACCCACAGGGACTCAACCTTATCGTTCCCAGCCTCAAGGTGCACGACATCAAAACACTCCCTGATCCAGAGAGCCACACCACCACCCCTTCCATGCTGCCTGTCCCTTCTGAAGAGCCTGTAGCCAGACATGGCAACACTCCAGTCATGAGACTGGTCCCACCACATTTCCGTGAAGGCAACCAAGTCATAGCCTGCCTGCCATACGATCGCTTCCAGCTCCTCCTGTTTCTTACCCATGCTGCGTGCATTAGTGTAGGTGCACTTCAGCTGGGCCATTGCCTTCTCCTCTGGCTTAGCCATTATTTCCCCGGCGCACCTCCAACACAAGCCTTATTTCAGCCCTGTCTCCCTTTTTAGCTAGCTTAAAGCCCTCTCAATGAGCCCTGTCTAGTGACTGACTAAGCGATAGGAGTTCTACTTTGTGTAAGCTTATAAATTTGTTTGTTTTTTCTCTTTGTCATTTCAGATTTGTCCAATCTGTGCAGCATTACCTGGAGGGGATCCCAATCATGTCACAGATGACTTTGCAGCTCATCTTACACTGGAACACAGAGCTCCTAGAGATTTAATATCCTTTCCTAAGATGACAGACAGAAGAAGTTGAAGAAGTCTTTTTCATCTAGTAGACATGACTACTTGTATTGATATAGTTTTTTTTCTTTTTTAATCAAGGCGTTATAACTCTGGTTTTCCTGGAACTTAAAAGTTGCTGGAGATTTGTATGTCAAAACTTGCTTCCTTTCTAGTAAAAACAAAACAAAACTATGAATATTAGATGGTGAATAGCCTATAGGTATGTTTCACACTGTCTTTTGATTTAAAAAAAAAAAAATCCTACTTACATTGTGGTTTATCCTGCCTGGTCATTAGTCTTGATTTTATGTATCCAGGATCAACAGTGGGTTTTAACTATTTGTGATGTGAAGACAGTGATCTGAGGATGATTCGAGCTTAGCTGGTTTTGACAAATGTTCTATGACCATTCTTCAACAAGGTAGTTTCCTAGTGTTAACTACTGATATTTTTGTAGTATGAATTTCCCAGAATTCCTGGAAAACAAGTGGCTGTCTTTCAGTTACCTTAGCAGCAAATTATGCATATTTTAAGTACATTTGATGGCTGGAAAGCTGAAAGAATTGTTAGGGTTAATTGATGCTTTAATTTTTTTATTATTAGATGAGGTTATATAGCGTACCTGCAAGTTATGTAGAGTACTTAAAGTAAGTAGTCTGAATTAATTCTTTGTGCATCTCATATAAACAAACAGACAAAAAGACTACATTACTACTTTGGTAATACCTTTTTTTGTTCAAAGATTTAGAAAGGAAAAAAAACACTTTGCAACTGAAGTTCATTATGCTAACAGAAGGAAGACATCACTTAAGGAGATGTCTTCATTTCAGTTGTGATTGTGTTTGCACTTAAGCTTGTTAGTGTTTACCATAGTTTAAGGGTCAGGACAGACTAAACACACATGTTAATTACTACACATTAACTGGATCAGTGTAAAGGAATTTGGGTGTTCATGGCCTCTGTGAAGGAGTAATGTGTAATGCAAAGATCACTACAAATTTACAGGAAAACAGTCATCCCTGCTTCCCCTTTCCTTGTGGGTGGAAGCAGGACCCTTACACATTAGGGAGGAGCTGGTGCTGAGTGTGGTGGCTCTGGCAATGTGAGCTTGGACCCTGCTGTCCCTGGAGGTCCCAGCCTGGGGTCTTCTAAGGCAGTTGTGCCATCCTCCCTTTTGGCTGTTCAGCTTATCTGTTTGTCACAAGTTAGGGTTTACAAAGGTTTTTCTTACCCTAGCATAGCTGCGGAGACTTCACTTTTTATCTTAAAGCACTTCAAAAGCTGCAGTTAGCAAATCTACCCCACAGTATCTTGAAAAATCTACAGAAACTGGTCTTTTCTATCAGGTCTGGTTATGGAGAAAGCTAGGGAAATGCATCCAGAAGCACCCAGTGTGAGCACACTTAGAGGTGGAAGGCACTCTGTGTGCTGGGCAAACTGTATTCTGTTCCGAGGAAGATTTTCCACCTGCACCCTAGATGTTGTATTTTAACACTGTAGCAGAACAGGTTTGAAAGGCAAGTGTTCTGTAAACTTTCTTTTAATAATCATTTGTTCTTTCTCACCATAAGAAGTCTGGCCATTTTTATCAATCTTAAGTTATTGACCTCTGCAATGTCCTGAGGTTCTGCACTGTACCTGTATGTTTTGTAAAAAGTACATTGGACACTAATATCACACTGTAGTAGATAATGTACAAGTGGTGTCTTAATTCGAGAGCTTGTAAAAATACATGAGTTGAAATTTAAGCATCAGATGGGAAGTGAAGGGAAATAAGGAAAATGAAAGAAATCATTCTCATAATTGGAATTCGTGGTATTTGTTTGGTTAAAAGAGGGAAGGTAAAACAAAGCAGTGTGGTGAAGGTGCTGAATTCATGCAAAGTTTTAAGGACTGAAGTATTGAAATTTCTTGGATGAAGTTTCTGGCACGAAGTACAAAAGTCAAAAGGAATACAGTAATTGCTGTGTACTTTTATTAGGCAATAACCTTTTTATTTTCAGTATTTAACGTAGGAATTGGGGAGGGGGAATAAGTCCATGTCTCTGATAACTTCGGCTGAACATGTGATGTCAATTGAGATTACTTAGCAGAAGACTTTGATCTTAGGAAAAAAATCCATCTTGATATTTCTAAGACACAGTAAAAAGCTAAAGAAATACGAGGAGTTTGGTGTACAGAGTCTGAGGTTCAGATCTGTATGTCCGACTTGCACCACAGCTACACTGCACCTTAGCTTTGCTTTAGAAGCTGTATGATTATTTTAGGCATGTGTGTACCTGGATGCTTCACCTAGCAAATGTTCTTGTTGTTTAGTAGTCGATACAAAACAGCTCTGTTTCCTTAACTCTCTTCTTACGATGAATCCAGTGGTGTTCGGCATGTACGTCGAATGTTTCACCCAGGCCGGGGTTTGGGAGGACCCCGTGCGCGTAGATCAAACATGCACTTTACTAGCAGTTCCACTGGTGGGCTTTCATCTTCTCAGAGTTCATATTCTCCAAGCAATAGAGAAGCCATGGATCCTATAGCTGGTAAGAGCTGTAACCACTGATTTCACCCCCATGTCCTCCTTATACAGAGGGAGAAAAGTTCAAGATGACCATGGCTGCACTGCTTTTGACTGGTGGCTGCTTGTTGGTGAATGTTGTGCTGCTCTGCTCTGGGTTGTCCCAGGGCCTGTGCCTGGGTCTTCTGAAGCTGAAACCACTGCCCCTGTATCCTGTGCCTCTCATTCCAGAGAGCACAAGGCTGGTTCCCAAAGCCTGTTACTCACAGGTGCTGCTTATTTTTACAAGTCATTGTGTCCTGCTTTCATTGCCTACTTCAGTACCTCTCGTTTTAATTTGTTATGAGTATTTATGGGGGAGACTTAGTATCTCAATTTGATTTAGCACAAACCATACACTCCAGAGCTGACGCCAATGAAATGAGATTAACATGAGTGTTATTAACAGACATTGAAAATACGTTCAGCTTGTGTTCGGGCTGTGTGAATGGCAGACTTGCTAATATTGTTTTTTTTTAGGTGTACTTGTAAGTTCTTACATAAATGTGCTGGTGCACGCAAGCATTTGTAGCATATTTTGGTCAAGTTTAGAAAACCTGTGAATGAAGGAAGGTTGTCTCATTTTTAACACCAGAAAAATGTGAAGATGTTTCTAGGATTTCCAGAACAATTTGTTTAGTGTATGGTTAGCTTTGATTTGAAAATAACGTCTTTACAAGGAAGAAAAGAAGGAATGAAGACAATTCTAACATGTAGCTTTTCCCTGGTTGGAATTAGGTTTTTATGCAGTGTTTTTTGACCATGCCAGTGTGTTAGGGAAACATGAGAACTTCCTGCTGTAATCCACCTTTGTTTCAGATGCTGAGTAGGCATAAATGCTTAAACTGGAACTTCCTTCTTCTAGGTTATTAATTCCACAGAGGTAGCCAGCCAGCTTAATTAACCATTGCCCTTGAAAGGGAAGCTGCCTTCCTTAAATGAGTCCCCTTTCCTTCCTTCTGCTGGCTCTGGTGCTCTGCTGACCCTCTGTGACCTGCTTTAACACTTTTTCCCCAGCTGATTTAGCGTAACCCAGTAAAAGAAGAAAATAGCTTAAATGAGGTCACGCTCAAAGGGTGGTGATCAATGGTTTTTCCTTAGGCCATGTCCTGTCCCAGGCAGGGGCTCCCAGACTGCAGAAGTCTGTTTTTTTTTTTCTCCCTGGAGAAGTGGAGGCTAAGCGCAGACATCGTCACAGTATTCCAGTGCTTAAAGGGTGGCTTCAGAGGGGGTGAAGGCTCTCTCTTCAGGAGGAGTCACATGGAAAGAACAAGGGGCAGTGGGAACAGGCTGCAGCAGGAGAGGTCCTGTCTTGATACAGGGAAGAAATCTGTTAGAGCAAGAGCAGTCAATCCCTGGAAAAACCTCCCCAGGGACATGGTGGAGTCCCCCAGCACTGGAAGTTTTCAAGCTGCTGAGGCTTTTTTTCAGCCTCACAAGGCCTTCCCTCTTATGGGAGTTAAATACTGGATAAAACAGCACTCTTCGCAACTTCATTTTTTTGTTTTGTTTTGTTTTTTTATGTAAGCCATTTTTGCAAAAGCACTTACTGTTCAGTGCTGTCTGCCTGGGTCTCCTCCTCATATCAAGCCTCTATCTCAAGCTCACATCTGCTTCAAAGTACTGTTCAGCTGTTCTATAAGCCTTAATTTAGGCTTAATTTACAGTGAGGATAAATGAATCCAAATCTTGTCTGACAGTTTGATTTTTCTTCCCTTTCAGTAAAACGATGAATAGGAAAGATGTCTCAAAGTTTTCTGTTTTAAGAATGATGGAGTTTGTAGTATCTGTTACATTCTTATATTTTTCTCTCTGGCCTTTTCTAGTAATTAAAATGGAATTAGAAGTTAGTGTTGGGATTATCAGTGCTGGTAAAACAAAAAAAAAAAAAAACAAAAAAAAACACCTTGACCATTCTGAATTCCTGACACAGAAAAGAATTTCATTTTGCTTTATTAGATTTATTTAAAAGGGTTGTATTTTATTAGTGAAATGGAAGGAAAATTATCCTGACCTATGATAACTTTGCCCTCTTCTCCATGCCACGATATCACACCCTGCTTCCTCTGCCCTTGCACTAACTACACCTAAGGAGTACACAACTTCGGGGTGTACAAGAGATTCTGCAGTAATGCATCAAACTGTAATTTACTGCTAGTATTTGTTTCAAAAAATAACCTTCAGAAAAAATTTGCTATAAGCATTGCATTGTTCAGAAGGGAGGACTTAAGGATGGACTTCTTAATTTTTAGAAGATTGCAGAAGTAAAAACTTCAACAGCAAACATGCTTGTCAACATTTTTGTGAGGCAATTCTTGAACAAGTTTTTATAGCTAAATTCATGTTATTAAATGTTTGAAATGACAGCACATATTTCTCTCTTACACAATACAGCTTCCTTCTATGATACTAGGATGGCGAAACCTGTGTTTTGGGGGCATGTTTGTTGAGACTAAAATAAAATCACTAACCAAAGCCAAAATGAAGTATTTTCCTAATCATTCGGTATTTTGTCTTGAAGTTTCAAAGAACTGCTCCAGAGGATACCATCCTTCACTGGGTATTATCTATAGATGGGCTCTTTTTGTTATTTAGCAGGCTTTAAACTTTTGACTTTTTTATTTGAAATAGTCTGCATATCTTGATCTTCCTCACCCTTTGAGATACTGAGTGTTGGGAGTTTTTTGAAAAAAAAATTTCATGGGCTCTCCAACATTATTTATATTGTATTTTTGTTGATTGGAAAAAAAATAATGGATGCACTGGAATTCAGGGTGTATTCCTTCTATTGTGTCGTAGTCACGTAACGTATTTCATCGTAATTATCTTTCTCTTCTCTGGCAGAGCTTTTATCTCAGTTGTCAGGCGTGAGGCGCTCTGCAGGAGGACAGCTCAATTCCTCTGGCCCTTCTGCTTCTCAGTTACAGCAGCTGCAGATGCAACTGCAGTTGGAACGACAACATGCACAGGCAGCGAGACAACAACTGGAGACTGCACGCAATGCAACTAGGCGTACCAACACGATCAATGTCAACACCACTATTACACAACCTACAACAACCACCAACACATCTAACACAGAAAACAGTCAGCAGACTATCCAGAATTCCCAGTTTCTTCTTACAAGGTAACTTGTTCTGTGTGTTTTCTACAATACTTACCTCTTACCACTTCAGTTTTCCTTGGTCCTTCCAGAGACAAAGTTCAATTAAACTGTTATGTGTTTGGAATTAGGTGCATGCCCTCGTAAAGCAGAGTCTTTAAATGTGATCAAATTTATCCCAGAATTAGCAGAATTGTCATCAACATATCCTGCACGATTAGATCTCAACAGTGGTCGCAATGAACTGAACCCTGAAAGGAGACTGCTTCCCTCTCTGAATTAATGTGCCACCCTTGAAAGAAAGATTTTTTGTCCACCGAATCATCTACTTTGTCAAATGTACTTAAAAGTGTGGTTGTAGACTACCACAAATACTCAAAATACCAGAGGAGCATTAAATGTCACATCTCTTTGTATGTTGCAATCACAAGAAATGTGCTTACAAATTTTCCATTTCCATTTGTTTTTATCTACAATTAGGTGTTTGTATTTAAAGGTATAAAATGTTCATCAAAAACTTAATTGCTTGATCCACATTTTCAACAGAAATATAATATCCAAGAGTAGAAGTTTATAGGTGGCCTGTAGGGACTTACTCTGCTTTTGGAAGTATTCTGTGGTGGTCTAGTGTTTGCAAAACAGAGAGACAATCTCACATGTGCACTGAGGTGTTGTTTTTTTTCCCCCCCAACTACAAATGTCTTAAAGGATTAGGCTTGAATATGGCTTTCTGCAAATCTTGAAAGGAAAATACTTTTGAGTTTTGGCTTTATAAGCTACTTGTGACTCCAGGCAAGAGAGTTCTGCCAGATCCCTCATTGAGTCTGTAGTTAACATACCGTGCTTTTGTTTGTACTTGGTAGCGTCTTTTCAAACCTTCTGTCTGCTCCTGAGCAATGGGTAAACATTAATTGCTGCATCTCAACTTCAGGAGGAACAAAAACATTACATAACTAAATCGTGATTGTTTTTCTGACTACGTCCAGTGAAAGGAGCATTTCCAGTGATTCAAGCATGTAGAGTTAAGCCATAATGGGGAGAGACAGAGCGAGGAAGTCAGAAGATAGTATTGTTTAACAGGAAATTAATCTGTATTAAAAGCTGATTAATATTAATATTTCTTTGCATTTCCTGTGCAAAGAAACCTGGATTTGAGTCGTCATGCCTTGCTGATTTTTATCTAAGTTCAAAATAATACTATGTGATGTCTTTCAATCAGCAGCTCATTATTATTTGAGAAACTTAATCAAAGTACATGCAAATGTCCCCGAGTTATTTCCAGAGTGTGAGTGAGCAGTTCCCTCTTCTACCAGGGCATGTGCTGTCAACTAAGAAGTGGTAGAAAATGCTTTATCATGCCTTGGTGATTTGTAGGCATTATGTGTGCAGTAAAAGCAGGCAGGAGAGTCCCGAGGCAGAGGTCTTTGTGTGCCTTCCAGCGTGTGCCACAAGTGTCACCAGCGAAATGCGCTTTCACCGACTGCCTGTCCCTTCTGTTTCCCTGCTGCTGTACAGGTTGAACGATCCGAAGATGTCAGAAGCAGAGCGTCAGTCAATGGAAAGAGAACGGGCAGACTGCAGCCTGTTTGTTCAAGAGCTTCTACTGTCCACTTTGATGCAGGAAGAAAGTTCCTCCTCAGACGAGGATGAGCGGGGGGAAATTGCCGATTTTGGTGCTATGGGCTGTGTAGATATTATGCCTCTAGATGTTGCTTTAGAAAACCTAAATTTAAAAGAGAGTAATAAAGGAAACGAGCCTCCTCCACCTCCTCTTTGATGACATCCCACTTTGCAGACAATGTCCTCTGTGCTGTATTTGCCAATGAAAGTGGACAACAACTATCTTGGGTTTGTTTTGGTGATTGTAATTTCAGGTCTGTCACTCTTGTTACATTGTGTACATTCAAAAGAAAGAGAGAAAAGATATATATGATAATCATTTCCACTTAACTAATTTTTACTTCTAGCAGGTAAATGTAGGTTGCAGTGCAGAGCAAAAAGCTCTGTGCCCTGTACCTTGACATGCAAAAGGCTCTCCTAATACTCCACATTCAAACTGAAGAGAAAAAAAAAAAAAGAAAAATCTCTAATGAAGCTGCTGTGTGTATTTATGAATATTAATGAATAAAAACTGCTTGGATGGTTTACCTTAACTACTGCATGACGTTTTTTGCAGCGTGCATGAGTTTTAGTGACCTTGTCATTTAAAAATTTAAATACAAGGAGCAGAACTATAAAACCCAAAGCTTTCCCATTATTCAAAGGTTACGTAACGAAAAGGTTAGTGCAGTTTGTGGCCACAAAGTAGCTTTTGAATAATATGTGACAGAATGACACCTGTATGTGCTGTTCCTGCACACGATGGAAACTGCAGTGGGTTTATATTGTCGTGACCAGGGTGTGGCATTTTGCTATATGTGATCATTATGTTGCCCTGTTATTCATCACATCAATGTGGAGTTGAACTTCATTTTATGCATCTGTAGGAGACACAACAATAAGACCACTGCTGGAAGCTACTGCAAGGGGCTTTTGTGTGCCCTGAAATCAAATGATGTTCACTTTTGTTTAAAGTTTTTCTTTTTTGTGGTTGTTAATTTTTTTTTTAATTGTTAAACATGTTTTATTCAGGTGTAGATGATTCATATATTCGCTGTGTTTAAAAAAAAAAAAAGTTAACCTGGATCATGTTGTCTTAGTTTAAAAAGCCTTTCACAGCCTCAATCATATTTTGAGTTATTTATGTATTTGCTTAATAGTTTGCAGAGACATGTTAGTATCAGGAGAGCTTGAGGATTTGGATCCCCAGATTGTCATTATATTACAACTGAATTCTTAATGCTAACTTTAGCACCTTCTATTTATTGTTCTTTTTTGGTTATTTTTGCTGGTATAAAAAAAGTTCTAAAAGTCTTTTAGTTGAATCGTGACACCTACATGCCTATATTGCTAGCCCTAGTGATGTAAAAAAAAAAAAAAGTGCACTGTTCTTGTGCATATATGTTCATAATAGCCCAAGGACAAGGACAGAAGAGGTGTGTTTGGTTTTGGCTTTCTTTCCTTTTTTGTTCTGTGGTTGGTTATTTTTTTTTTTGAATGTAAAGTTAGATTATAAAAACAAAAGTGCACACAGCTTCTGATTTAAAAATAATAATAATAATAATTATTAAACTAGGCTTATAACATAATGGTGTCTTTCCAGATCTTTCTCACCTCACCCCCTCTCTCTTTCTCTGTATCCTTCCATCTCTGCAGCATTGCTAGCATTGTAGAGTAAATTTACAGACTTGAACACCAGGTGGTGTTCTCAGCAGAACTGTGACGTGTATGCTAATCCAAAATAACAGCAGCAAAAGAAGCAACCCTATAGACTGAGGTTTAAAGTTCCATCCTTTTTTTTTTTTATATATAATAATAAAATCCTCAAATCCTGATTGTTTCCACATAGAGCAGTACTAGCTTTGTTTTCTTTCAGTCTCTGCAACAGAAAATGTTCTAAGGGAAAATTTACATGAGGCCTCTGGTTATCCTTAGAGTTACCCCGAGTAGGGACTTTTTTTTATTTTATTGATTGTTGAGGATTTTCAAAAGTTTTTCAAGTTGTAGTCTTTTCAAACACATCTTCTGCACATTACAATAAGACACACGGTTCAATAAAGCATTTTCAAGACTGTTGTTCAGTTGATTTTCTTTGTTGTTGATGTATTTACACAGACAGTTTTGTTCCAGAGCTTTCTGTAGCTGTCTGTAATTCCAGCTGTATAGAAAGTCAGTTCACGTGAAAATCCTGGGTGAGTGATGTAAATGTGCTTGATGACTTGTGCGCACTGTCAGGGGATGAAGTAAGGAATCCAAGCCTCTTTGCAGGTAGGTGAATTCAGCTTTCTATAGGAAAAAATAAGTTTAAAACTGGCTCTTCTCTGTGCATGTTGGGACTTGGGGTCTGTGGCTGGGCTCGAGGACACTTGCATCACATCATTCCCACACTCTGCTTACTGGGAGAAGGATGTAAAGCGATGCTATCTGCGTTTAGACTTGAGTATGTGCTGACTTGCATGTACCGGTATGCTTAGGCATCGGACTAATTCCTTCAGAGATTATAAGTCTTCAGGTCTCTTTGGGGTGTTTTTTTTTTTTTTTTTTTTCTTTTTTTTTTCTTTTTAGAATAATACAAAATGACTACTAGGTAAGTGTTTATTCTAGTAGTCTACCAATTTGTATTTGCAGGGCAGCATTTTTTCTTTGGAGGGGGCTTTCACAGGATTGTATTCTTGGGTGTTTCATAAACACTTTTCCATAAAATCCTGAAAATGCATGGTACAGTGAAAAGAGTATTCAGAAACTTCCCAGAAGCATCGGATATTTTTTTTCCCCCAGGGGAGTAGAAGTGGGGGGGGATCTACCATTTCATAAAAGTGAGCCTGAGTGCTCTGTGCTCACAAAATATTGTGAGTTCAATGTGGCAAACACAACGAAAGTGCATTTTAGCTTCCATCCACCTCCTGTCATTGTTTACTGGTGGTCTGACTGCCTTGTCTGGGATGTTTGGGGTGTGGGGGTGTTTGTGTGGGCTGCTGTTTTGGAGGTAGGAGATTCATTTTGTTTTTCTTCCACCCTCCTTTACCACAGGTGTGGTAGGCATGGAGGTGTGGGCTCAGGTAACTTGTGGGCACTCGTGTGGTCCAGAAACTGAGCGTTCAGATGTTTGTGTGTACGGGTTTGAGTTGTTTGCCTGTTTGGGAAGAACATAAGGTAATTCCCTGCCACCACCCAGAAATTGTGGCAGGCAGAAATGCTCTGCTGCCTCCTGGCCCTCAGAAGACCTGAACTGGAACCACTGGATCGATGGGTGACTCCTCCAGATCCATCACTTGCTCTTCCTCTCCTTTACCTTGGCACCCTTGAGTTTAACATCTGGATGTGCCCTGCTGGCCAGCTCAGTGGGACACGCTGCTGTTCTGAGGTCACTTCAGGCTCTTGGCCCCTAAGGATGTGTCCAGGGCTGGCGAACAGGGCCAGTGCCCTCCTGGGGGTGCTGCAGGCCAGGCAGGGGCACAGGGAATCAAAGTTGTAGAGGCAGTGAAGGAAGGGGGGGGGGTGGGGAGAAGGGTGGGTCACAGGGCGGGGGGTAGGGGAGGAAAAAAGGTGGGCAGCGGTGGGGAACAAGGGGATATCAGGGAGCACGATGGCCAGAGGCAGGAGAGAGGTGGTAGTAGGGTTCGGGGGAATGGGAGGGACTGAGAGCAATGGGAGCTTTTTCTCTGTTATGTCCATGTCCCTCTTGTACGGGGGAGCCCACAGCTGGACACCACACTCCAGGTGTGGCCTCACCAGTGCTGAGGAGGAAGGCAGGATCACCTCCCACCACCTGCAGGCAATGCTTTGCCTAGTGCAGCCCAAGACACCATTAGCAATCTCTGCAGCTCGGACACATTGCTGGCTCCTCTTCAGCTCGGTGTCCACTGGGGCCACCAGGGCCTTTCTGCAGAGCTGCTTCCCAGCTGGGCAGCCCCAATCTGGCTTCAGTCATTCATGCAGTTTTCAATCCACTCCACTGCTCATCCAGCCTGTATTTCAGCTTGTCTTTGAGGAGCTCACAAGGGGAGCAATGTCAAAAGCCTTACACAAGCCCAGGAAGACAACATCCATTGCTCCTCCCTCATCCATCAGGCTGGTCTTGGCTTTATAGATGCCCCACTTCCCTCCCTTTGGGCAACCCTGCAGGCCTGGCATTTTTGCCCAACTTCCTATTCACCGTGTGTGATGCAGTGCTCCTGGAGGAGGTGATCCCTGAATACTCACCCAGTTTCTTCTGCTCCTTTCCTCCCCTTCCCAGTCAGCCACCCCCCCTTCCTCTCCATACCCATACAGCTGCCTCTACAGCTACACTTCCACCAGTGAGACCAAGTTGTGTTATTTCAGCAGCCTTGGTCTTTCCGGAGGCACAGCGGGGAGGTAATTCTTGCAGTGATGGGCTGGCCAGCTGCAGTGGATACTTTCCAAGACAATTCAGGAGGTTCACATTTTCTGCTGAATTGCTGTTGCTGCCCACCCTCCCTTTGTTCTACTGCACAAAGCCCTTGGGAAATGAGGCGCGATGCCTCTGGTGTGTCTAAGCATGGGGCAGACCAGCTGACACCAAACATGTTCACATGTACACAGCCCAGAAGCTGCAATGCCAACTGTGCCTTGGCTTCATGGGCTTCAGTTTAAAACCAAGCACCAAAGAAAGGCAAAGCAAGCACTTGCGTTTTATATAAGCCTTTATTTACAACTTGTTTAACAACTGTACACTCTTCTGTAACCTTGGAAGCATTAGTGTATTTGACTGGGAAAAAATATTAAACCTTTTGATTCTAATGGTCATCACCGGGTATTTTTTGTCTATATACAGATATGTATATTAATACTGCTACCATGACAATCTGGTAGTTACACATTTCATAGATGAACCGAAATGGGAAATTAATGTTTTGACACTCTAGGAACCCATTCTCTTACAGAAAATATATCACTGTCAACTTCACAAACAGTTACTTTGATAATTGGTCAACACTTAATTTTGGACTGTCAAACAAGCTGCTATTAAGAAAGTAAGAGAGTTTTCTATGCAGCATAAATGAAGTTAGTATATCAGAGACATGCTGGAGATCACCTCTGCACCGGCAGCTCGCAATCACCTCTTGGCAGAGGTGCTACGCTACCGCGTTGAAGCAGCCAGCCCGTTTGCTGGAAGCTACCCGCAGGTTCTCTGTTGCATTAGTGAACTCAAGTTTCGTCAAGCTAAACACAGTTACATATAAATGTCTTAGGCTCAAGAACAACCGATACATAGTTTCCTAAACTGCACAGACCACTGGGATAAATGAGGTACAGCAAAGCTTCGGCTCGGGGCACCCTTGCAGGCAGGTGTGACAAAAGCAGCTATCCCCTCACACCCCGCGCGGAACCGCGGCCCTGGGCTGGGCGGTCCCGCTCCCAGCGTGGCCTGGAGAAGGGCGCGCTCCCGGCAGAAGCGGCACTAGCAAATGGGAGACGAACTATGCCTGGGACACACAACGCAAAGGAAGGGGTTTGTCTAATAAAGCTTGCCCTGACACAGAACAAAGGGATCGATGGCTGGCACCTGGGAAGACGCAGACCTCTCGGCGATGCTGGACTGGGCCCGGCAGCAGCACGGAGCCTCCTGCAGCCCACCCTGGGCTGCGCTGCCACAGGCGCTGCCGGGCCAGGAGGAGAAGTCCTCACCCTCCAGGCACTGCCAGGCAGAGCAGCACCACCAGCACGGGCAGCCCAGCCCCGGGATCCTGCCTCCCCTGTGCGGGGACACCCGCCCGCTGCAGGCAGCGGTGGGCCTCGCTCTGCCTTTCTCCAAGCAACTCGGTTTGGCACCAGGCACTGGGGCAGGGGCACCGAGGGCACCGTGCTCCCCGAGGGGTTAGGATCCAGGCGAGCGAGAGCAGGGTTTTCCCTAGAACTGGGCTTAAACCGCAGGGCTCGGGGTGTGCTCTGCTTCCAGGCCCTGTTGGGTTTCCGCGGCACGGCCTGTGGCTGGGCAGCCTCCTCCCCACCTCTCCCCTGCCAGCCCCTGTACAACAAACGTCTTCACTTAGACCACTACAGTACCCCCTTGCCTTCTGGATCTTGCCAGTACTGGATGTCCAATACAAAACAAAGATACAGTAGTACAAATGTGCAGATTTTTTTTAAGAATATTAAATAAGCAGCTCTTTAAATTAATATAGGCAAAAGCATTTTGAGTTATACTGTCTAAATATTGCAAATTTCATAGCTAAACTTCATAATACAAAGAAATAGCCAAGCTAGTGCAATTGGAAATGAAATAGCTAAGACTGCAATAATGAGAAAAGAAACAGTACAGGTAAAATATAAACAACCCAAATTATAAACTGGCAAGGACAATCTGCATAATACTGGAAGTGTCGACAGCTTTCATACTTATCTCCATTCACGTTCTTCCCTCAGATTGTTTAACAATTGTACACAGATTGGAAAAAAAACAAACGTTTCTGAAAGAAACAGACAACACAGCTAAAACATAGAGAGAAAAATACAACAGCCACAAACTACTGCATATATACATAGTAAGGAAGCAGGCAGTGTCTGCGAGCAAAGGACTGCACAGTAGTTTGCCTGTCTCGGAGATTATCTGACGAACCTTGCCTGGTTTTCTAAGGAAGATGGGCTGGCCAAGCAGCAATTCATTAGTCATTTCTCCTGGTAAAACACCTCCTTGGCTTTACTTTTAATTATTTAAAATTCAAAGTATATCCTTTAAGGGTGCAGGTGCTTTAAAATTTTAACAGTAACCAAAAGGCATTTTTAGGAACTCATTAAGACTAGGTTTTTATAGTTCAGTATATGAAAATGTTGCAGGAGGTCTGTGTGTTAATGCTGTTAATCAGAATTAAATGGAGTGGACAGACAGAAGTAAAATGGAGAGCTGACAGTGCTCTGTCAGTTTGCAGAACGCCTCCTGTAGAGCTCTGAATACTGGATTTCCTCTCTGTTAGCCTCATAGGAGACTTTTTGTGAAGATAAATAGTAAATGGAAGCGGGAAATGGGAAAGCCAGTTCCCAAGATGATAGGCTTCTCTGCAAGTAGATCTCCCTTTGAAATCAGATGCCCATGAGTCTTAAGTGTAGAACTGGTTAAGTTTTGGTTATGCAGTCTGGACAGAAAAGCAAGTCATGCACTGAACAGTCCCTGTTATAACAATGCTGCAGGTCATGCAACCACATCACTGCAAATAAAAGAATAAAGAGAAAGTTAAAAAGCAGATCACATCACCATTTAAAAAAACAGAGAACAGAACAAGTATTTTCAAAGCAGTTCAGTAAGGCCGTCTCTACTTCGAATTGTGCAAATTCACGGGGAAAACATCTTTGCCAGGTCAGCGCTTCAAAGTAACAGGAGGATTATAGGCCAAGAATTGGGAACAGCAACAAAACAGCCTCAAACAAATATAAAAATTTAGACACAGTTCAGACAAATTTAAACACTTCTGAGTGACGTTCTGCAGGGCACCACTCTCTGCTAACATAGCTATGGGAACTAAGTTTACACAGCTATGAAAATCTCTGGCATTCCTGCTGTCTGTGAGTACGACTAGTGGAAAAAAAAAAAAAAAAATCAAGCTCAATATAAAGTGAAAGGTGCCTGTCCAATACTGTGCATGGTTATAAACTAAAAGACAATCATCAGGGTCAAAATGACTCTGCCTGAGACTTCAAGCTCTGAGCACCGCAAATAAACTTGAAGCATTGATATTTCATCACAGATCATTCTGTGCAGGACACCAAAACGACATCACTGCCGTATTACACTGGCAAGCGCTACTCATTCATTGCATGCAGGTTTTAATCACAAGGAAATTACACATATTCTTGTTAAAACACACCAAGTAGGAGCCCTAAGACCACACCACAACACTGCAGAAGTGAACCTAAGTCTGGAGGACAGCTGGATAGGCTGCGTATTGCTCCATCCCAGCTGATACACTCTCCCTTGTGGCCAGCGGACTGACAGGTGGAATGCTTTACTAACACAGCTACAGTGCTTTCAGGTTCCCCAAGCAGCACAAACACCCTTGCACAGCACGGCAGAGCACTAACTGCTCATTCTCACTTCCACTTGTCCCTCACTAGCTTCACCCCGCTGAAATCACACTGTGCAAACCGTTTCTCTCCCCATTTCTGACTCCCTAATATTGCACTAGTCCAGCACAGTTCTAAGAACAGCTCCTGTGACAGGAAAAACCCAGGTTACATACAGAAGGAAAAATATTCATAACTAAACTCAAGGTCTTAGAGTGATAAAAGGTCTTTCTGCTGCAAGTCCTGCAGCTTGTATGTCCCTCTTTTTTCCTGCTCAGAATACTGATCAGCTAACAGTTGAAAAACAGGAAGATACACACATAAATCAAATGGAACAAACCCAGAAAACGTTTAAAAAGAACACATTCAAAGCAGACCTTGGGAGTGTATGTGGAGTAACTACTGTCTGAGATGCGCTGCTACACTTGCTTTGCACTGCCTGGATGCAGAAAGTTACAGAGCTCAGGATTAATTATATGAAGATTACTGCAGTTAGTCAAAAAATAAAAGTTCAAGCTATATAAGGATTTACCTATTCTATTATGCATAAATGAATACAGGCTACTCCTTTAATCTCACCTGGCTATTACACAGTTCAGACTTACTGTTTTGTAATGCTCCGAGTGACCTGATGCACATAAGCAGAAATGACATTGCAGGTTTTTCCCTGGGACATGAGTACTTTTAAAGAGGACCTGTAAATTCTGGACAGTGTATTCTCTTCTCTTTTGAGGATGCACAGATACCTCGGTTCATCTGAGAGTGCCCTTTTCAAACCTGAAATTCTTACCTTGCTCCAGAATAACTGTCTGTTAATTTCTTTCTCTTGAGGAACTTCTCAAAATGAATCAATACTTTCAGAAGCTACCTGTTGCAGCAGCACTCCGGAAGATGACAGAAACGTGAGTGTAAATTCACTCAGCATGACCTGTCACTATTCCTGTGGCACCTTCAGAATGGGACAGTTTATTCGGCATAGGACTTGCCTAGAGAGGAGTGACTTTCCCTTTTCTTATCAGTACAAAATACTTCAGCTATATGTAACTGATGGCTTGCTGTTAGCCTGGGGGATTATTTATTGGTGAGACATTTCCCTTCAATATTCAGCACCAGATCTCATTAGCTCCACTTCATTGTAAGTGGTTAATTAGTGACTTAAAACCTCCTTAACTTCTCTCTGTCATCCTGTGTTTTTTCCACATGCAGACATGACAGACAACTCCTGCACATCACAGCCTCAGGAGGGATGGGAACCTCTCCTTCTCACTCACCTGGCCAGCTCTGGAGACACCTACCAACACACTGACTTCAGAACAGTGCTCACACAAGACAAACCTGATAAAAAAGAAAACAAAAAAAAACAACAGCCAAACAACCCAACCCAACCTCATGTTCTTACTAAGGAACTACTTTTATATTCAGTGTATGTTCAGTCCTAAGACAGAGGAGGCTTTCTGTAGCTATCTGCTTTCTATAACTAGTATTTTGTAACAGAATCACCAAAGTCATCAGGGCAACGCATCTTTACTTGCAATTAAGGACAGCACTTACCTGAAAGCATGGGCAGTACTTACTTAGTACTGTCCTTACTTTCAAGTCTAACACTACACTCTTCCCAAATATTTCTAAAATCACTTAATGGCTTCTACTGCTAAAGTTTTTCTTTCCTGCATCTATTCTTTCTTTTCCCATAGCATTTCCTTTAGATTTTAGGCCTCAAAGAACCCATTAACTCATCTTTTCAGAACTGTGTTAATGTCACTTCAAGTTTTTGTTCTTACTATCACTGAATACAAAGTGGATTATAAATTCTAAGAATTGTGGCCTTAAAACATCCCCTTTATTACTGTTTCAAGATTTTATTGATATTGTTAAATATGAACTTAAAAATCCCTCAAAACCACTGACACCCCCAAGAAACAGGTTTCTTCTCCTGGTTACCAACTTCTGGTGGCTGAGAACTAAAAGTCTCTACTTTATAAAATCTGTACTGCATAAGGAATGTTTTATTCAAATACTGATAATAAAAAAATAACCTAATGGTTTTATTGCAACTATCTTATAATATTGCAAGTATTTTAAGATACCAGAACGATTTGTTTAGGAAGCCGCCTTGGCGACAGTGCCAAGTGTTGGTAAAATGTCCCGTGGGACTGTATTTGTCAAGTTTTCTAGGACTTCTCTATCTACACATTCATTCATTTTTGATCTACATTCATTAGCTGGTCTATGTATCAATAGAATAAGCTGATGATGTACTTAAAAATGACCTTTGTATCCCAGTATTTCAGTGAATCCACTAAAATAAAATAAAATGCAAAAACAGAGACCAGGACTAGAGAAATCCTCAGCATCTCCAAATACTGCAGTGAGATTGTCAGCAGAGACAAAATCTCCAGGGATTTGCTATAGAAGATTAAAGAAGTCTGAGGATGCTGATAGTGACAGTTTCTGTTTTACTGACATCGGAAAAGTCTCCAATGCTTCATCAACTGCAATTCAAAATTAATTAGAAAAACAAAGATCTCCAAAGGCTCAGATTTCACTTCACTGTTTTTAAACTACCACCAAAAGGCAGAACTGTGAAAGACACACTGCTCTTCAGATTTTTGTACTTAATGGTTGAATTTATCTGTCTCCTCCACCTTCAAACTGAAGAAATCAAACTTTATTTTTTATTATATTCTGCAGAAGTACTGACAGGCTTCTGGTCCTTTTCTGTTCTTCCAGAGGGAAGGAACATCACAGGAGCAAAGCTACAGAATCAGTGATGCCAGGAAGTTTTCTGGATTCCTTGGAAGTGACTAACTTGAGATGTGGCTAGGATTCGACACACAATTTGACATCTGCCTTTGCCTGACCCCAGAAACAGTATCTGGTTTGTGAAGATGCTCTGAGCACAAGTGAGGCTCACTCCTTGCCACTGCCGGCTCCTGTACCAGCATATCCAATAATGTACGACTCCACTTCTTTCTCCTGATGAAAGGCACAAAGCAGGGAAGCCTTGCCAGTGCAGAATAGAGCTGGACTGCCTGGGCTGTGTGCAGCGTGTGTGGCTCAAGAGCTCATTCATCAAATTCCATGCTCACCCGATTTTCACATTTAATCTCTTACGTTTATGATTTACCTTCTCATTTTAACAGAACACTACATGTATCACACTGCCAGCGTCAGCTAACACTGCTGTTCTAAGGAAGGGCTTCTGATGAGGTTTCCTTCTAAGCAAATCACCTCCTGAGATCACATTTCAGTCATAATCCAGCTTTCAAACTATTCTGCAGGTGACACCTGAAGCACAACTACTTTTTTTCAAGTGGAAAAAACATCACTGGAAAGTATTTCTTGTCAAGGAAACCTCTTCTAGCTATTTATTTGCACAATACTGGTGAGAAAATGCCTCCAAAATTTGCTAAACTTGGTTTGGAGATGTCAAGCTTATCAACATAGTATTACTGCAAAAAAAAGAATCCACATTCTACCTAAAACACGTGCAAAAACCACAAGACGTCAGTATTACATCTCTGACTTTGAGTGCAAAAATAGCTCCCTCATCAATCCTTGCAAAATGTCAAACTGTCCGGGGGGGAGGGAAATCTATAAAATGAATAAAATTCAGGAACTGTTTTGTTTTGTAAGAGAAGGAAAAACTAGCCACATTCAAGATGGTCTTCCTGCAATTGCTAACTTGAGTAAACAAGTTCTGAAGTTAAAATATTTTCCAATTATCATATCTACAGAAAATGTCAACATATCAAGATAATCAAACCCACTACAGCTCATCCAGGAAGCCGTGGACAGCCTCATGCACTAGAGAACTGAAAAAACCAAAGCTATGTGCATAAGTCAAAATACCAAGGGCTTTAAAATCTACAAATCCCCTTAAATTTTCTTGATAGCTTGCACATACCACGTACTATCAAGATGATGATAAAGCAGCAATAGGATTTGTCAATATTAATTCTTTCACACACATTGAATATAAAACCGACAGTGCTGTCTACGTGAACAGAAGGCCACAAAGAACTTGCAGAGTTAATGCTGCCACCTCAAGGGACATCATCAGAACAGCACAGGATTACCATTTGGTCATTTCCATAAAGATAAAAGGAAAAACCCCTTGTAGACAATGTGTATGTGCTTCATTTTACAATATATACAGCTGTGTGCTACGGTTTGTTTTCCTCTGCACTGTGGATGGAACACACAGCCCCTAAATTAGATCAGAACACTTGGAAAATGGATGTTAGGATCCAAATGTTTAAGTGTTGCTTTAAGAAAATTGGGGAACACGAATACTCTTTTCTGCAGTGTCTGATCACACTTGCTAACAACTTAACATGGAAATACTTAAACTGGACTGCACACACATTCTGTCAGACCAGAAACTAGGCTTCAGCTCTAAACAACGAACATGTGTGTGCATTTAACTGCTGCATGTTGTTTGCATTTAATTTACATCTCCCAGAAGGACTATTCTGGGAATATCCTCAGCACAGCAGTTAGGAATGCATTCTCATGAACTTTTTAGTTGTTTATCACTGCCCTGAAGAGCTTTTTTTTTTTTTTCCCTTTAAGACCAGTCTGCAGGCTTTTTTTTTTCTGTAGTGTATCGAGACAGCCTATAATTTAACATTGTCACTACAGTTTTGATGTCAATAGTCTTTGTGGTCTCCAGAAAAGTCTTCCTAGAAGTTTCTTTGAAGTACGTATTGTACTAAGAGAATTCTGTTTTATGGGGCTTTTTTGCTATATTCTTTTACTGAGATACAAAGAATAGACAGCATTCACAGCTGGCTAGCTCTGTATTATTACCTCATGTCACACTCTCAGTCCTTGATTTTTAATAGCACGCTGCTTCCAAAACTACAAAACAAGCAGGATTTCTTCAGAGCACTCCACTCCACACAGCTAAGAATTGCTGGATGCAACAGATAATCAAAGGAAAATGCTAAATAACGCAGAATTAAATTTCGTTGACTACCATTAGAAGTCAAAAAAAGACTTATTGGAACTGGATAGAGGGAGGTGCTCTTTAAATGCATAGGTATAAGACTGCAATACATTTTTAGATTTTTGTCTTCAACAGAAGCTCTGAGCTTCTGTTGAATACAAGCCTCAATGTCTTATGGGAAAATGGAAAGTCCAAACAGAACAAGGAGAACCTACAGAACAGAAAACAAAAATCAACAACCAGAAAGAGGGGAGGGAAGAGAAGCCACGAGAGAAAACCTAAAGACAAAGCTTCTAATCAGCGTTTGCACATCTCCCAACCATCAGGGGCATTTGTCTGTCATCAGAACTTTGGAAATAAAATAGTAAAATAAATGTTACAATAATTACAGCAAGTAGTTTTATTCTAGTGTGCAGATTATATTCAAGTGATTTTAGATATGCAACTAATAGCAACAGTAAATTAAATTATTAAATAAATTTAAGAGAGACCCCCCCCCCCCTCCCTTTAAGGTCCTGGTGTTCCTTTCTTTCACAAGTAGGCTTTGGCAGTTTGATAACAGACAAAGGCAGTGAGATTAGAATAAAAATGGAGTTTTCAGTGTTCTTACATTCTTTCTCTGGGTGACACAAAACACTCTACTCTCGAGCAAGAACATCAAATTCGCTTATTTGCTCCTGTTCACACACGGCATGCAGTAAAGAGTTGTTCAAAGGACTAGAATGGATTGCACAAAAAGGTCAGTAAAAGATTTCACACAGAAACTGTGGTCATCTTGCTACCTAATATATGACTTCTTTGATCTGTTAGCATTTGGTATCTCAGTAAGAGACAGCAAAACAAGGATCAGCTCGCTGAACTACAGAAATTGTCCTAAACTGCCTTTGTTGCCTAACCACCATTGTTAACTTTCCTCCACACAAAGAGATACTTCTGCTGTCTCAGTTTTATCTTGCAAGTATAGCCCAGACTTCTCACATCATGAATTAACGAGAAGAATTTTTAGAAAAATCATTTTTCTTCCAAATAAAACACAAACTAAAAGAAGAAATTCTGAAGTTAACTTGAAGTTAATGAACTTAATATGTTTTTGTATTACTGGAAAAAAAAACTACATTTTTCAGACACATATTGAAAGTATTCTTAGCCTAGATTACAACAGATGATGTACTTGAGGATAAAGGAATACCTACGAGCGCCATCCACCTATTCCTTACCCTTTAATCTAGGTGTACTCATTTTAACTATCCTTTGTTCAATCCACTGAAGTTGTGAATTAAGATGCTTACTAAATTGTCTTCAGATGCTTACTAAATGCTAATAGGCCTTTTTTATGAAGGTATTTATGAAGAAACGTCTTCACTGGGAAGGGCATCAAAATAAGGTAAAAGAATAAATGTAGGAACCAGACTGAACATGCATTTAGGGGGCCAAACAGTTTCAAAATGAAAAATGTTTAAAACAGAATCACCACAAAATAGATTGAAGCCTTCAACCTATACTCAGGTCCTCTGTGTCCATCAATTCTTTGATGAAAGTGATAGCCAGGATGTAGAATCGCTCAGGGGAAAAGCAGAATTTTGTAGGACCAGGGCCTAAATTAATACTAGGGACCATCTGCCACCCCACTGATCAACATGAAGGTGCTACAGAGAGTGACATATGATCAACTAGATACATGCTAGGAAGGTAGTACAACAAATTACAGCCAGTTTTCAACAAAGTCAGCAACGTGCTCACCTGAAGGCACTGGTACCATTAGTAAGGCAACTGATACAAATATACCCTGAATCAATATATTAAAAGCAAGTTGCTTAGTAGGGGATGACAACTGAAGCATATTAACATCAACAGTAATTTAGGCCTTGATCCATTATCTACTTGTTAGTCCATAATTATAAAAAAAATTAACACAAATGCTTTTTTTTTTTTTTAAATGGACGATGCAGTAGCGTATTAAAGCATTTCAAATATTCTTCAATCTTTTTATACTATATGTTAACCACACACTTGATCTAGAAGAGTGGGACAAATCATTTAAAAATATTCCGTTCTGTCAGCAACACGTAAAACCAGCAGACCAACAAAAGCCTTAAAAATCATCCTGCTTCCCTACTAAATGCCAAGAGTAAGAGCAAACTTTATACAAAGGAGATTTTTTTTGTTATTTCGTGTTACTGATAAGTGTTTCAGCTGCAAATATATTTCACAATAACATATTAATTTTGAATTTTTGTGATGAGTTTTCAGCTTTTTTTTGAAGCAACTGGATAGCACAAAAATAAAAAGCCTAATTCCTTTTAACAAACGCAGTCTTGTAAAGCATCACAACCCTTATAGGCACAAATGTATCAACTGTGACAGGAGATTCACATTGTTACACAGCCCATATGAGGCTTTTTGTGAGGGACCAGGCTTCATACGAGTTTAAAAGATTCCATTATTGTACAACACTCCTCTAGATGTTTTCAAAACTTTGGCACATTCAGAAAAAGGAAGAGAGAGAAAAAGGGACAGATGGGCTTCAAAAACCATAAACAAAGGGCATTACAAAACAACAAGGAAACCATAATAAAACCCTTTCCTGAACTGTAAAATAATGATGGTAACAAGGGAGAGAGAGAAAGGATGCTGGTTGCTTTTTGTTGAACGCTGTCACTTGCAACAGAAGTGGCCTTGATCATGGGGCAATTTTCTTTTTAAGAGCAAGGCTTCTCTACCTTGCAGTTGCTGGCTGGACATGACCAGGGTAAGATCTCCTTGTGCTCGTGGCTTGCCTTTGTCTAGCCAGGAAGGACTGTCCTGAGCCTGTGCTAGCTAGTCTGTCTTCTGCTGCTTTTTTATGCAGAGTCATTCCCTATGGACAAAGAGAAACTTCTTAGAAAAAAAAAATAGAACATGTAGCATTCAACAACTTCATTCATTTATATTTTATTTCCTCTTCTTCAGCAACACTTACTAGGTTGTTTTGAATTTCAAACACAAAGCATCACCTTTTCAAGGCTAAGGCAGACATCCTTCCAGATCTTTTACCATGTTCTCTTCCACCCCCCACCCTCCCCAGTCACTGTCCAGTTTGGAATACATTGTTGAGCAGCATGTCCCTCAGTTTCCCACATTTGACAAAATGCTTCTCCACATAGACACAGTGACTGGACAAACCTTTTCAAAATTGCCTCCTCCCCTTGCCACCCCAGGCCCCTTTAGCATGCTGAGCCAGAAGAGTACTTCTCTTCTGAACACAAATTCTTTCCATCTCTGCATTAGCTCATATGGCAGGATCACACCTTGAGAGGAAATATGTTTTCAGCAGGAATGAATGCAAGGAGGAAATGAGAATTTGAAGAAATAAAAAAAAGCTGTGATGGGTTGTATAGTTGTGCACAAAAGCAGAGGCTAATTACAGAAAGACATACAGAAAGCTATCAAGACTTATTTCATGATGAGCTATTGAACCATAGCTCTGTTCAGCCCTGTCTTCTGTTCATAAGTGGTACTAATGCGACAGAATTGGTCAAGGGCACGAGTCACTTGAAAATGTTTTCAGTATTTAAAGGATTCAAACACTCTCCAAGTACTATTTTTGCCTTAATATTCATGGACATAACAAGAACACAGAACATCAGGAAGAAAACTCTGCCCAGGAAAGACAGTGAGGAGGAATTTGAACTCAATGGTGAAGGAGAATGAACCATGAATGTCATGGCTTCCTTCTGTCAGGACAGCAGATTCAATGCAGCCACACTCTACCAAAGAGAAGTCTTGAACATATTTGCTAAAGGTAAAAAATCTCCTTGCACACATGCCCAGCAAAAGCTGTGTGGCTGCTTTTTTATACTCTGAATATTTTATGGGAGGGTCACACAGTTGTGTTCACCCTTCACTTGGGGCTAAACCTGTACCTAGGTTAAAGAGGTTGCTTCTCAGAGTGCTTACTGCAGCAGTAAGCTTTCTTTAAGCCCCTTTGTTTGAAACAATGAAAAGGCTGCAGAATCAAAGAAAGTACATCTGAGCACTGTAAGTCAGCTTAATTGAAGATATTTCAATTAAGAAGGATTTCAAGATAGCAATCTGAAGTTTCCTTCCCTCTATAAAATGCCAATTCTGGTCTTAAAATTTGAAAAATAACAGAAATGTTCTCTCTTACCCCAAGGTTAACAGAGGAATATAGACTTACATAACGATAACTTAAAATGATTAAAAAGCATTTGTTTCTATGTCTTATGTGTTGGAAAATGATTTTCAAACAAAAAAATAATGTAAATAAATGAAGAATTCCATGAACAACCCAGAAATAACTAATATTAATCCCTTCTTTGTTTTTTTTTGTTTGTTTGTTTGAAAGTTTGGGATTTCCTTACCATATTATACCAGGCACTAACAATAAATTTCTCCTCCATTTCTCTTTGACTTTTTGTTTTTTCATATTCTTTCTATAAAAAAAAAAAAGCATACAATTAAAAACTAAGTACAGTAAGTATTAGTCTACACCTAAAAAAACACAAGAATAACACACATCTACCAGGAAATGTGAAGATTACTACCTCCAATGAATGAAACATTCTATCCCGTTCCTGCAACTGATTTTTCAGAGCCTGAATCTCAGGAGCTGCACCCTGGTTTTGCTTAGGATCTAAGGTGCGGATGACCTGTAAGAGAAAAACAGATTGTTTTAAATTAAACACTGCAAAAACAATTTAAGTGAAAAAAATAATCAAAGAATTATAACCATGCAAGGCTGATTACAAAAACAAAATAGTGACTTAAAACGTATCAATGGTAAGAAAAGACACTCCAAGATGTGGAGCAGAGGGATGTGCAGTCTTAAGAGGCTGACTCCCATGACACAATCTTGCTAAACAGCATGACAGAGGCTCTGCCTCTGAACATCAGCCACGGTATGTTGGAAAATCTGAACGGGGTTCTCTTCCATGTGACCACGAAACAAAACTACTAAGAGGAAAAGCAGAACTGAAGAAATTCACTACACCAGACTCACGTATGCAGGTCCTTCCTCTGGTTACACTACCGTGGGGCCACAGTGGTGGAAACGTTTTCTCAAAGACTTTTTACAAGGCTCAAAAAGCTCAGGTTTACTTACATGCTCCCTGTTACTTCCTCCCCTTCAATCTGGAAAGATTACACCTGGTGCCATGGGGTACCACTGCGGTATCAGGTGCTGCTATTTCTAGAAAACTTATGCGAAAAAGCATCCTGTGGCACATGCATGATCACTATGTTACTAATACGATGAGCAGACACCGAGTTGTGTTCATGTGTGGCATCCACCACAGGCAGCATTTGAGTGCTATCAACCACAGAGCTCAACTAAGAACAAATTCAGCAAAATGCTTAGATACCTAAGCTCTCTGTAATAGAAAAGAGCAGACAAGTTTTTAACATGCTGGGGATATATAGGAAGAAACCTCTGATTTGTCTTCCTAACCACTTCAGAATGATATATAAATGCTTTAAATGTTACTAAGTCGTTTTTATGGAATAGTATTCATGGAAGAAGACTCAAAAGTATATTAAGTTTCTAATAAAACATACACTAGACTTAAACATAATTTCTATAGTGGAGGGCTATAATGATTGTAAGCGTCTTCACCAAAAAGAAGTCAAAGTTGATGAGATCACAAAAAGCTAACCTAAGAAAAATAACTAATTCTACTGTTATATAAAGCACTCTGTAAAGTAACACAGATCATACAAACAAATCTTATTGAATGGGGAGATCAGGATTCTGTCTTTCACCAGGATACTCTAAGAATATAAGATGTAAAAGAGAAAACAGAAAAAAAGAGAAAAAATATTTGTTTAGTTTTACAGAAGGCCTTTGAAACATCTTAGAAGTAGTCACTGAGAAAACTACATAGAAATAAAGGAAGGAAGCCTAGAGTTCTGACAGATCAGGAACCCTATTACAGATTTCCATTTAACTCAATCCAGACATAGCAAAAAGATCTTGATGTTACCATGAATAGATGAAACAGATGAATGAAAACACTAGTATACTTTCAATAAACTCAAATAAAATACAGAAAGTATAGAAGACATGGGTCCATGGTTGAGACCACAATGTTTCCATTTTAAAGCTGGTAGTATATCCACATCCTCATTACCATATTTAAATATTAGCCACCTTCTAGCCCAAAGCATACATTCAATAGTAAAGGTAAAAAGCCATACTAAACATCAATAGGAGAATCTAACAACTTGTGTAAGTAGTTCAGTCAAAAATATTACTTTATGTAGAAAAAGCATCTGTAAAAAGAGTTCACATTAAAATGGTTTCTAAACCAACTGGCTAAACCAAGACATGAACAAAAATAAACCGGGGCAAAAGATGAACAAAGAAAGCAAAATACAATTTAAATTGGTGCGAATGACTCTGCCACATGTGTAATTACCTCTGACTGTAAACTCTAAGGACTACGACTGAGTGAACTTGTCAGAAGCCCCATAAAAAAAAAAAAAAAGATGACCAATTGATGTGAGCAATAAGAATTCAGTGAAATCTGAAGCAGCTAAAAGCTGTATTGATAAAAAGGTGCATCAAAATTATCTGCTCCAGGTAAGGCAGACATTACTGACTCCCTGTGAGAAGCCTACACCATCTGGAAGCACACACAAATAGATTCAGCCACCTGAGAAGCAGAGAACCCCAAACTTCCTCTCCCCCCCTGCCTCATTCTTCAACCAAAGGAAGAAAAGCTGATAAAAGCAGAGTTTGTTGGTCCAATTGTGCCTGCACTTGGTGGGACTAAGCCACATCTGTGTGTACAAAGAGGAAAGATGTGCTGGAAGTCCCCAGAAGCCCCAGCACAAATGCCAATTAAGGAGTACTTCTGCGTATCGAGCTTCCCTCCCTTGAATTGTTTTACGTAAGTGGTGCTCTGATTCTGAAACAGCACAGCACAGCTGTTCTGGTAATTTCTCCATTACCAATCCTAGTATGGATGATCAGAGGGCTGGAGCACCTCTCCTATGAAGTCAGGCTGAGGGAGCTGGGGTTGTTCAGCCTGGAGAAGAGAAGGCTCCGGGCAGACCTCACAGCAGCCTTCTACTGCCTAAAGGGGGCCTACGGGAAAGCTGGGGAGGGACGCTTTGTCTGGGGGTGTAGTAGTAGGACAAGGGGAAATGGCTTTAAACAAAAAAAATGGAAGATTTGGATTAAATGTTAAGAAGAAATTCTTCCCTCAGAGGGTGGTGAGGCATTGGCACAGGCTGCCCAGAGGAGCTGTGGATGCCCCATCCCCAGAGGTGTTCAAGGCCAGGCTGGATGGGGCTTTGGGCAGCCTGGTCTGGTGGGAGGTGTCCCTGCCCATGGCAGGGGGTTGGAACCAGGTCTCTTCCAACTCAAACCATTCGTTGATTCTGTGATAATTAACATGGAACACACATACTTACGCTTTTGGCCTTTTCCAAATACTTTTTGTAACGCTCTTCCATTTGCTTCATTTCCTCCTCCTTTTTCCGTAAGGCTTCTTGTAACTCTTCAATTTTGAGTGCTTTATGTCAGGAGGTGCACACATTGGGAAATAACAATTATGTTTATTTTTGTGTGTTTAAACAGACACTTAAGGCATACTGCACTTCTTATCACATAAGGAATGTGATACAGCAGATACCATAGTTTTAATTACTCAAGAGCTCAGAAACATAAGAAATGTACTCATGATATCAAGAGATTGTCTTTCGTGCACAAATTTTGTTTTTAAGATTATGAAAAAAGAAAGAAAAAAGGAATCATAAATCATTGCCATTATGGAACAGACTCAGAAAACTAATTAATTATTAAATAGTTTCTTAATTACAAATTTCAAATTATATTCATATTGCAACTCAGATAAAAATGCATTTACTTATTCTGTGTTAGAGGAATGATTCATAAGAGGTATATGATTCTTACTTAGACCTGCTCAATTTTAACACTGAACATAATTTATCAGAATTGTAACATGAATATAGTCAATTTCATTTTTTCCACATTTTCTCAAGCAGCAATGCAGATCAGCAGGACAGTTTCACACAGGCTTTTCCTGTGTCAATACAAAAACATGCTGAGCCACTATCACTTAAAGCACAAACTATACATATTCAAAGAAGGTCAATTCCATCATTCTGGATAAAAACACAGAACAGTGGTGTTTGGTTCTCACACAAGGTTATAGTTGGCAACCCTCAGTCCATTTATTTTGCAATTAAAATGTTCTTTCATGTTTATCCTACACTTTTCTCTCTAAGCTCTTCAAAAACACTAAGTAAACAGGATCAAGTCATCTTGATCATTGCTCAATGCAACAAAGTAAGTCCTGCCAAAAGTCTTCACTGATCAGTTAGAGAATCAATAGCAGCTCGTCTCTAAGAATATAAGAATCCATTTTTCAGAATGTTCTCTGATTCTTGCAAAATACCAAATCCTTTTGGCCAGTCTCAAGACAGCTAAAAGAATCTGAAGAAATAATTTGCACACCTTTTATGCTGCCTATGAGAATAAAGGAAGAAGTACAAGCATTTTTATTTTATCAAGACAAAACTCAGACCTAGATTTTTAAAAAGCAAGTTGTAATTTCAGTAAAACTACAGAAGCTTTAACATTACTATTTATTTATTTATTTAACTAAGTCTTAGAGTCAGAAAAACGTTCTTACACTCACACTGAGGCTTATAAAAATGTCAGGATCATATGTTTATTAGCTGCTTATGAAGTCCCTAACCTTCGTTTCCAAGTGTACTAACATTTGCTAAAACATATAATTTTATTGCATACCCTTCAGTTATACTCTTATATATATATCTTGTATATAGATATATATACATCTTGTATACATATCTTGTATATAGATATATATCTTATATATATATCTTGAGATATACTCTCTCAACTTAACTAAAAATCCCTTTTGGATACAGAATTTACATAATGAATAGTAAAACTACATTTTAGTCTTCCTGGATCTCTTATGGTTGAAATTGTTCTGGCACAAACCAGAGAAGCTGACATTGGTTGCAAGCTTTTGCCTTGTTCTATTATGAGTAAGCTTCAAAACCAATAATCAGGCTCCTGTGGTACTTCTCACAAAATAAATAGTATTACCATGCTAAAAAGCAAACATTAACAGTTAGATTCTGGTCTCTAGAAACCATCTGACCTATAGCTATACAACATAATTCCTACATTTGTGTTGACCATTGCCCAAAAATATTCTCAAACTACAACGCAGTTCTACTGTTACCTGAAAACATAGCAAAGGAATATATATTGTTCGTAAAAGATGAGCTGGTGATGGCAGCAAGGATCTTCTAAACTAAGGTGGTAGGAGACATGACGGTTCTGAACAGTTGAGGTTCAAAGATAGGTATGATAATGACTAGGTATTTCTATAGGCATTGTCATTTCTTACTATGGTGGTCTCTAAAATGCAATCTCCTGCTTCTCAAGCATTACAATAATCTTTTTGGTCACCATAGTTTCAGAGAAATTAACACCTATCACTGACATTTAAAATGTGCATTTTGTTTATCTTGCACCTTCTATAGCTATTATAATTAAAGACCTCACACATGAAATACTTTACAAAGAAAAGAAATGGAGTGCACATCAGTAAACTCACAACTGTTATTGCATCTCGGTTCCAAATCCTCAATAATAGCTCGTTTCTTCTGTAACTCGTTATTAGCTTCATGGAGTTTCTCACTGTTGCAAATCATAAAGGCACATATTGTTTTCCAAATATTCTTACTGAGTTTGAATGAACATTAACCAATATTAAAAAAAAAAACAACAACAACAAACAACTCAAACAGCAATATATTTCTAATAGCATTACTGATTTTTCCTACGTGGGATGAGGAAAAAAGACAGGTGTTATTAATGTCACCGTGGAAATATTTGTAACACATGACAGCAAAGAATTACAGTATATGGAGAACTGTAACAGCAAGCAGACTCGTTCTCAGTCCAAAATGACAAATTTGCTTTAGAACTTACAGTAAATTACACAATGCATGCCTAAAATGAATACTTTTAACTGAGATTACATTATGCAAGAACAGCTAAAACCACAAGCAACAAAAACTACACGTATTGTAAGAGAGTTGAAAAGTGAAGCCTTTTGCATTTTAGGAAGTAGAAGGGAATAATACGAAGTGTTACCATTTTGTTCTAAAATGTTATGTATTATGCCCTAAGGTATACTAAAAAGTAAACTGATTATTTTTATTTAAATTCAAGTGTTTTCCCCAGAACAAAATGACTTACTCCTCTTGACAAAGGACTTATACAACGCTAGGCAAGGTATTCTAACTAACACAAAATTATGGTTTATTCACAGCTCTTATTACTTGGCAAAGTTTTTCTATGAAACGATAATATCCAAATAGCAGACTCCCTAACATTTCTGTGCTAAACCATTTCTCTTAGAAGTATATCTTCCAGATACATTATTAATGAGCGTCTGCCTTCCCTATCGTATGGAAAACATTTAATTTCAAACTGCAAGCAACAGGAAAAAAATACTTACAGATGTTCTTCAAGTTTCTTTTTCAGAAGAATTGACTAAAACAAAAAGTTAAATGTGTTATTTTAATATATGGGGGTGCTTTAATATAATTTCAAAATTATTTTTAAGACAATTTTGACATTTAAACCCAAATCCACATTTTTACTTCACTCAGTTTTAGATTATAAATCCATCCTCTGTGGCAGCAATCCTTTCCTTCATAGCCATGTGACTATCCTGAAATTAGAATGCTTTGAAACTTCACAAATACTTCCCCAGGAACTGGACCAATACAGGCAAGATCCATAAATGATAATGCTCTATGGTAGTTTTAATTTCTTCATGATTCAGCACTTTTGTAATTAGTCTTAATGAATTAATATGAAATTAGAAAGTGCAGCAAAATTTGCTAAAAGAGCTGTCTTACCAATATTGCAAAGCAATTTGTATCAAGATGTGTAATAAATTAGCTGAAGCAAATTCCTGTCCCCATAGAAACTGGAGGGAATAGAGTGTTTTAGACTGGAGTATAGCAGAACATTTAACACTTTTCTGTTTCTGTTCTTTACTGACTACAGACACGTAAAAAATATCATACAACTTACAGTGTTCCACTTTCTGGTTAAATCACATTTAGATAAGCTCTTTAATTAAAATCTTCAAAGTAAATTTTATTTTAATCTTAAACTCACTTTATACACAGTGAGTATCTTTCAAAAAACAAAACCAATAAATGTCTTTAAACTGAAAGTAGTGTTAGGTAAATAGAAAGCCATACTCACAATAGCCTTGAGCAGAAGCCCATTGCCAAGAAACAGAGATGACATTAGTATAAAGCAAAACAGCAGCCAACAGAATAAACTATTTAGAAAGTCACAAACAGAAAGTTAAAGCTATGAGTATTTTCAGACATGCGTATTTTTCTCCTCTGTTCTCATCAGCAGTTTCATCCTGTAGCATTTTCTAAAACATATTACTAAAAAAATACATAAATGGTAAAGAAGCACATTTGTAAGTCATCATATCTAAACCAGAATTTCAAAGGAGAACAACTGCTGTTTTGGAAAGCCATTTAAGACAAAAATGATACAAGTAACAAACAGGAGAAAGTGTGCAGTCTATTGGGCTACAACCATAACAAAGAGATGCATGTGTTTTTGTGGAGTGATTCTGAATTGTGTTATTTTCACATAGATCAAATACAAGACAAATGTAAAGTACTTAGAACTGAACCTGCCTTTTTGTTTTGTATTTATCCAATACAAATCACGGTGGAGCTCTAGCATGTGACTAATGTTCCAGAACACCATCGAAGGATAAGACAGTAACAAAATTACTTCATTGCCTTTCCTCCAGTGGTCTTTCAACACAGGTTTAGACACCTAACCAATAGGGACAATTTCACTGAGCACCCCAAATTTATTTTTTTCAGCTTTGTCGTAGTGTAAAGACTTCAAGATATTGTCTTCGACCACATTCCTGGGTCACATTTTTGATTTCCAAATTCAAGTCTGAAAGCCAACTTCAAAATTGGATTTCCTTATTGCAGTAGAATAAATGGGGGAAGTATGTAAAATAATCCAACATGACTCCACTGATTTCAAAGTCAGAAATTTAGAGCAGCTAAATTTAGAGCTGTGGGTTTTGACCATTTGTATTTTTCTGTTCCCAATCCTCTAAAAAAGAAAAACAAACCTACTGCTTCACCAACTCTTCTGTAACAATAAATGTTTGCACGCATCTTTTTTGGTCACAAGGTATTTAAATTGGCAAGGTTGCTTACATCTGTCTGAGTGACTACTGATTGATTTAGATTAGAAATGGGAAAGCTGGCAACAGTGACTATTTTCAAAGGCTTTTAAGAAAATTAAAACTGAACTCAGCTTTCCTTTTGGAATGCTTGTATTACACTTGGGTGTAGACTGGTAAAGACACCAATGACCACTTGTCAATGGGGATTCAACTGGTATATGTTCGCTTATGCTACTCGCACAGTACTAGCATTGTTGTGGCAGTAATCTCCCTCCCATATAGATAGAACATAAATTCTCACAAGCAAGAAGCTAACAATGATTCACAACACCACCATTAAGAGAAGCTGGACTGAGTCTACCCAGACAGAGTAATTTACCCAAGACACATGATTAGGAAAAAGGATAAAACGTAAAACATATGATTTTGCCAACCCAAAGATGTTGTATATACTCAAAGCAAGATAGATAAAAAATTAAAATAAATTATTCTAAAAATGTGCAGATGTTACTTTTTTTTTTTTTAATTAAGTTTAAGTCAGCTTCAAAGTCACATATCCACATCCCACATCCTGTGCTCCTAACAGGTAATTAACAAAATCGTTGTTCTCAGATAGGAAGGAAAGGACCTTAAAAAAAAATCTCAGGAAAAAAATGAAGCTTTATCTAATTTTGAGATAGCTTCACACTGAGATTCATTCAAATCTTTCATGTGTTCATAATAGACAACTATTTCTATAATAAAACTATAAATATCAGCAAATGCATACTGGCTCTTTTGTTCCCCCCCCTCAATGCTAACAAGTTCCATTTACAAAACTCTAGCAAAACCACTAACGAGGTGGCTTTAGAAAACAGAAATCCCTTTCAGTATTTGCTATTTTTCCTTTGCATCAAAAAGAAACTTACAAAAATAGTCTTTTTATTGAAAATTACTCATATACTTAAAGGAGATAAAAGGAACATTTTTTCCCCCTTTGGGGATCAAAGCTTGGTTTTGTTCTACATGTTAAAGCTGCAGGCAGATGACTATACTCTGGCTTGAGGTTCAGCTAACTTAACAGGATGAGGGCAACTATAGCATGTGTCTTGAGAAAATTTCTTGATGTGAGAACCTGACAAAAGTTATAAACAGCACCATGAGAGATGGCCAGATTTCACAGACATGTTAAGAGTAATGAGCAAAGCAGCTGAACTTCACAAGAAACAGAACAGGTAAGAGTTCCGGGGGCTTCTAGGGAGATGCCAAGTCAGGAGGACATACTAGCTGTACCAAGAATAGCATATAAGGCCAAGATGGCCTATGTAATGTTAGGAGAAACTCCAGATTTTCTACAGATTTATCAGGACTATGTCCAGTGGGGCAGAAGTAACCAAAGGCAGGTTTTTTATTTAGGAATACATGTACAGTAGGGCAGAGAAAAGGAGAACAAGCATGAGGAAAGGAAGTGATAATAAGGCATGCAAAAGAATCACAGCTGTTTGGGGTACCTGTTGAGCAGCCCTACACATGAACACGTTCTGAAGGACAACAAATCAAACCTGCTATTCTGACCACACCATTCACGTCTGACCTGATACCGTAGTCTGGAAGATAAGGGTGGGAGGCCATTCCCTGTCCAGCAATGCAACACGTAGATGGACTGACTAATCAATCATGCATCCCAACATGATGTGTCAGTGCCTGTTACAGGCCTAATGGCTCTGACATCTTCCTAACATCCTCCTTCCACAACTTCCGTGTAAAATGAAACAGATCCATTCCTAATTTGGACTTTTGATTTTTAGACTAAGTTCACTCTTACATTGAAAATATGAAAAAGTGCATTGTTACAGAAAAGTAGTGAAAAAATTGTCAAAATGATGAAACAATGAACTGTATGCCAAGTGCCTCCTTATCCTTTCTCTCGTGCCTCTGAAGAATCACCCTTTTTAAGGATAGATCAAAGATAACTTCAGCATGTGCCTGCACAACTTGATCTACCTCTGAAGTTGGGTTTGAGTTTTGCTCTGCTTTGCATGAGATTTTGGATGAGGTGTCCCATCCATTCAGAGGGGCTTGAAACCTCAATTAATTTCTGATTCTACACTCAACTTGCTTAATTAAGAGAGTAAGTCAAGGCCTACACTCTAAGCTCAGCAAAATATGCCATGGGGTTTGTGCATATAAATCACTGCTGTCAGTGTCAGGCCTACACGGAAGCCCAGAAAGCAGCTACTTCATCACGAATTTCAGCTCTGCTTGACAACGCCTGCCTGGTACACACGAGGCTATACCACGGTGTTCTGATGGTGGTATTTTGCTGTTAGCAGAATCACCTCAGAGGATGCCTACACAGGCTGCAACTACTCCTGTAAGTGAGCTACAGGCATATCTTAGATTACAGTCCAAGCCAGAGCCATAAAAAGGGACAGAATGACAATTTCAGTGAATAAACCTGAATGCAGTTAGATAGGGACCATTTACAATACTTAATATCTGAGAATATATATTTTTTCATATTCTTGTTCACCTTGAAAATCTGATTTTGGTCAATAACCAAGAAACACCTCAGAATCACATAATAGTATGAAATGATTTTACAATGCATTCTAAAACACATTCTATGTTACTTAGAAAAATAACCTTAACTGAACCCAACTATGTTGTTTTAGGTTCATACAGCTTATTCTGGAAATTAAGTGGACAAGCTAAATTAAATACACTTTTAAATGAAAACAAGCAGCTAGTAATAATTTTCATTTTTATATGAATTAGTTAAAACAAAAACACAAAAATAGAAAGCAACACATTACAACTTGTTGCCAGTTAGCAGGGAAATACACTGGTATTGTGAGTGTACACTGTGCACGTACCCTCCTGCAAATCACTGCTTTCAATAAAGTTATAGATCTTCTTGTCTCAAACACAAGAGATGGCAAAGTAATTTTTTGAGTGGAAGACTGAAAGTTGTTCTCCACACTAACTGCCATGATGGGTGTTCTCCTATTAAAAATAAAGCTAACTCTTTGAATGGAAACAGAAACTGCTGCAAATGTTAATCAACTAATCATTTGCCTTTTTTTTAGTTTTGGCCTGCCTGGTATTACAAGATACACTTACTCTAGCAATTACAGGGTTTCCAATGTCAGGAAAGGGTTTACTTTCCACTAAGCAAAAGAAAAATAACTTCAGATATTTTACTAAGATGTGGAGAATTAACATGTCCTTAATGCCTTTCAAAAGTCTCTATTCTAATTAAATAACTTTAAACAATGCTGACTTTACTATTAGAATGGACACATTTAATTAAGCAAAATTTGTCACTTTATCTGCATAGTATTTTTTATATTTTTCTACACAAATGTCTTATGTCTTTTACTCTATTTAGAGAAGCACAACTTAGTATTTAGAGCATAACAGTGAATATGCAAAACAACCAGAAATCTTCATTTGCATATTACTTCACTACATAAGCAGAAATGTTTATCAAAAATGGACAGTCCAAGAAATATAACTACTTGAATGTAAACTTTATACACATTTCTACTTACATCTTCAGCTTTTGAACCTTGATCCTGCAAAGATTTTTGTAGTTCTTCAACCTGGGATTGCACTACTAGGAGTCTTTGATTTACCAATCTAGGAAATAGATATTTTGTTTTTCAGAAAACAGCAAAAAACTGCAAGACAATGACTGAGACTTTTAAGTGTCTAGTATTTTCAGATCATCTACACAAGAGATGCAATGCTGTATTTTATTAACTAAAAATTTACAACAGAACTGAGAGGGAACAACAGTTCCAGAAATCAAAGTCTGTAGTCTCCCAGAATAGTCTGATACAGCATAGATGCAAGTCACAAGGAACTACTTCCATATACGTGCAACAAGAGTTTCTAACTTGTTCTGACTCACTGTGAGACAGCTACTAGCTTACTGTCTTTACGCAGTCACAGAACCCTAAAAATCCGTGTGTTGGAAGGGATCTTCAGAGATCATCTAAACCCAACTTCCTTCGTGAAGCAGACCCATCAAGCAGATCCACTTAGAGCAGTTGTGTAACACAGAACCATGTTCAGTTGAGGTTTGGATACCCCCAAGGATGAAGTCTGACAATTTTTCTGAGCCTCTCTTCTGGAGGTTGAAAATTTCTTAAATTGTTTTATTTATTTATTTTGTATTGAATCAGAATCTCCCATACTCCAAACAGTTTCCACTGCCTCTTTTCCTTCTACTGTCAATCTCTGAGAAGAGTCCATCTCTGTCTTCTTGACAGATTCCTGTTATGCAGATGTAGATCGCAGAACCATCTCCCATATGACATCTTCTCTGCATGCTGAGCAAACCCAGTCCTCAGTATTACCCCACATACCATGTGCTCCACTGTCGCTCATCTCAGCTCTCCTGTATGTCCATGTCTTCCCTGTACTGAGGAGTCCAAAACTGAATGCTACATCCAGACGTGGTATTATGGGATTCCTCAAATAGCTGCTTCACAGCCTCATGAGGACAGCCCAGGTCACAGTCAGCCTCCTGGGCTGCAGGATTCCCAGCTGAGACACTCTCTTTACTGCCTACCAGGATACCCAGTGCTTTTGCATCAGAGCTGTTCTCCCTGGTCTACCAACACCAGCCTGCATTGCCAGTCTCCTCCCAGACATGGACAGGCCCCCATCAGCTCATTTCTCTACACTGTTGACAGCATTACTATTCACTGTGACTGAATTTTCCACTCAATTTATTGTCCACTTATTCTGCCTGTATGTAGCCATTCTGAACATGAGGATATCACAGGAGACTGTGCCAAAGGCTTTGCCAAATCTGAGGTAATCTAAAGTATTTCACCCTCTTCCACATAGGCAGCCATCTCATTGAAGACTATCAGTTTAGACAGGCATGCTTTACTCCGAAAAAATTAATATCAGCCTTTCTCAACTACTTTCTTGTCCCTCTTGCAACTGGATATTCATTCCAGATGGATTTCCTTCATGAGCTTCCTAGGAAATGAGCTGTGGCTGACCAATCCGTACAGGCCTGGATCCTCTTTCTTGCCCTTTTTGAAGTGACTGTGGCATTTACATTTTCCCAAGCTTCAGAAACCTTCGCCAATCAACATCAGCTGTCAAAGATTTAGATAGAAAGCAGCCACACAGCAGTATCAGCCAACTACCTTAGCACCCTCAGATGCATCCTTGTCTGGTGCCATGAATGTCTACATTCAGGAACATGTGCTGTTGGGTTTTGAGTATCTCCAAGGATGGACACAACCTCTCTGGGCAACCTATTACAGTGTTTAGAAACCCTCGCAGTATTTTCTTGTGCATTTAGATGGAATTTCACGTACTTCAGTTTGTGCCTGTTGCCTTTTCCCCTGTCACCACTGAGAACAGTCCATCTCCCTTAGATACTCCCATCAGATATTTACAAACATTAATAGCATCCCCCCTAAGTCTCCTCTTTTCCTGCCTACATAGAATCTCTGAAAGATGTTGTTGTTCTGTAATCACATCCTTGCGGCCCTTCACTCAGCTCACTATAGTTAAGTCTATGCCTGTTTTGTGCCAGGGAACCTGATATTGGCACAGTACTGTCAAAAGTGTATGGCATTGTCAGAAAAGTCAATGAAGCAGAGGACAGAGGAGTTGAAAGACAAGACTTCTTACCTGTTCTCTGTCTCCAATTCATTCTTCCGTAAGTTTGCATCATCCAGAAGGCTCTGCAACAAGGCAATCTTTTCATTGTCAGAACCTTCTTGGTTCAACTTTAAAATCTTGTTCTCATGCTGAAGGCGAATGAGTTTCTCCCTAAACACAAGAAATACAGTTTTATAGAAAATAGTATACTAATCTCTTTAAAGAAGAAAACAGTTTACAACAGAAGGTGTAAAGATAATATTAAGATCATCTTTACCTATTTAAGAGAGACAGATGAAACAATTAAGTCTTCAAACCTGCAAATTCAAACCCAATTAAAGGAACTGTAATTGTAGAAAGCATAACACGAAAAAAATGCCTGAATGCCCCTACTAGATCTCAGAGTACAGAAGGACAGGTTTATAGGTTGAATGTGGAGAACACAAAGCTTGGTGACAAGTGTCAAGGGAGGCTGTAGTCTCAGCTGTCATTGAATTCCTGTATGAACCTAGGGAAGTCACTTCTACTCTGTTGGTCTGTTTTCCCTCATGTCACTTAACTTCTTGATTTACTCAGGTGCAAATGACAGGTCGCAGACCAGACCTGCCTGCTGAAAAATCCCCCATCTTGTCATATCCATGAGATGGAAAATGGTGCTCGAGTACAGATCCACGTTCTGTCACCTCACAGGGAACAAGAGAGCAGCAGCAGCTACTCCAGCGGGTAAGCTGGCTCTTACAGTCTTCCCCTGTCATCAGGGGAAGCAGCTGTACTCCTACAGCAGCCACTGCTACAGTCCCTCTCTGAGGCAGGCAAGAAGGACAAATTTAGCAAACAGACTGCATAGATGCATGCTTGCATAAAATCCAGATTTCGTCTTCAAGAGCTGAAGATGAAGAGATAATGAAACCACATGTCTAACCTTGAGTATCTACAGAATTTATGCTTCCTGTCCTCTCTCATGCAGTCATGAGAAAGGTTTATGTAATAACTCCATAATTCACTAATACTGCATCAAAGCATTCTTTCGTTGTTCCTGAACAAATCTAGAAGAATTGCTCTTGGAGTAATGTGCAGCAACAGAGCTGGAAGAATTCTTTTCTACTGTTAGCTTTCTCCACTCAAATTATGTTTTGACCCCAAAACTATCTTTCCAATTGTTAAAAAATGTCAGTTTTTGTAGAAATGAAAGAATAAAATTCCTAAAGGGTCAATAGATTTCTGAGATGTGACTGTCTTTAAGTAACTTAAATTTCAGGTTGCAGTGATAATGAGCACACAGGCAAGGATAAGCACCATCTGCAACCTTTTAAACTATGATTTTCAGTTCTGTGGTGGCTGTTCTGTCCTTTCATAGACTGTAATCATTTGCAATGATACAGAGTAGATTATAAAATCAACTGTTTCTATAACAATTTTATTAATTTCCTCCTTGTACAACTACAAGTTCCACTGGCATTTTGTCTGTTAACTCTCATATAAACCGCAGTTACATGAACTCTGTGCAGGAAAAGAGTTTGTTATCATTCTCCTGGAGTACAGTACAAAAACTCAAGAGATCAAGTGAATTTTGTTCTAAGCTCCTGCTGTGCAGAAATCCAAAACAAGAGGACATATATATATATAATATATATTATATATATATTAATTGTTGAAACTTTATAGCACTGATTAAGAAATGAAGTGATTATTTAAGGGTACACTGTAAGGATTAGTAAAAAAAGACACACATTAGCTTACTTTATTTCAGGAGTAACAATTTCTGCTGCTAAACTGTCTGAAGGTTCTTCTGTTCCTAGGGGCATCAATCCTGGGTCAGGAAAAATAAAAAATTTAAGAAGCAGACCAGCTACTTTCTTTTAAAAGATCAGACACAAACTTTGTTCTACAAGCTTGTAATTTTAGAGTAATGCTAGTAAATGGAAAATTAGACAAAGTCAGACTACAGCAAGACAGGCAACAGCAGTTTCATTTGGTGAATAATCGTTATTTCTGTCTTCTTTCTGGTGGAAGTGATTTTATGATGTATTTTCTACTCATTAGCTTACCTAAAAAGTTGTGCAATGCAACAAAAATAAATTGTAACACATGAAATATCATACATGTGTGAGAAAACTTACATATTTTTCTTCAGAGATCAACTACATAGAAATCAGAAATACATACAGATATACATACAGAATTACAGAAAAACTAACACACAGGAAAGGAGACTAAAATTTCTGATCGACTGAAACCATGTTTAAAGTTCTTGAATACTTGCAAAGTTATGAGTAGCAAGCAGAAGCAGCTTTTCATTGCTGTTCTCAGAGGAGCTTAAATTTATTCCCTGCTACACAAAAGCACATTCAGCACTCTTCCGAGAAGTCCTGTGAACTTTAGAAAAGATGCATTTAATCTCCTCATTTGTCCTTTACCTGTAGTGGTGAGTTGGCCCTCCTGTGCTTGTACACACCTGAGCTCTTCAATAGTTTCTTTCAAAGAATCTCTTTCTGTTCTTAATCTCTGAATAATTGGAAAGAGAATAAATATGAATCTTGGCACTACTTTGTTATTTTTCAAATTAAGGCATCTTCAGTCTATTTTATAACAGAATAATTTTCAAGACACCAACAGTGTTATTTTTATGAATGGTTGCTGCTCTGTTAATATACTTACAGAGACAAAAATACCAGGGTATAAACTTACACAGTCAATTTTGTGTCAACAATACTGTCAATAAAATTCTGGTACGAGGTAGTAAACTGCATGTACTGGGACCACTAAATCATCCTCCTTCCCCCCTCACCATGGGTTGGTTCCAAGGGAAAGTGAAGTGAGATGAGAGTGCAGATGTTTCTCTCACAGATTTAGCCAAGAGTGAAATAAAAGGCATGTGGATACACAGTAAACACAACAGACAAACTGAATTAACTTAGTTTTGTTTCTCTTTCAACAGTGCAAGGGTGAGCAGCAGTTCTACCACCTCTTCCTGACATGCGTTAACCAGCCCTGCCAGTCACCAGCATCTCAGATATTTAAGAAAACTAGTTGCTTGAGGCTTAGTCCAAAGAGAACTGAAGAACAGGACAGGCCCATCCCAGGGGATCTATACAGATGGGCTCCTCAGTACCATCAGGTAAATACTCTCCCATTTTGCACAAATCTCCTTTTGGCAAAAAACAGGAATCTACAGGTAACATCAAGTCTTAGTCCAGAAAGTTCCCAAGAGTCAAATATGAAAGTAGAGAACAGCAATTATGTAAAGATCCAAATTGTAAATTGCTCCAATATCAGAAATATCCAGTGCCACTAAAAGGTCTGAGACAGACCTCAGCTAGGTAAAGTCGTATTGGCATCAGCTATCAAGCTCCTTGAATTTGATTCCATTTACAGTTTGATTCAAATGTATCTTATATTTCAGCCTAAATAGATTCATAACTTGGAATAGCTTTGACAAAGAACATTTTGTTGAGGTGTGACAGAGGCTTCTGCTGTATTTCTGAATCCTGCATGGTGAACTCTGGTGCAACTATTACAATTTGGGTAAAATATGCATTCTATTAGCATAGAAAACCATTTCACAAACCCCACAGGTTATAAACTGTTTTTACTACAAATGCCACAGAAAAATAGCCATACAGAGGAGTGCTCAAACTCACGATGCTGAAAGCAAGGATTCAGCAGTCTGTTACTGTCAGTCAGAAAACATCAAGTTGATTAATTAAATGCCAGAATATTTTAATGAATAGAAGAAGCTCTAGGTCTGCATTTGTACACTGAAGACAAAGCCAACTCAACAAATTGTATTAGCACTTACAAAACAGACCACAGAAGTGAAATTCAAAGCTACGGAAGATACCAAATGTACTACCACACTTTGCCAGAACATAAAGACAAGGACAAAACTGATTTCTATAGCTATCTCCAAAATATTACTGACAAAATACCATTCATTACTTAGCTTGTAACCTGTGATGGGCAATGCTAGTGATAATGTATGCGACAACAAGGAAAAGAAAGAGTACATAACACAGGCAGCAAATCACTAATCCAAACATTTAGAATCTTCTTCAACTGTAAACTAGTTCTCACAGGTGTATGTTAATTCAGAAGAATGTCCTGGAAACCCACATCCACCAAAAAATAAGCTATTTGCCAGGCAGTAAAACAGAAAACCATATGACAATGACCTGCAATTCAGATCCTTTGTGCAAGAAAAAATGGTCCAGCAAGCAACAGGTAAGTCACAAACACAATCTTACCATTGTAAAACATAACAAAACTAGAAAAGCAAATTTTAAATAAGGAGCAGGGATGAAAGCCAAAGCACAATATGAAAATGATTACTATGAGCATTCCAATCTCAGCTGAAGAGCACATGGAAGTGATAACAAGGTCAAATGTTCACAGTAGTTAGAAAATTTAACAAAATATGGAGGAAAGAAAGGATCTGTGAACAGAAAATAACTGAGATTTTTCAGTTCAAGTGCTATTCAAGTGGAGGGGCTGGAAAATTTGGACAGGATTTAATAGGAAATATGACAGATTGAAGGAAATGCCTACAAAGATTCTGGCTGATGGACAGGTGGATTTATACGTTGAAGAAGCCTGAGAAATCTGTAACTCAAAAGCGCCAGCCATGCTTTCAGGTACTTTGAAGCACCTGCAAATGCATTCCTAAGAAACAAACTGCTGATAAACAAGGCTGTGTAAGAGAAAGAAAAATCTGAAGGATCGGTCTTAGTAAAAAGAAGGCAGAGCAACTGATCTCAGAATCACTAGTAGCAAATGACTGAGAGGAACAGAATATCCTGGTATCCATCCTCTGTATCCCATGTTGACACTACAAGACAGATCAATGAGGAACTGTTGTAAAAGGTACGACTGCAAGAAAAAGGACAGGTCTTGTAAGATTCCTAAAAGACTTGCTGCAGTGCTTGTGACTGCACAAAGAGAAGCATGCAGACAGTACCTCAAAGAAAGCTCTTGGAAAAAAAAGTAACAGGAGTTCAGTACTAGGATAAAATACTGCAAAAATTCCTACTTTAAATAGTTATTCAGAAAACATGACAATTACTTTGGGTGTTTATTAACCTTCCCATGGTGAATGGGCAAGAAACAACTTCAGAACACAACTGTGAAGGCTCTTCCTCTTAGAAATGTGTTGATGATGTTTTTGTACAGTCACTTTGTTCTATGCTGTACAGTTCTAAGATTTAAAAAGAATCTTGTAAACACACATGAGGAAATGTTATGTGAAAAAAGAGTTTCTAATTTAAAAAGCTTGCTGTAAACATCTAGTTTTCATTATCATATGCCTGTGTTATAAAAGTCACAAAGTTGTTTTTACTACTACCAAAAAAGTAACACCTTGGCACTTACATCTTTTTCTTTTTGGAGGCTGTCTACTTTTTCTTTCAGCCGTTTGCATTCATAATCTAATTTATCAGCTTTCTTGGATTCTTCAGATAACCTGTTTTGTAGTTCAACTGCCTGTGAGAACAAGAATTAATAATTTGTCCGCAAATATTAATATTAAAACAAAATACACAAGACAAAGTAGCCAATTACCATGCACCACAAGTCATTTTGTAAAACAAGTGAAATATTTACCTATAGGACATACTAAAACCTTCTTTCATCAGTTGTTCTGAGCTTCAAGCAAAACTAAAAGCATTCAAATATTAGGTTTTACCATAAACAAAAGGAGCAAAAAATTGTAAAGTATGTTCTGTATATTTAAAACCAGGAATTTACGTCCAAGCATGATTTACAGGGAATTTTTTTTTTTTTTAAAAAAAGCTATATATTTCTATGGATCAAGGAGCTTAGGAAAAGTAGAAAAATCCTCCTGCTATCTCAGAAGTGTAGGAAAAAGAAAAATCTCTGAAGAAATCCACTTTAACTTCAACCTTTCGTTAACTCTGTTTCACAAGTCTTGCTCAGAACTCAACCACCAGTTTTTGTAGTCAGGCAATATCTCTTGACCTGAGATTTTCCTCACCTTTTTTTAAAATACACTGATATAAAGATTCACCCATAGGCTCATAAGTAGTTTTCTTTACTTCAGAAGGAAATACATTGCTAAGTGTCACATATATACTTTCAATTACAAATTACTAAGCAATTAATGAAATGAGTAGAAATCTGAAAGCTGAGCAGAAACAATCAGTGAGCAGAAGGTAAGTCAGTGAAGTTCTGTCATTTCAAAGGTCTCAGCCTTTACTAGCAAAACCTCATCCCCAGACATTAATAACACTCCTAATGCAGAAAGCAAGGAAGCAACTAATCCAAAAAGATTTAAGATGGTAAAAAAAAAGACTGACCTGAAAATACATAAGCTGAATGATGACTCAGCTAAAGACATACAGCTTCTTCTGAAGCAACTCATAAGAAGGCTTTTCATGACTTTCAGATTACAGGGAGAGTGACTAACGAATTGTTGAAGCAAAACAGCAGCCATACCTACATAAGATTACCTAGTGGTTCCAATTGCCTTTTATTTTCAATGTGTATAGCTATAACAAAATAACTACTGGGCCAGAAAAGCTGCATAGGCTTAAATTTTAGAATGAAGGACATTGTTGCTGTTGTTCTTAAAGGCTGGGAAAAAAACACAGGCATGTTATTTCTGAGATTATCAGAAAAATAAATCAAAATGCTAGAGTTGAAAATACTGAATTTCTCAGATTTGACTTCCATCCCTCTGGATATTAAAAAATGAAGGCCTTCACCTGTGATTGTCCCCTCTTGTAAAGAAGGTATATTCCCACCTCACATGGAATATGCATTAATGTCTGTAATCACTCGTTCCATAATTATGTAGAAAAATACAGCAGGAAATAAATTATTTTGAATTGGACTTTGGGATTGTATAGACAGATACACAGCTACATGGTAATGCAGAAAACTAAAATAAAATAAAAAAAAGAACTGCCATCACATTTACTGAGCATTATTTGACATGTGGAATGAGTAAAGCAGGCATCTTGCAGCAAAGAAAAGGACATACTGTTAAAAATATATCAGAATGCACATGCACAAAGGGACTGAATTAAAATTACAGAAAGCAATCCTGGAATCTGCACATTTTAATTCTTCATGCTGCAATAAAAGGCTTACTTTCAGAACAGTGAACATAAATTCCTAACTAAATGCTATTGCATCTCCCAGCACAGTATACCATCACCAACATCATCTCACAGAAACAAGTAGGTAAGATGAAGATGGAATTTCCTTGAGATCGCTATACACCACTGTATTTCTGCACAACACCTGCACAGCACAGAGCTTCTAAATCAAAGTAACTCTTCTGATTACATCTTTTTAAATCCGACTGGATCCCTCCACACAACAGACCAGACATATGGCCCTACAGTGGCATGCTATGGACAGCTCAACAAGGGTATAACATCTGAATTTTTCTATCTGGCTTAATTTTTATAGCAGAACTTGGGATTCATAGGAATTAATTTAATGACAGTTCATGACTCAGAGGCAGATCTCAAAAGGAGCCCAAACAAACAGACACTTAAGGTACATACACTGTGTTCATTCTGAGGCACTGTGGTTAGGTGAAAGGAACGCACACCTGTCACATGAGAAACTTGAGGTTTATTTCAGTCTCACAAAGCAGACCACTTTTGTACAAATCAACAGCTCTTTAGGTGTGAAATCCCTGCTATAAAGCATGGGGAATGATAGCAAAAAGGAGTACTTCTTGCAGAACAAATGACAGGACTGTCTAAAATCAGGACAAGATTTCTAAAATCCTTACCATTGGTAAAATGAGAACAATCAATGCAGATTGCCAAAGTTACGTAATTATATCACATGCTGAACTGTTCAAAGGCAAGGAATATTTCTTGCTAGTTAACATAATACTGCTTGTGTATGAAAGGCCATTGGTTTTACTTTTCCCTTTGATTGTCTGTTATTTCAGTGTTTTCCTTGCCCAAGTTCTTTTCTAGTGGAATCACTTGGACTGTATTTACGATTAGCCCACAGAGGCTGAAGCTCACTGTCCTGATAACCAAGATGGACATACACACAAAAAAAGTTCTCAACTCTCAGGCTACACTTGGCATGAGGGCATGCACTGTAGTTGGTGGTGGCTTTTGCATTCTTACTCTGCTGTAAGCTGATATATAGGGACCTTTGTACCATGACTACCACTCGGAGTTCACAATCAGACAGGAATACTGAGTGGGCACTACTGCTTTAACAAACCCAGCTCTGTCTGATCTGTAACAAGAGTCCAAGAATGATGTCATATCAGTGTAGCACAGAAGCAGAGAGAAGACTGAGTACATCTTCCACCATTACAGAAATATGATCACATAGTGCCTTGTTAAGCAAGATAAATGCCTTTCACTTCAGAGAGAGTGGTGGTGATTAATTTTGTACTCTGTTGAGCGCATATAAACAACAAGGGTGATATACATCCTTTTCTCTTTACATCTACGCACAACTAGAACCTCAAATAAAAAAGTTGATGAAGCAATGGAATAACTTACCTGATTTATGTTATGCTCCTTACTGCTGGAAATTTCTAAGTGAAAAGTGGATACTTTTTCTTAAAGAAGAGGCTGTAACTCAAACCTCAATACTGAGTATGATTTAGGAATAGTTTGAGAAAAGTGTTAACATTTGTTGATTTTTTGAAAGGAGAAAAATACTGTATACTAGCAAACAAAGGTAAAATTCAAACAATGATAAGACTTGCAGGAAAGAAATAAAAAGGCAGCGCCCACAAAACAAGCAACTCTCCTAAACACATGGAGCTGTCTGTTCATCTTTTCTTTTTTGAGGTATTAGCTGTGTGATGACAAGGAATTGTTAAACAATGCAGAGAACTGCTGCACTGATGACGTTTTTTCTCACCTGTCTCTTGTACGTCTCTAGCTGACTGCGTGCTGCATTAGCCTTCCTTAGTTCTTCTTCCAGGCTCACAGTATTTTGCATGTACATCGTATTCTTCTCTTCTAAGAGTTTCACTTGCCGCCGCAAATCACCCAAGTCTTCTAATTTCTTTTTGTACGACTCAACTTGGCTTTCTAACTTGGCTACTTTGTCAGAAGAATGCCTGGAGGGACAGATTTGTATCAGGTTTATATTCTGAAAGCTAACAAAATTGTATGTCCTGAAGCTTCCTCTGTAGTTTGAATTCATGCAGAACACATTATGAGACATCATGAGGAACATGAGAAAGTGACCATATTCTTACATTACAAGATGTTTTCGCTTCTAAGTTGTCTGCTTCCCTTCCACCATTTGTTACCTCAAAAAGCTGTTGAAGCACTTTTAAAGAGTACTGTTTGAACACAGGTCTGTATCATTTTGAAGGCTACAGTACCCATTTCACATTTGTTCAGTGTGGTCAACTGTTCCCTATCAAGGTCAAACGTGCAAGCTATACCTATTGCTGGATTCAAGATCTGACTTCTGCTGACAATACTGACTTAGTTTTATAAATAAACCTTAAGTTGAAATAGAAAAAAAAAAGAAAAAAAATCAAGAACTACAGATTCATAAACATGGGTTTGCTAGTTCCTGTAGGACATGAAGAATGTCTCTGATACAGAATACTGGAGGGTCAGACTCTCTAACATGTTTCATAAACTAAAGTTTAAATTTTATTTTCAGTGTAGTAATCTACTTATTTTTTAAAGATGATGAAAAAAATCTGACTTGCATTTTTACAAAATGTGCAACTCAGAGACATTAAACAAAAGTATCTTATGAACTAAACACCTACAACTTGGTATATATGTTAGTTATTGTTAATAAGTTTCATCAACAAAAGCTCAGAGACCTTCAGCTCATGCCCTGATGTGATGCCTCATTGCATTCTCCCAGCTATAAAAAAGTACAGCAACCGTATCCCTCGGAAGACCTTTTCATATTCCACTTTTTGTTCCCTCCATATTTACTGCAATATATGAGGCTCCATGGCCTCATTACAAGGGCATGTAGTGACATGACAAGGAGTAATGATTCTACACTGATAAGCAGGAAATTCTTTACTGTGAGAGAGGTGAGGCCCTGGCACAGGCTGCCCAGAGAAGCTGTGGATGCCCCATCCCTGGAGGTGCTCAAGGCCAGGCTGGATGGGGCTTTGGGCAACCTGGTCTGGTGGGAGGTGTCCCTGCACATGGTGTGGGGGGTGGAATTATATGACCTTTAAGGTCCCCTCCAACCCAAACCATTCTATGATTCTGTGATTAGTAGAAATAATGGAGTCTCAGTCCCTCCACTATCTGGTACAGATAAATACAGAAATCCTGGTGTTCCAGAACACAGAGGACGGACACTCCAGAATACCAACTGAGGCACAGCATTGCACATACTGCATACTGTTCATGTGAACAGCAAGGGATCTGAGAAGTTTATGGTCCAAGCCACCCTCACTTAACTAGAAAATATAAACAAAGCCAGTAGCAGGCATTTGGAGAATCTGTATTACGTGTAACCAGACTACAAGTATACAAACTCCCTGATGATTGTAGACACTCATGTTGTGGCATAGGTGAGTGGAAAGTACTCAAGATACCGCTGAGTGACTTATTACAGTCATCAGATAGCGTAATACTGCTAAGCTATCTAATCAGTAAATGTTAGGCATGTAATTAGTAACTGATTTACTTAAGCAGAATTGAGAAGTGGTCTGTGCACTCATTTGGAGGATCTGAAAAGGACTGTGACATTGAAGTGGCATTCACAATATGCTCCTTCTGGCAGACCAACATCAGCAAAAAAAAAAAAAAGTGCTTAGTGTTACTTCACCTTGTGAGTCACACTAAGTAACACTGGGGAGCCGTAAGACCAGTACTACTGGGACCACTAACATGGGGTTTAAGTCAGGAGTATGTGCTGGATAGAAAGATGGAAGGCAAAAGCTTATGAAATTAGGATATAATAACCTGCATTGAATTACTCAATAGGTGGGGGAAAAACTGTACTGAACATATGATCAGGGTTTGAGAGAGAGAAAAATAAAAGTCATATAAAGGAAAGAGCAAGTCAGGATTATGATGGTTCCTTTGAATTTGCTTGATGGCTATGGTAGACATGATAAGAGACAAACAAGCTAAAATTTATTTGTTAGAAGCTGAGAAACAAAATCTTTCCAAAAGCACTATGACACAAAGCCAGCAATAAACAACAGTAAGCACAGAGTAAATACCTACAAAATAAAGTACAACCCCAATTCCCCACTGAAGTTTAGCAGCAACGGCAACAACTGCTACAAATTGACAGAACAGACCCAAAGTTATGACTGCTATGTATGACGATGATGGGGACAGAGATACATGGCACAATCCAGAGTCCTGAACTCCTGTCAAATGAACACCATACAACAAACCCCTCTGGTTCAAAGAATGACAAAGTTCACATAGTAGCACCCATAATGAACAACCTGGAACACTGTCTGGATGGCACTGTCCCTGCCCTCTCTCCTCCCTATTCCCAACTATTACAGTTTCCTCAGCTTCATTTTGGAACTCATTTACATACTCAATTTCCTATGAAATCTGGAAAAACCCCTGCTGGTGGTCAGTTTATGAGATCCTGGGGCAACCCAAATCTCCATAACCCCCAGCAAAGCACAGAGACTCTCTCTGATGCAAGGAATTACTCTTCAAACCCAAACTTCCCACACAGATCATTTACAGAATTGGGCAGTATGTTGGGTTCATTCCTTACATTAATGACAGAGAAGGTAAAGATGAATGTCTTTAGTAGAAAGCTAGTGAATTAGAAAAGTCAGTATTAAAGGGAGTCATGTTAGAATTGGTAGAATAAAAGATACAGCTGAGTGGCAGACAAATAGTTCTGAATAATTCATGGCAGTAAGATACCACCATTGAAGGATTATGTTGATGTTGTAAAAGAGGCTGTCCCACCTTACAAACCCCTACCATTGTCAGTCATTACAACTATGGGTGCTAAAAATTCAGTGGCAAAGACAGCTGTAACAGATGTTGTCCATATTATATGATGAACCAAAGCACAAGTCCAAACAATCCCATGAAAGGAAAAGGTTTCCCAACAGGAATGGACACCCACATCACGAAGGTGATGAAGAGCATAGAATAGTCTACACTCAGAGACCAGTACATAACTTGTTATGGCCATTAGATGGTATAAATTTGCTAAATTTGCTAATATTTACTGATTAGGCATATAATAAGTAATTAATTTATTTAAGCAGAATTTTGTGGTGTGTACCTGAGTACATCTATCTCATCCTTCAGAGACTGAGCCTCTTCTGCTAATGTAGTAAGCTCTTCTGTCTGTTGTCTCAATTCAGCAATCTCCTTTTCTAGTTCTTCACAGCGTATTCTGTAGTCATCTTTGGCAGCTTCTAATCTGTAGAAATGAAACAGATTTCTCAGCTTGAGAAACAGTTACTTTTCTTCACCATCATCCTCTCTAAGAATGCTAGAAACAGACTTCTTATGCAAGAAAGGAAAACAGCAGCCCAGTGTGCAGCACTGCAGACACTCCCAAATGCTTTGATTATTGAAAAATATAGAAGCAGATCAAGTTTTGTGATGCCTTCTATTTGATGTCAGTGTTTCTACATGGAACATCCCAATGTTGTGATGTTTTAATGGAAAGATAACCTAACTCTCTTCTGTTATAATAATCCAAAAAAGTCAATGTTCATGCAGAAATTTCCACCTTTTTTCTTTTTTCAGGGAGTACGGAGTCTGAACATGATGTCTTTATCCTAGGATTTTTTTCAGCTGTTTACATTCAATAATATTAACTTGATTATCAGATGAAACGTTGTGGAGCTCTCAATGAGGTGGTTTTTATTTATTTGTCTTTAAAGCCTGTCCAGCACATTCATTTAGTTCCTAAGTCATTCATTTAGTTACCTGGATTTCAACTAGCAAACACATAGTCATGTCTGCTACCAGCTACAAACAAACCATCTACCCATATGCAACTCTTCTACCTGAATGTTTCCTCTTGGAGTTGTTCTAGCTGTGTCTGCAGCTGCAAGTGCCTACGACCTGCAGGGCTGTTGGGATCTTCGATAGAATCAGATTGATTCAAACGTTCCATCAAAATCTGGTTCTCGGCAAGCAAGCTGCTCTTCTCCTCCTGAAGGGCCGCAACCTGTTTTAAGAGATACAGGAACTGGAATAATAGAGCCATCCAGCTCTATACAGCAATTTTCTTGTGTGCATAATACAGTAGAAACAACTCATAAATGGAAATGCACAGGTTTCAATAATCACATTTCACAAAGGACAAACTGTAACTTTAATAGGTATTCAATTGCTATGTGATGTAACAACATATGGCAACATTAGGGGTAGAATTTACCACTCATAAAATGTAATTTTAACTGTACTTCTCAGAAGCATCTAGGCAAAAAGTCTTAGCTATCACAGAAAATGAGTTCAGTATATTGATGTCTGCGTACTTTCCAAACAAGTAAAATTAGCACTTCATATTAAAGCTTTTAAAATTGACTTCCAAATGAAACAATGCCTATCAGTTCCATAGAATATCCAGGTCTGGATATCCAAGCGATGGCTGTGCCCTTCTGATTTTATTTATTTTTTCATCCAGAAGTCAACTGTAAGCAGATCTGAAACAGGAACAAAATCCCAAGATGGCTCAGTTTCCAACAGTTTTGTGAAAACAAGCACTGGTGAAGAGAGAACCAGAAGTGCTCCAAACAGCAGCTGAAGCATGAGTTCATATATTAGTAAGCTGCATAGGAGCTATTATTAAATATGCAAGAGGAGGAGGAGAGCAAGAGAAGAAATATGAAGATCTCAACAGAAGGAAATGCTTCATTAAGAGCTTGTATTATCAAATAAAATCCACCATGAAACACAAATCAAGGCAAACAACTTCATTAATTCTAACAGTTAGTGAACAGCTTGGCAAAAAGCTGAATTATAGCACCAAGAATTTTCACTGACAATGCCTGCTTAGGCTCCCTCATTACCCTCTTCATGTCTTCCAGATTACATATGCTCAATTTTACAGTAAGGCTCAGTTTAAACCCATAAAGAGCTGGTAGACAAAAGTAACTTCTGACTGGGTTGAAACTAATTGTTACAGCTGCACTACTCCTAGGAGTTCTCTAGCTCAAGCATTGAGCCACACAGCTCAGTTCCTTCCTATCTGAATAAAAGTTTTGTTAGAATGAATCATCTTAGTTACGGTAACATTGCATCAAAATGAGAGAACAAACTTCACTCTGCTAGTGCAAGGAAAGCAAAAGAATTACCGTGCAATTTTCTTCTCCAATGTACAAATTAGATTTCCATACTATATGTCTTGTCTTCAGCTACCTAAAAATTCTTAAGTCTCTTCCTCAGTAATTACTAACAGATACAATATAGGAAACCTACCTGCATATCTAACTCGTGACATCTTTGGGCAATTTCTTCTTTTGTTGCCAGTGCTTCGTTTAATTCTTCCGTAGTTTTCTTCAGCTACCATAAACAACAAATATTTTTAGTTTAATCACTCTCTGTAAAGCAGGTAGAAAAATTCTGAACTACATGACTGCACAATTATTACTACATTTAGGATATATACTAATTTTTTTTTTTTTGAAAGTGAGGCAATTCTGCTCTTAAAAAGAAATAAAGAAGCAGATATGAGCAGTGTTTAATTTGTGTGACAGAAGTAAACATATTTAAGAGTATTTGGTCTTACAAAAAAGCATTAGAATTACCACATTTATTCTATGAACAGACTTTAAAAATCCTGAAGAACTTGGGTCTGAAGACCTTGTCAATTGTGCACACACTGGAAAAAATTGTCAATACCACTTTTCTTTACAGATGCGAAGAGTGGGTAATTTCGGTTTTGAATCTACTTTTTAAATACACAAAGGATTGGAAGGTGGAATACAGGGAATGGACAATTAGGGTAAAATCTCTCTAGTCACTTGAAACTGCATGACAGGATTACAATTAACATGGTGATGGAGAGCCCTACCCCCTTCTGGAAAAAAAAGACATTGAATCTTTTAAGTAGTGGGAAATATTCAGGTAATCCCCATAAAGGGTTTTATGTTCAAAAATGTATACCTTCCGCATTTTTATATGAATGCTGTAAAGTTAACTCTCTTACAAGTTGTAACAGTACTCAGGACTGCTTTAAGAATTTTGAACCAAATCTATACATTGTTTTAGCCAATTTTAGAAGTGGGAGATGGCAAAAAAAAAAGTTTTGATGAATATTACAAACATTCTTATTCTTCTTTCTCATTACCCAGAAATTTACACCAGTCTGCAGTTTTGCTATACTACATCACATAGCTATTTTTTTTTCCAAAATGACTTTTTTTCTGTTAAATACCCCAAATGGGAAACTCAACTTATAAAGCAAAATGACTTAAAATACTGAAATTCATTTTTCTGTTCCTTACGTGAATTTCCCACAAAATCCTTTCATGACTCTACAACAAAGACAGGCTTCTTAATAAAGCAAAATGATTGGGCACTGATATACTATAATTGAAGGAAGAGAAACATCTAGTCTTAGATACCTGCCGATCAAGGTCAATGTAAGCATCATTTCCAACAGAGACGGGAGACTCTTTACTCATCAACTGCAATTAGATTACAGTGGATTAGAAAAAGCAAAGATTTACTTTTATATTAAAAGCTAAGCTTCAATGAAATACCAAATTGATCTGAACTTCTGCGAGCTTCATTCTGACAACAATGAAGTTTTCCACTTCATTTTTATATGACATTCAGAAAAAAATTACTGAAAGTAACCTTCAAAATTTATTACATTTAAAGCAATATAAATGAAATCTTACATCATCCCATTTTCTTCTGCAAAAGCACATCCTTATCTACAATGAAACCTGCAGTATATCGTGCAGAACATTTTACCAAAATGGCATTGAATGATGGAAGCTATCAGCATTTGAAAGACTCGCCATAAATTGTTCTCTGCCAATAGTTTTCATTTTCTGATCATTTGGAAGTTTGTACCAATTTATTTATTTATTTGACAAAAGTTGGGGATATACCTATTTCAGTTAATTGTGCAAACAATCAAACTTCATTTTCTGGAGTCACATGCAATTTGCAAAATAAATAAGTAAATAAATCTACAAATGTTATTCTTAAGAATAAATAATAAAATTCTTGGTATACTGAGTGATCAATGGTTGATAGCAATTTTAGTCTGGAAAACATTGTTTTTAGCTGTAACATAAGAAATCAGGTTAAAAAAATAAGAAATACTACATAGCTAACTCAAAAGGAGGCATTACAGAAACCTAACTGTCATTTCTGTGATTCTACCCAAACATGAAATGTTTTTATTGTTTCTCCTATGGCACAACTCACAGAAGTTACAAACAAAAGGAGCTGAACCTAACCAATATCACAAGATTTCTTCGTTCTCCCCCACCCCCTTCATCTCCTCCCTTCCCCCATTTTCTCAAGGCCTCCCGTCCAGCCTGGCTGCTCTTGCCAGAGACAGGGCTTCCTTTATTCCTTACAGAACCCAGTGCCTTTGGAACTGGTTCCATTGGCAAAGTTCTTCTGGTGTATAGCATAGGGTTTGCGTTTCCTCCACATCCTTTCTGTTTATACCACCATACACAAGAGCAAATCTCTGTTTGACATTTACACTACTCAAATATTTATACACTTACATTTCTCTTCCTTTCCCCATCTCCTTAGTTGGGATCTAGCTGTATACTATATGTTTAAACTCATCTATCTGTCATCAGAAGTCCTCCTCAGACCTTGACCATGTTTGTTGCTAACTGCTGAATTCTTTCCATTTTATCCGTATCTTTACAGTGACAAACAACCCTGAAATGAAGCTTTCCATGAAGCCCACATTCTCTGCAATAGTAATTAGAAAGTCTCTGGCCTCAGAGCTGCCCTGAAAAATGAAATCACATGCCTTTTTCATTACCATATATAGTGGCTTTACAAAATTGTGTTGAATTCAAGGCCACATTTTTGAAGCTGTTTTGCCATCCAAAACAAGAATTTCCAATCCCTCTCTTAGTGTTGTTATGCCTGTTTTAATTGCTCCATTTCACTATCTATTGTTTAAATGCTTTTCCAGATGACTAATAGGGATGTGAAGACTAACCATGTGCTGAACTATTCACCCTGCTCCATACCCAACAACACAGCTCACAACCACGCTCCCTCCGTGCTCCAGACACTGTGTCAGTACTACCCTTTAAGCCTTTTTAGTAGTTTCCAGCTGGCAAGACCCAGGCTGCATGCAGCCTGTAAGGGACAGTAACATACCCATGACATTCAACATACCCCTTCTGGACACAATACAACTACCACTTCAGAAACCCAGCTTACAGCCCTGCTCCAGAGTTATGCGGGAGCAATACCAGAGGCTGTACAACCTACTAGTGGCCACTGTGATGTTGCTCCCTTCTGTAGATTACTGTAAAGGAAACAAGCTGAGGCCAATAAATACAATGCCTTAATTCTGCAGCATGTTTTGCCACTTCTCCAAGAACTTCCTCTACTTGAGAAGCCCTTGCATAAACATCCAGAAGAAAAAAAGGACAGAATCAAAGAATGGCTGAGGTTGGGAGGGACCTCTGGAGGTCATCTGGTCCAAACCCTCTACTCGAGCAGGCTGCTCACAGCCACATCCAGATGTCTTTCCAAGGAGGGAGAATCAGGGGAAAATTAGTGAGAATTAGGGATGACACTAACTACATTAGCTGACAGATTAGAGAAGAATTGGGTACTGGAGATACATGGTATGGGTGTAGCATGAATGTTAAACTAAATTTGTGAAGTGAATTCCTCCATGGAGTGCATCAGGAATCTGGGGCACAAAAATGTCATGGGAAGTGCACATGAGGCCCCGAAGTCAAGAGCCATAGGAGACATGCAAACACAGCAGGAGACTGAGAAAACACAACAACAGAAAGACAGGAAGCATTCTTGCAATATTACATGGTGGGTATTCTAAAGATGAAATCTAAGGAATTAGGCAGCTGGATTGTGTCCAGACAAGGAATGGGAATGAGACCAACAGATTACTCACAAATAATATACAAATCTGACTTCTCATCGTTAGTTAACAATACACTCATATTAAGAAGTGGGTGGAAATGTGGAATGAAAAGGGAAAGTAAACAGGGATGAGGAAGGAGCTTTTCTACCTTTTCCCAACACATTTTCCCACACATAGGAGAGGACAAAAGTATATATAAGCAGATGTCCTGGCTATGTTCTACTTCTGGACTGCCTCTTCCTATTTTCTCCTCTCTTAAAAGCAAACATCTTACTATAAGCAGCACATCTTGTACAGCACCATTCTAACTACCAATACTAACTTCTACAAGATTTCTTGAAAAATTCAAGATGTGTTTTATTGAATGCTGTATTTTTACAATTTCATGCAGTTGCATACATGTATATGTCAACTCAGAATACATATTACACTTTGTCCATCTAAAGAAATACAAGATAACAGGTTTGCCTAATTTTTCCTGTTATCCACATTGTTTCTAGCCAATCACCAATCTCTGATGGTAGAGAAGGTTAGTGCTCCTAAACGCTCATTTTAACAGTTAACTGCTTGATGGCATATTAACCATTTCTGGATTCTTTATTACTAATACACTGTTTTAATTTTAAACGCAAACGTCCTTACTGTGTTCTGCCATATCTCCTTTATTTTCATGCTCACATTCAGTCTAACTCCTGAAATACTGCTGCTGTTTTACAGCTTCACATCCAGCCTTAAGTGTGGTATCAGACCACACAGTCTTATTACGTATGAGTCAGTGCCAATACTTTGAGTTTAGTGTGGAAACCATTTAATATTTTATTTGTTTCAAGTATTTGAACTGGCTGACCCAAGAGAACAAAATGCAGTGGAAAGTGGCCTTCTCATTCTCCCTCCACAGCTGCAAGCCTTGTTTTCTTGACAAGCAAACTACAGGTAGGAACAAAGGTCTTCAATTTTGCAGCTCCAGAACTGGCTTTCAGCTCTCACCTCATAATTTAGCTTAAATACACTATTTTCATCTGTTTTAATATTTACCTTTACTGAACAATGATATGAAGAGATTTTAAAGGTTATAAAAGGGCAAATGAAAGAAGTGCCTGCAAAACCCAGCAATAAGCATTAGGCCTCTACAGTAAAAGAACAGTCTTCTTAAGCACTGTGCATGGTAAAAAAGCAAGCATCTAACATTTATTTCCCTGCTGTTTTTTTTTCTGGTTTATTTTACCACGTTAGAATAAAGACAAAGTAGCACAAGCTCAAACAATCAAAATGTTACTTAGATTCAGAAGAGCTTATTCTGTGGTAAAGAGCTAATTCTGGATTTTATATGGCACACTAACCTGGGCACTGTGACAATTTTTACAACTCTTAGTCTGGTTTTTATGAGAAGCAATTGTTATTTCCTATTCTGTTCATGTTACTCTTTTGTATCTATACAATTCCAAGCTCACAGCTTTGGCAAAATGTCTTAAAAAAATACTTGTAGAACTGATAGTTCATTGATCGTGAAATCTGTACAATTCATGCTGTCATAGACACACAAATATTAGGGAAAATTAGAGTTTAACTATCACAAAATCCACAGACATGAATAACTTGAATTATGAATGCTTTTTTTCACCAACACCCAATTTACATGACTGTGCAGCAAGTGCAGCTATACCACTTAGTTGATAATGTTAGAAGTTGAAAATACTTGCCTTATCTGAAAAGCTTCTTCTGCAATTGCTAATATTGTACTAACTCAGTTAAAAGCCCATGAAACAATGTCATATTCCAGCTTCTATATTCAGGAGATTGTTTCCCTTTCTTGTTTATTTACTTTTTAAAGATAATAATACTATAAGATATAGTGTGTATTCTTTAATGGAGCATGACTTTCCCCTTCCTGCTAACAGACCCAATAACATATTTTTCTATCTATTCAAAATCCCGTTACCTTTGCACATTTAAAGGACAAAAGTTTCTGCTTTTTGGAAGCAACACTGTCATTATTAATCCAGATAGGCAGGGCTTTTGCTATGCACCCATACAAGTTTTGACAATCTCTAGTACATTGCTGTAAAGAGCCTACTCTGACTTTCAACTTGACCTGCACAAAAAAGGGAAAACAGACTTGCTTTAGTCCAAAGAGAAGGCTTTGGCAATTCTCCTGTTATTTTCTGCAAAGATGTCAAGAAAAGTGAAATACAGAATAGCTGAAATAATTTCTGTATGGAAAGATTCTTTGCCTTCAGAAAAAAATCTGCCAATTATGAAATTAAAAATACATTTCATATTATATACAATATAACATACTAATTGCAAGTAACAATAAATTAAAATACACTACAAATGGAATATATGTGAATATGTTGCATAACACATAGCACATAATATATAATACTTTTTTGCCAATATTTTTGATAGATATATAATTCTTGCTCTTCCTCTACCTTGTACACTGTCTGCATTTAGAAACACACATCTGCAGATTGGAATCTAAGAAAATAAGTGGTGGTAATAAACCAAATCAATTTGACCTCACTGATAGAAGTGCCAGCAAAGCATTCTTAAATTCATAAAACCTTTCTAAAGTGCTAGCCATGTTTTATTATAAATGTTTTTATTTTAAACATAAGAAAGCAAAGTGCTGAAAAATCACAAGCAATTAAAAATTGAAATAAATTTACCAAATAAAATTTAAAACAAAATGCCCATTTTTCCATCTAAAAACAGCTTTTCATGGAAAAAAAAAAAAAGGAAAAAGGCAGATGCTTCTTTTCAAAACTATTTTCATGACTAAGATGATCTACGAAAACCCATAAAGTATCAAGACACTTATATGTGCTTTGCTAAAACAAAAAAAAATGAATTACATAATACATCGATAAAGCCTAGAGAGGTTTTTTTAAATACCTAATTTTGAAGAAAGTGTAACTGCATGTCAAGTGCTTTGAAATGTTTGGATTAGGTGACATATCAACTTTTCAAATATGCATATATAGCTACTTTCCTAAGCACTTTATTTTGGTATCTCCTACACACTGCTTAGTCCAAGTCACTTGGATTCTGAGACCTGCTCCAAGTCCAAGAAATAGAGAAAACCCTTAAATAGAATGAAGTTTCACCCCTCCGAAGTCAAAGACAGCTCTGAAAGGTCTCTTCAAACCTTATCTTGTTTTTGAGGATACTTTCTGACCTCTTTGGTTAAGCACCTCAGGTTCTCCTTATTTGGGTCCAAATATCTTACATTTTTAGTCACAGTCTAGAAGGCAGCATTAAAATCACTCAGAATTGCACCAGTCCATGAATAGTAAGCCTTCTGATTCACTGAGTTTCAAAATGTGTTCCAGAACAGATACTCTTATTCTCTGAGACAGGGCACAAACACCAAACAAGTTCAGTGCCTACTCATCAAATGCCAAGACTTATAGGCTATTTCAGATCCAGCTATTTTATCAAATTAACATCCAGGAGATTTTTAACAGCAGGCTTTTCTAAAGAGAGGCTTTTCTAAAGACACTAAGGGATAAAGTGATGCTAAAAGCTAAGTTTAATGAGGTAAGAAAATCCACCAAAATGTTATCTCATAGCTTAAAAAAAAAGTTAAAGTAAAATATCTCAAATTTCAGTCAAATTGGTTCTTGCCTGCTCTTGGCAGCAGTGACTGAAAGATGATTTAGCATAAGGATTCTTTTAACACCCATTTCAAACACTCTGTCTGCAAAATTACATATATGAGTCCATACAGAGCCAGCAAGATCTAGAATTGCATGGATGCAGCATTGGTCAAAGTAATAATTGATGTTGGAGTTCCAATAAGCTCTCAATGATAGCTCTTAGTGTATTTAGGCATTAAAGTGAAATTACCCTAGTTTTCAATGTGGAATGTAGTTTTTCTCATTCAGGCTCAGATGAAAGGTTATAACCAATGATTTCCTGCTTTCCTTACTTGCCTTCCAGACAGTAAAGACTGCATCTGTAAAGACTAATAGGCACGTCTCTTCTGGGCACTTTGGCCACATTAGAAGTCATTGAGCAGCTTCTTAGCAGTAGTAATCAACACACCGGTTTACTTTACTTCTCTGATGTGCCTATCTGTATTTTTGATGCAATTCAGCACTGATAGATGACCATGACATCCTTCACTACATAAAGAAACTCTTCAGGCTAACCACCATAACCATTGCAGTCTCAGAAGCAAATCAAGTTTCCTACTACTGAACAGCACTTTTACAAAATACACAGTGGTATACTTCCCAACACATAAAAAAGTATTTATCACAAATACCTTCACTACCTTATTCATAACACTACGACTGACAAAAGAATACTCTGCTATAAATTTCTCTTTCTTGTCCAGTAAAGAAAACACTAACTCCTTTAGTTCATGCAGTTCTATGATTACAAGGTACAAATTTTGATGAAATTCTATCATATCTGTAACTCATACAGAAGCAGTCTAGTGTACTTCAGGACACACAGGGTAGGAAAGGTATAGGAAAGGGAACCCAGTATCAAAAACATCTAGAAGTTTCAGTCTTCTAGATTTAAAGAAAAGTGGGACATTCAAGTGGAGTTCCATGACATAAAGCAAACTTTACTGCTTTGTGTCTCTAAGGAAAAATTAGATGATATTTTTCAATGCAAAATGGCAAAACCTATTCTACCCTTATTTTATTTACTTTTAACTGATTTTTCCAACTTAAAAACAAAAAAAGTATATGTTTGTGAAAACATATTCAGTGAAAAGCTGAACTTTTGCACACTGTGGGTACTCCAGCATACCTCCTGAATAGCTGTCATGACAACATGTTGAACCGACTCTTCCATCATCATTATGGTCTGAATGTACTCTGGAAAAAAACAAAAAAGAGCATTCTGGAATGTTACACACAAAACATGAGGTCAGAAGCTGTATCCTTCCCACAAACTGACTAGGTATCACAGATGACATACAAATGCATAACTGCCAATTAAGTCCCACCTCAAGAAAATATACAAGACTTTATCACAAAATCTGATCAGATGTAAATCCAGGTGCACTGGAACACTGCAACAATGAAAAAAACTAAACGATTATCATCTTTTTTTTTCCTTCTTGCAACTCACTCTTTAAAGATGTAAATTCTGAAATTTGCGTATAAATTCTACCTATACTCTTTTTTTTTTTTTTTTTTTTTTTTTAAACTTTGTTACCAAACTATTCAGGCTACACAAGTACACAGTCCAAGGAGAGACTGTCCTTTTCTGTGAATTTAAGATTAATGTCCTTTCTACAACATCCTCATTTCAAGTCATTTCCATGCCTGTTCTTAGTTTCCGTTTTAATTTTTACACTATATCACAACTAAATTCCCTCCACTTTATCCTCGCTCACCTGTAAGTCCACGTGAGCTACTCTGTAAGTATTTTTGCAAAAAGAGACAATGGTTAGAATGACAAACTCTGATGTTTAGACAAAGTGAGGGATTTATAATTTGCCCAGTATCGTATGGTGTCCAGTCAGAGATGATCACCTTTACATGCCACCTACATTCTTTACCAAAGAGGAAGATGCTGGGGATCAGTCACCTCAAAGTGCATAAGATATACTTCTCACTTGAAGATGCCAAATTATCACTAAAAGGAAGAAAGAATCTTACATAAGACAGAAAAGACAGACGGTCTAATAAAGGAGTTATTTCTGCACTTGTGGAAGAAAATCACCTCTACTTTAATTAATAGGTTAGCCAGACTGTCTCCTGATCAAGGAAAGTATAAAAGCAATTTCATAGTAAGACATAAAAGTAATTTAGACACCTGAGAAAACTAGAACAGGTCAATTAGTTTAAAAAGCTAAGATGCAATATGCAAGAGGAAGACAAAAGGTCTGAAAGATTAGCTGCCATTTTGCCAGAAAGGAAACTGCAACAAGTGAGATCACGAAGAGACAGATCTTCAACACAACTTCAATGTAAATAAATAAACATCATTTTATTTATCCACCTGTGTATTTATTAACTATGTTTCTATGTTCCCTGCTTTATGTATTAAGAATAAATTGTGGTTGCTTTGTTATCATAACATGGCTTGAAATAAGTGTAATTTAAGGTAATTGGCTAACAATAAGACACACAGCAACACCCAAGGATATGGGTGGTTTAGAGCAAGAGATCTGGGACACTAACTAGTGTCTCCACTGTCCACTACATCCTCTGCAGCATCTGCAGGAAAAATGAAAGGGTCCCTATTTTAATTGTGCATGTCAGATAGACAGTTGATACCACAGGAGTCAAGAGAATCAGAATTGTCTTTCAGTGACTTGCCTAACGACGGCCCTAAGTGCCATTTTGGATGTCCTTGATGCTTAGTCTTCAGCACCTGCTGAGAAGGCCATGGTCACCAGCAGTCATTACTCCTATTTGCCAATCTCATCAAAAACTCTTAGAAACTACAGCGTCCCAGATCACATCAAACATATCTCAAAACAGCTTCCAGTCATAGTGATTGCTCTCTGCCATGCAATAAGAAGGTGGCCAGAATGCATTCCTAAAACCACTCGTATTTTTTGATCCCTAACTACCCAGAGCTACCTCATAAATGGTGAAAGCATGGGCCCCAGAATTTTCCTTTTTGGAATTCCCTTTTAGCTCAGCAAACAAAAATTGAAACTACATATGTTGATAGCGAAACCAGTTCCACAATTTGAGAGTGCAAAACTAGGGAAACAGTAGTTCTTATCTGTAGGACAAAATAACGTTATCACTTATAAAAACGATACTTACTTGTCTCTAATGGCAACCTGAGAAATATCATTTTCCCCTAAGTGATTATACAGTAAGCTGGATTTTCATTCACTGTCTTGAAGCATACATGCTTTCAAAATGAAATACCTTGCTTCTGTTCACAATTCACAGCGCATCCCAAAATAAGCTGAAGCATTCTTCCAAGTTCTGCAGCATCAGCGTGCTCTCCAATCAGGTTAACATCAGGAAGCGTGAAGTCATTAATCTGTTGTCCCAGAATCTGCATAAAGACCCAGTACATACATGTCTGTATCACTACGTATACACAGGTCCACAAATTTCGACAGACAAACATGATCTGAAGTCAACAAGTGCTCACTTTTCACTTTAGTACGGTTTTCAATCCAACTTTAAAGCAAACAAATGTCTAACACCATTTTATATACAGACCTCCAAGAGGTAAGTCATCCATATTCTTTGAAACAACTAGTATTTGGTGAAACACAAACCCATCCCAATAAGTAAGAAGCTAGTCATTTCAAACTTAGTTTAGTAAGATTTTTTCCAGATAAGAAAGGTAACAAAGGCAGGCTCAAACATGATCAACAGCATGCGAGTAACTTTTTTTTTTCCAGCAAAGCTTTCAATTAAAAAAGTCTAATACCTAAAAACATTTTAGCTAGCATAAGATATTATGTACAGGTCTTGTATTTCATACCACTGGAAAGGCAGAAATTAAGATATTTCACTTTTACAAAACATGTGTCTAGCACTGATGGATGACAAATTTAAGACTGTAAAACACTTGATCACTTGACCTCACACTTCCAGAAAATTCAAGCATATTTAGCAATTCCCAGAGCTAAAAAAAATAGTTTAATGGAAAAGAATTTAAGGTAGTAGTACAATATATAATTAAACAACCCACACACAGAAATAAAAAAAAATACTGAAAAACAGAAAAAAGAAAACATGTGACTTATAATTAATGTAATCTGATTTATAATTAAGAAGGATTTACATTAATGATTGTCAGTAGAAGGAATTAAACAATTCTCTTAGATTGTTCTCCAAGAACTTTCAGGGGGTTGAAAATATGAATATGAAATGTGGAATTAAACACATCTCTGACACATTAATTGCAGATAAAAAGAAACTGTCATTTCTTAAGCAGGGTGCAATAAAGAAACAATGACTACCAAGGGAATCAGTCATTTGTTTGCCGAATGCTCCTTTTGATTTAATACACGAGAAAAACAGAAAAGCAAGTAAAAGTATTTATGAAAAACATTCAACAGATATATATGAAGAACACAGAAATCAAGCCATTAAAAAGTTTCCCAGGGCTAGGGAGTTGTGGTTGGGTTTGTTCTTATTTTGTATTTTTGGGGGTCCTTTTTTTCTGGGTTTCTTTGTGTGTGTGGTTGTTTTATTATTACTAACAATCTCCTCAAAGAGTGAGAACCAATGCAACTGAAATCTTTGTATACTGTAAAGAACTCTGATATAATCTTGTATGAAAAGACTTCCTTTAGGTCCTTCTGGTGAGAAAACAATTCTATGAATGCATTAAGCACAACAGAAAATATTACCATTGTATATGGACTGTGATAACACAGTAAAACACAATATTCTTTGAATGATACAAGTCTGATAATGTGTTTACATATTGGCCTGTATTTCTGGAATTTCTTTCAAATTCAGTGCCAGATTAATATTAATAATAATATAACTGCTTTATACTTAAGGACAGTATAATTTCTGTTGAGAAAAAGCTGAAGAGGTGTATCAGCAGACATGATAAAGGAACCAAGGAAGTAAAGGTGAAAATAGAGGATTTTGCAATAAACATGAGATACAATTATAATGCAATAAGAAAAACAATGAAATAAACAGAAAAATGAATTCTGGAATAAGTATCATGAGATGAAAATGGGCATTTTTCCTTTTTATTCCCAAATAAATATAAAAATACTTTAAAAATACTGTAAAAAGTTCTTTTACAAAAGGAATAGAAGCTTAAATTCTAGAGCAGCAGAGTTCTGCAGCAAAATTACTGGGGCATCAGAAAGCATGCAAGCTATAAATAGGTACTTTTAACTTCTTGTTCTTCCTTACTATAACTAACAAAGACAGCTATTTATGATAGATATTGAAAGACTGTCCTACTGGATGTGGTATGAATATTTAATTTTTTTTAAATCAGAAAAATTAGCTGAAAATCTTTGAAGTACCATTATGCTAATTCGGTAAAATTCTTTGCAATATAGATGTGACTATAGAAGAAGACTGCTAGGAGGGCGAAATCAGGCTCAAGAGAAACATAACCAGGATTCATAGTAGAATCCAGATAATCCCCAATATCATTACAAGCATCGCAGCAGCAGAAAAAGAAAAGAAACCAAACCAAATAAAGTTAAACGTATAAATTTGCGTACTTAATCAGGTCAAAACCTGCTGGCTTATCGAAGCAGTGAAGTTTTCACACTAGAAACTTAATCATCATAAATTCCAACTATCCAAAAGGAAGCTGGCATCACTTTTGTCATAGTGATATTAATTTTCTGTAGCAAATTTATTTATTTCCAAAAACGGTCTGCTATGAACCAGCTTTCTTTCTGAAGGACTGTATGGACCTGTGCTGTAGCACTTCTTGAAGAATTGCAGCTCATGGGAAACATGTGCTGGAGCAGTTTGTGAGACTGTGCATGCCAGTCCCAAGATGATGCAGAGGAAGGAAGAGGAAGGAGTAGCAAAAACAAATCCTTATGGACTGACCACAACCTCCATCCCCTCCCTGTGCCCCTGTGCCACTTGGGGAAGAAGACAGACGAGCCGAATCTGAAGTTGAGCCCAGGAAGATGGGAGGTATAAAGGAAGTTGGTTTTAGTTTCTTTTTAATTCTCACTGCTCTGCCTGTTATTCCTAGTAATAAATTAGATTAATCTTAGCTAAGTAGAGCCTGTTTTGATTGTGATAACAATTGGTGAATGATCTCTCTTTCCTTATCTCAATCTGTGATATTTTTTCATTGTATTTTCTCCCCCTGTCCTGCTGAAGAGATAGAGTGAGCAAGCAGCCTGCTGGCCAACTAAGGTCAACCCACCACACCATCAATTTTCAAAATTAATTTCAGCTTGGACATCTGGCCACTTACTGAATCTGAACTTCTGAGCATAACATTTTCATTCAGAAAATCTGTTTCTTTGTAAAAGCTTACATTTATTAACAAATACCTTCCTCAAAGAAGTATTTCCAAGCAGCTAATACTGTTTTTTTTGTTTGTATTTTGAGGGACAAGCAATGTCCAGAATGTACAAGTTATGGATTTTGTGCTGCGCTCTGTACTAGTCAATTTGCTTCAAAACATCACTGAAGCTAAAAGCAAATTTCAACAGAAAATTCACCACTGAAAAATACCGTTCTGTTTCTTCTCCAGAGTGGTTAATTTCTGAGTTTCATAGCAGAGAACACTATGTGCAGACTCTATTATCCCAGGATTAATGCAATTGATTAAAAACCGTAATGTAAGATGATAGAAATTCTCTTTCCTTACTCTCTTCAAAGAAAAGGGGGGGAAAAAAAGATGCAGTTTTTAGTTGGAACAGAAGAGAAATACTGAACAGAAGTACGGTTTAAGGCCATCATCAGAACATAGTCAGCAAAGACATCTACTGTTTGTATGACAGGATTTGCATGTCATATTCCTCTAAAAGCTCTTAGAGTGTTTGATAATGCAGGTAAAAAGTTTTAGAGCAGGCTAACACCTGAGAACAGGTCATGAAACACCCTGAGTCAAAACATTTTTGAAGAAAAAGTCAGAAGTCAATGAATCAGTAGAATATAACTTACATTAAATATGTTAAGTAAGATATTTACAAAAAGAACATAAACGTAGGCTACTTTAAAATATTCATACCTCATGGTTGTAATCCAGTATCCCTTTTAAGATCTTCTTCAGGTTGCTTACCTATTTGACAAGAAGAAGAAGGAAATACAATAAATGCAAAGAATAAATTTCAAAAAACATGATCATAAAGCCGGCAATCACAGAAGAATCACATTAAAGAATCATACAATTGCATCAATTTGCATTATGAGAATTTCTGTTTAAATAGTTTAAATTAGAATTATGGAAAGTATACAACAGTCCCTTGTGATCAGACTGCTAGACCTGATCTCATGTCTTTATGAATTCACATAACCCATTAAAGTTATGAAGATCAGCACATGTTCTCAGATGGCCTCTAGATCAGACTTCAAAGCATCAAGTTTATCTTAGTGTGTATATATATACTATGTATATATATATTTAGGAATTTTAGTGTATATATATTATATATATGTATATATACGCGTTTTTATCTGTAAGTCAAAACATTCTTTTTCTCCCTTCTTGTCATAAAGTATGCTAGTGATTTACTGTTTGTAGAAGTAAACCTTTTTTTCCAAACCAAAACCAGCTACTGCTTGATATCATCCTTTATACCAAACCTATTTAAGGCTAACTTATTAGCATTCTCACTAATTAATCCTCCTGTTTTTCCATTTTTGTTTGATCCCCCCTAACCCAGTTCTTCACAATCAAATGTCTGTCTTACAGTGTCAAGGCAAAATTTGCATTTCTTAGCAATGCCTTCCATGCCAAACAAAGATAGTTTTTGTTCCACTTTTATAATCAATGACATCAGCTACACGTCTCCTGCTGTACAGGATCTGTACCACAGCTCTTCAGCTCCCTTTCTGGCAAAACAAAACAACAACAAAAAACACAAACCATACTACCCACGACTTAGAACAAGTCTCTAAGATAGAAACTGTGCAAAAAAAAAATAAAATTAAATGGCCAATGGATCTCATAGGTGATGCTTAGAAAAGACATCTTTTTTGAAAATAACTGTGACGGATTCACACCAACTGGTATAGAATCCCAACAATCTACATAAGCAAGAAATTGAGATAACAGAAGCAGTGCGTTTGTCTCCTATGACAGGAAGTCCATAAATGGGTTCTATAAAGACTAAGCAGAAATGAGAGGATGGTTAGAGAACTGAGTAATCACTTCCCAGTTCTATTCATCTCATCTTAGACACAAGTAGGGTAAGAATTAGGATTCAGACTAGGATTCGTAAACTGATGTTGCTGACAATAGTAGCCAAAGTGGCAAACCATGACACTATAATGGAGGGAGGGGGAAAAAAAATCAAAACTCTCAAATCCCAGCTGCCTTAAAACTGCCAGTTACGTATGTACATGTATTTTTTATTATTCTGAAAATATCCAATAAGGAACTTCTGGCAGTGGACAGAATCTACCTACCTTCCAAAAGGCCTAAGAAAACATTGCAGAAAGCAGTTTGGAGGCATGATTGAAGCCCAATGACATACTCTACACTCCAACAGTCAGCAGACAAAATGAAGTGATGAAAGAAAAATGCAGTTCTTTTTCTGGAGGAAACTCAACAAAGGAACAGGCTACAGATGTTAACACTTAATGCATCTCTAAAATCTACAACAACATCCTAGCTGTCCGCCCAAAAGCAATCACCACCATCTTTCAAGGGCTATGAATGATCATAACCGAAGTCTGCAACAGATTTAAGATTTTAAGGGAATATAAATCATTTGATTTTTCTATCAAATCACCATAACAAATACTGCACTGATTGGAATATAATTTTCATAATTGATTCATTAAAATCTTCCAGCTTGTAATTTACCTGCATCTGCTGCAGAAACCCAAGGGCCATGCTGTAGAATTTAAGTCCAGTTTACCGATGAGAACATTGTGAGGAACCTTGAACTTGAACATAATCCCAGAAATGAGAAACAAAATGGAATGTACTAGCCTAGAAAATACCTGTTTTTTCCCCTTTCCTTGTGAGCATTGTTTAAATTAAAATCTCTTAAAAGCATAGAGTTATCTTCCTCCACGTAACGTTCATAGAACTTAGAGCTGAGATGCTGGAATAAAATCAGTATTGATCAAAATCTGTGAAGAAAAATACCAGATAGGACAGCATCTTCAGAAAAAGAAAACAGCAAATAAACTGAAATAATCTTGTCTTTGAGGTCCTACTTTTTTGTTTTTGTGTCAACCATTGTCCATTAGCAGTACTGGGATAACTTGCCTTCAGGAGTTAACTGCACCATCTTTGTATTCAGAGCACAATCAGACAATTATAAAGCTAAAGCAGTATATTTATAGACTGCCTTAAACTTAACAACGACCTTCAGTATTACTAGGGGAGTTCTCTTTCACTAGCGTGCAATGAATACACTTAGATGGTTCTACTGCCAGTGGCAGAGAATCATCACGGGAAACTACCACAAACGTTGTCTGTTTTGAGATTCAGCTCAGAGGACCCATTACCATTTCCCAGGTCATAGCATAAACTCTTACAAGGAAGACTTCAAACAGAGATGAATGAAAATGAACAACAGATGTAACAGAGAAAAGCACAGGAAATTGTTAAAGACAACTGATTACATATAGAATTCTAAACCACAGCAGGCGATGGTTTATCAGATGTTTTTGTCTTTTTCTTAAACACATGGAAAAAAAAACCAACACTACAACCAGTTAACAAAAACCATTATGTCATGCAATGGCAGAACACAACAGATACAATTTCCAAGGTGGATTATGACTAGAAAGTGCTCTATAATCCTTTGGAGATAAGCCCATGAGCACATGGGATCCCTATTTGGTTGTACCAGCAACCTGACCTCTTCCTTTTCTATACATAGCACATATGCTTCCCTCCCAACCCCTTTCATAATCCTTTCTGCACATCCATAACCACTTGGAAAAGACATGAAACCTACTAAAAAAATAGTAACAACTACACTTCATTACACTGCTAAAGCACTTACAACTCACAATTGATTGTTTCTAGATGAATCTCTATTCATTTTCAACATCATCTCAATTCATTTTTAGTATCTTTTCCATCCATCATTCCCCTTCTTCAGAGTTGTGGTGAACAGAGTTAAATCCAGTTGGAGGCTGGTCACTAGTGACATCCCCCAGGGCTCGGTACTGGGGCCATTTCTTTTCAATATCTTTATCAATGATGTGGATGAGGGGATCAAGTGCACCCTCAGTAAGTTTGCACCAAGTTAGACATGAGTTTTGATCTGCTCGAGGGTAGGAAGGCTCTGCAGGAGGATCTGGATAGGCTGCACCGATGGGCTGAGGCCAACTGCATGAAGTTTAACAAGGCCAAGTGCCGGGTCCTGCACCTGGGGCGCAATAACCCCAAGCAGAGCTACAGGCTGGGAGAGGAATGGTTGGAGAGCTGCCAGGCAGAGAAGGACCTGGGAGTGATGGTGAACGGTCGGCTGAATATGAGCCAGCAGTGTGCTCAGGTGGCCAAGAAGGCCAACGGCATCCTGGCTTGTATCAGAAACACTGTGACCAGCAGGGCTAGGGAGGTGATCGTCCCCCTGTACTCGGCTCTGGTGAGGCCGCACCTCGAGTACTGTGTTCAGTTTTGGGCCCCTCGCTACAAGAAGGACATCGAGGTGCTCAAGCGAGTCCAGAGAAGGGTGACGAAGCTGGTGAGGGGCCTGGAGAACAAGTCCTATGAGGAGCAGCTGAGGGAGCTGGGGGTGTTTCATATGGAGAAAAGGAGGCTCAGGGGAGACCTTATTGCTCTCTACAGGTACCTTAAAGGATGTTGTATCAACATTGGGATCTGGCTCTTCTCCCAAGCACCAAGTGACAAGGGTAAATGGCCTCAAGTTGCACCAGAGGAGGTTTAGGTTGGATATTAGATATTGGATATTAAATTTCTTCACTGAAAGAAATTTCTTTACTGAAAGGGCTGTGTGGCATTGGGATAGGCTGCCCAGGGAAGTGGCTGAGTCAGCATCCCTGGGGGTCGGTCTTCAGGAAACATGTAGATGTAGATCTCAGTAGCACAGTTTAGTAGTGGACTTGGCAGTACAAGGTTAAATGTTTGTCTAGATGATATTAAAGGTCTTTTCTGTAATGATATTATTAAAGGTCTTTTCTATATTGATATAATGATTCTATATTTCTATACTGATTCTAAGATTCTACATAGTTAACACACACTATGTAATTAGACTGACCCTTACTCTACAGCATTAACCTGATAAACAGACTAGAATGAAAGCAGATATGATTTGGCTTGGGTTATTGAAGACAACACATGATCTGGCACAGTAAACCTTAATGCGGGGGGGGGGGGGGGGGGGGTTGGGGCTGCTCTAAATTTTTTTCTCACCTGTCATATGAAATCTCTATTTTTATTTAATTGAAGCTCAAACACCAAATTCATATTGAGGATCTGTAAGAATAGTTTGTCTAGATTGTTCTCTTTATGAATATACCAGAGCAACAAAAGGAAAGCCTAATGTAACGGACAGCAGAAATGCTCTTCAGCTTGTGGTGACTGACAAAAAGGGACCAGGGGTTATGTAACCACTTGTTCACTCTAACATTTTGACAGCCAGTCAAATGGCTGTCAAACAGACACTTCTCATTTTTCCATTTACCCTTTTATCATATGCATGATTGAAATCCTGCTTGTACTGAATACCCTGTGTAAATTAATTTATCCTTGTACATTTCAGGTACTCACCTGTCTAAATGGGAACCCCAGTGTTGAAATGTTATTCTACAGTATCTTTCCTGGGTAATTATGCATAGACTTATTTCCCTTCCTACAGGTTATAATTAACAACCTTATAACCTCTGGAAGTGTTGCTAGGACAGGCTTGCAGCTTGCAGGAAAACTCTTAATCATTCAGGTTCAGGTATATGACTAATTCAAGTGCAGCCAAGAAGAGTACACAAATTAAAAAACAAACAAACTGTGTATGCATAGTTCCCATTACATTAGGTTTCTGCTCTGAACTGCATCCTGTCTCTTCACTATTATAAATGGGGCCTAGAGAGAGGCTGTACTATTAGCTTTGGAGTTATCCCCCTCCAACCTGTCTTCTGCAAAAAGAAATACCAGGAAGAACAGATACAGACACACCCTCCAGTTAAATGGAAAAAAAAAAATCATTAAAAGGTCGCTCTGAACAAACAGTATTCCCACATTAAACTTATATTCAGAGACATTGCTGACTTAGGAACTAAGGATACAAAAAAAAAAAAAAAAAGAATTAAATGTATCAGCTGCTAAGTATCTTTTTTGACAGAAATACATGCTGGCTAATAAAAATGCCTGATCTCCACTTCTTGCTTGTAGAAGAACATTCACAAGATAGGCTTCTATCTTTATCAGGAAAAAAAAAACAAACAACCCTCAAACTCTAAAAGGCTTTTCATGAATAAGTGTTCCCTTCTCTGCAAAGAATATGAAAGTAGCAGAAGGAGGATACCATACACAGAAAACTAGGTTCCTAAGTACTACTCAAGTCAACCCAGCCTGTACTGGAATAAATCAGTGTGAGCATAAATGTACTACTGCTAGAGTCAAAATTAATCCTCACGAAGAACGTTTGTTCACTTGCTTTACAACACTAAATAGTCTGCACTCTAATTTCATTAATTAGTCCACCCTGCAATATTCCATCAAACAGAAAGCATTCAAACAGTACTTGTTGGAGAAAATCTAGTGGCACATGCTGTTTAAATGTGCTATTCAGGAATGGAACAAACACAGCTTGCTGCTACACACACGGATAAAATAAATGATGTGTGTAGCAAGTGATTAACTGCTTAAGCTTTTGGTACTGATATTCCTGGACTACTCAATATGGAACTATTCTTGTTTCTTGATTAGGGAATTTCATTCCTGCAACATTTTGGCAATAAACTTATTTTCCACACCACTTTCCAGTTTCAGTGAAGGCTCTTTTGCCTTCAGAATGTCATCTTCTTCAGCATGAAACACTAGTGTGTACACAGTTTAAACCCCAACAATTTTTAAGTGTTCATTTTTATATCAGGAAATAGATGTCTGTGCTTTTATGATTTTTCTTAAACTACAACATATAATTGCTGTTAGGCCAGGAGTGAGAAATGGTGGGTTTTGTTGCACAACAGAAAAAACTGACTGTGAAGCATGCTGATATATGCTGTGCACCAGAAATTTTAACTCTAAGTAACAAAATGTTTCTGTATTAAACACAGTAGGCAAACAGATCTGGTCTGTTTTAATAAACAGAATGCTAGCTGACCACTTCCTACTCTGCAAGTCCCCAGAGCTCTAACATTTCCCTTTTTCTATCCTGTTCATTGCTCAATCTCTAATGTCAGACAACCTGCCCCAAAACCAAGAGCATAACAACACCCGTGTGAATTTTTACTTTCGTTTTAAACTGGTACAGCAATGGGAAAAATACTTTTAATAAGATAGCATTCCTGCAGTTATCAAAAGTAAACTAAGTTTCATGAACTGCTACACAAGAAAATTAATGAAAGCTCAGCCATATATTCTTGTTTATATACCACAGAGGACAGTATCCAATGATGCAGTGCATCATTTTCTGAATAACTCTCTCAGTAGTGGTTAGGAGGGTCTGATACATCTCTCTGAACCACTGCTTCACAAAGAATTACAGGCACATTATGTTTTCTTTGTTTTAAACCTACTTCCCCTATTAGACTTGTTTCTTTATGTGCTTCATAATACAGAGAGCTTGCACAAGTAGTGACTATTGTACTACACGATATTGGAGGTAAAGAGCAACCATGTTTAGCAACAAGAATATTCTTCAGCTCATTATCATGACTTGTGAGGTACCAAACTAACCTAATTATAGTTTCTCATGGTGCTTCTTAAAATATTAAGGGAAATCATATTAAGGAGACACACATGACTATGTTGCCTACATTTATAATCCAATGACAAACCAAAATAAGTGCACAGATTGAAAACACTCCTATGAGCAAGACTATGAATAATTGATTGAAGGATGAACAGTTGAACAACTAAACTACTAATGGTGTTCATGTACACAAAAAGAACAGCTGGAGCTGGCATAGTAGAAGGCTACTTTCATTAAAGAATAGGAGTAAAAATACCACATTTGTGACTTTTAAAGGAAGGGGCATACAAAAACATACACAAAAAGCTGTAATATGCACTTGTTTTAAACAAGAACAAAACACCAGTCTTTAGTTCTTATTTACATGGAAATGTGAAAAATAAAAAGGAATGACATCAGCGAGAAATTGAAATTTGAGTTGATGTTTTTCCAGACTTCAATCACATAATGAAGTTACTAGATTGCTCAGTCTTTCTGTTTTATTCACACCTGTTAAGCCTTAGAATTTGCCACACAGGCAGGAGAGACAGGAAAAAAAAATATTCCTCAAGCTCCATACGACTTACAGAAGTTGCTGCTCCATTTTTAATTGATTAAAATGCTATTATAATAAGCAGTTGTCAGACTGTTGTTCTTATAATTTAACAACCAAGACTTCAATATTCCTTAGGAAAAAAGCCACAATATTATTTTAGGGAAAAAAGAAACCTTGCATCTGGCTGTTCATTTGCAATTTCATAAGCTTCTTTGAAAAAAAAAAAAAAATTAACTGCTCTACAACCAGCAGGTTTTTTTAATTTTTATTTTTTAGGAACCATATCTTTTCTTTACCAGCCGATAGATATATCCTCAACAATGTTCCCACACTTTGCTGGTAAGACTATTAGACAAGCTGTTCTAGACAGTCCAGACTTGTACATACCGTGCTGACAGATCTGCTGACAACATATGTAACAACACGCTCTGTCCTTTCCTCAGGTAGCCCTTGACTGTGTCTACCCCCTCTTCAGTCAGCAACATTGATAAAATGGTATACACTAGAGTTTTTCCATAGTTGCAGCCCTTCCACAGACGTTTAGAAAAGTTTTTGGGAGCCAGAACAGAATGTGTTTATGGAATATTATCTAATGAAAATCATCAGAAAGAAACCAGGCTGGAAACAGCAATTCAGAAAGGTACATGTATCATTCTCTGGTCAGAAACTACCCTAGTATCTGCATATGAAATTGTGTTTTTCAGGTTTTATAAACCAAAATGCTCCATGGCTGCACGAGCATAAATTCTATTACCTTTAAGATCTGCAGAGAAAGCACTAGAATACCAAGTGACATAAATGACCCAGCAAATAGGCTGTGGTTAAAAACATGCTGAGTACAAACAACACAGAAAAAACATCACTTCCTCTCCTAAAACTCACTAGCTGTGCAGAGCTGGCAAAGTAAAATGAAACAACATTTTACCATTTTTATTTAAATAAACTGGCTATTAATCTGCTGTTATTACACAGTTGTTTGTTGGAGCTTTTTTTTTTCCTCTGTATGAAAGCATAATTTCACACTTTGCATTAAAAACAAAAGATGTTTTATTCACATTTCTTTGTTTTTCAAATGGTAGTTTAAGCATTATGTTTATTTTAATATTTATTAATATTCTTTTAAATTGTTGAAACCCATTTAAAACTCAAAATGGGTTTTCTTCGCTAAACAATGCAGGACTATAATAACAAAAAACAAGCAAGTGTAATTAAAAACTGTCTTGAATTCAACTTAGTGCACTATAAAGCAAGGTCTTAATCTAGAAATATGCTAATATTTAAACGCAACATTGTATTAAGAACAGAAACACAGATCTGCAGAGAAGCAAATAAAGTCCAATACCTTTAGCCTCCAATTATCTCCTACTTCTGTTTTGATCCTGTTTAGCCAGTTTTCATCAAAGTAAGCTGGATCTCTGAAATAGAAAAAAAAAAAGAGCATTTGTTAAAAACTGATTCCAGAAACTAAGATATGTTAGTGTGATTAAGCTCCTATCTCTAGCTGAGGCTGCTTAAATGGCTATATCTTTGTTCTATATATATTGCCAGTACACAGTAGTTCAGAATCCCATTACTACCCACTTCTTTAAGCCCTTGCACCCTTGCAGCACAGCTTCATTTGTGTACCATGAGTAGCTAATACTTTTGAAGAAGCTGCTGTACTTGGAATGTATTTTGTCAGTTTTCCTTCCTCTATAAATTCTTTTAAGTTATCAGCTGTTGCTGGAGCAGTATGTTTGCATTACTTGAAAGTGTTACAAAAGCTTATTACTTTTTCACATGTTGTGGACTCATACTGCTATACACTGATTGCAAATATTCCCCTACTAAACGGGAAACTTGAGACTGGAAAACATATATTATCTCTATATAATGACAACAATCAAAAAGCCTAAGTGCAGCTAAGTGTTTTCTACTGAGAACACAATTAATATACCAAACACTATCAGGTTCTGCAAATCTCTTTTCACAGTAATCTTTGACACATCTTTTTGTGAACACCCTTCCTTAACATTTTTTCGTATCTTCTGCGCTATTGACAAGGCAATGAAGGTAAGGACAGAATAAAAACACCAACTTTTTGTACAGTATGCCTTTATTTCCCTAAAATTCTTCTCTCCTTTTTTTCTCACAGGCACCTTCCTTTGGTTGTTTGTTAAACACAACTCATAAGACTCTCTTGCCATCAGTTCTTTGATCACCTAAAAGCTAATGTTTTCTACTATATACTTAAGTAAAATCTCTCCTCTACCATACAGAACTTCAATATTATCCTCAGAAATAGAGAGGGAATGCACTATAACTAGTCAGTTTTAAAGGAGAATGACAACACAATATAAGGAAAGGCCCATATTTCAGATGAAACAAAAGTTAATATAGTCAGGGAAGAAAAACTTTTTATAAGCACAAGGCTCTTGAGTCAGCATGGTAGGCCCCATTAGAGTTGCACAGGAAGTACTCTAATTTCTAGAAGTATACTGCTGCATTTGCTATCATGTACTATTAGATTTACTGCTGCATCCTTTGAAGATTGTAGAGTTTGAACTGAACCCTACCTTTTTTTTTTTAAAAAAAAAAAAAAAAAAGGAGGTAAGATTGCATGAAATCTTTTGGGAAAAGCTAAAAAAAATCATGAGTATTTCTGGAGATTAACACGGTATCTCTGCAGTCATATATGTTGCAAGCCGGCACCTGTATCAGTAGTTATACAGTAGTTATAGTAGAGCATATTCTTTGTACCCACATGTTTTCCTGATGCATTATCCCTCCTCTATTCCATTTTCCCCACAGTATCTTCCCCACAATGTCCCAATGCCTGCAAGCAGCCCATGATGTAACACACAGGAGGGGAGAGAGATCATAAACAGCAACATTTCTCTACTGAAACATTTTAACTGTTATTTTTACACATTCTGTTACAGACACTGGCGAAGATTATGGCATATTTCTTTTCCTCTGACATGGCATCCGCAAACATATAGCTGGAAGAACAGCTTTAATTACTAGTTAAGCTGATGACTCCAAATTGCTCCCATTCAAAAACAGCGCAGTTCTAGCACAGATGACAAAATCTTGAAGCGTGAAACAGAAAAAGCAACATCTTATCCAGAGTTTTAACTGGTTTTGAAATGGACTTTTTCTAAATAGCTGTCAAATGGCTTCTGCTCTCAGAGGCAGGTAAATCTGAGCCAGAAATTGATTCCAGAACATACAAGATCAACTACAGATGAAAAGTTCACATTCAGTTTTTATATTAAATAACTGTCCCTCCTTGCAGAAGGTCTTGGTATGCCTAACTTCCAACCAATCTGAACAAAATCATCTGGAGAACAGTGAAAAAAACCCCACCTGTTAGTTGGAAACAAGGAGACCCACTTGAACTGCTTCTGTTTGAAGTCTGGAGTTGAGAAAGCAGCCTGGTATCTATCTTCTGGATGGGGCACTCTGCCAAACACAAGTGAGCCTTGCTCACAGGCTTGTGTCACCAGGACTGGTGTCTCACAGACTTGCTCACCAAGCGTTTACCCAGCTCAGTGAGAAAGCGGGTATAACTAGCTACGTGTGCCTCCACAGCAAAAAAAAAAAAAAAGACCATCAGGACTTTCTTAAGGACCGTATCTTAATTTAAAGATTGCAGTTGGTCATGAACACCTTCAGCTACTCCAAGGCTGCAGTGCCATCAATGTAACAACTCTTGATTTACCATTTTGATTGTAAATAACTAAGCATAAGGAACTGTCCACAAGCAGAAGTCTGGACCAACTGGCAGGCTAATGCTGCATACCCCATTTCAACAATAAGGGCATCAACTGAGGAAGAAATAGAAGATATCAGGTTTAGAATGCATTCACTGTAACACATGGAACAGAAAATGCCCCCTCACTTTCTTGATAGAAGTCCTAGGATACCTGCACCTTTATACAGATCATCAGACAAACTTAAAGAAAATTGCTGAAAATTAAACCTAAACTAAGTATGGCACTCATTTTCCAGAGACTTCACTGTTTTTTTCTCTTAAGTATACAAGTCTCACTGAAGTATCCAGAGTCCAGCACCCAGTAAGCCAGCCACTCTACATGTACATCATTAACACACAGCAGTCGTTAGAACTATACCAACAGCTCTCTTTAGGGCATCTCAATGTGTTTACACAATAACTAGTAGAATAACTAGTAGTAGTAGTTGCAAAAAACGTTTTGCCAGCAATATAAGCATAAAAGCAACAAGGTGGGCATCAACACCAAGCAAATCTAGAATGATCACCATTTTCCTCATGTAAAAGTCACCTCAGAATCATTCCTAATGCACTGGGTTAATTTAATTTCTGTTCTCAAAATCCTTACTAAGGTTCAGAATTTACATTAACAGTAATGGTTTCTCTCCGTGTTGAGCCAATGGAATGAATCATCTCAAATCAGAAGCTTTCCACCAGAATTTCTAGAAATACATTTGAAAAGAGCTTCCAGACCCTCCTCCAAAAGCTGCACTAGTTCATTCACAGCCCTTGCTGCAGACGAGTTTCCCTCTACTACATTTTTGGGAATCATGACTCAACCACATTCTCAGAGCTCTTGAACTCCCTTTGTCCATGTCACCAGGAAAGATGCTGTCATCTCTTGGAGTAATGTTTGAAAAAGCATCACCCAAGCAAATATGAAAAATGTGTGGTTGAGAGCTGCACAGCTGTGGTTACAAAACCTTCCACTTCATTTTGAAGAAGTACTGCACTAAACAAGGTCAGCAGAAAACTGACTGGAGCATAATCAATACTTTGAGATGACTTGCTTGAACTCAGCATTCTGAAGTGATGAAGTTCCTCAGCCTATATTCAAAGTTGGGGAATCTCTTGCACTTGATAACTTTCAAGGTTATAAAAGCATCTGCGCATCAGTTGATTGCTGCCTAGTCTCTGAATAGCACTGCAGGTAATTGGGACTTTTCTTCGGAGCACAAGATACTTATCCTGTTGTCAATGGTGTATCACTTCATGTGATGTTGCTTTCAGCAGCTCTCATTTAAACCACATCCATCTTATTTTGTATGCAAATTTTCCTTTATTTAAGCAATCATCTCTCCAAATCATAGATGCCAAGAGACAGAAATATTCTTTTGAAGAAAAGAAAACCAGCCCACTGAACATGTAGTATAACACATGATTATTACTCATTTTAACAGTGGTACAGTAAGCTGCTTTAGGAGATGTCTGTTTACAAAGAGATCTCTCCACTAGGGACACATAAAAGCATGGCTTTTGCTTTTTGCATGTGTCAAAACATACACAGCATGCTGCAATGTATAATAATATTATAAATGAATAATTCATTAAGGGGGGCACAATGCTCAGATGACAAATGAAAACAAATACCATCTTCCATATCTACCAAGGCCCAAATGACTGAAAAAGAAAGAACTAAAAGAAGAGGAACACCTGGTACTGAACAGTCTTCAGAGAGAGATGAAATGAAAATTTTAAGCTGTAGTATAAAACAGAGAAATATGCTTTTCTGGGGATACCAGTGGACAGTAAGAAACAGATGAGCAATATTAGTGGTAAAAAATCCACCCAAAAAAGATGATGCAATCTGGAAGCCAGCTATGGCACTTCTATCTGCTTGGATAAGCAACATGATTTTAGCCAGACAGCCTACTCAGACAACTTGAACCACCCACTTCTGCTTCCAATCTTTACTTACCTTATCTTACTGTACAATTTGAATCAGAGAGAACAGTAACTTTCCTATCTGAACTCATATGAACAGTATATATTAAGGAATAATACAATAAATACAGGCTAAAACATAGGCTGAATGTATTTCTTAGAAGAAACTTATTAGCACTGGAGAACTCCATTCAATGACACTTTAACCTGAAATTTAACGATAAAGGCTTTATGACAAAAAGAACGATGTCTTTCACTATTTTGTTGTGCTTTTTAAACCACAACCTGTTTATTAAAACCCAAATCTGTAAGTAAAATGCTTGCTCTTGCTCACATAATTCAAATTTCTGTCATATGTTATCACACACTACATTTCTGAAAAGCTTCTGAAGGTGTAATTGCCTCTCTATCCTTTCCTTCTCACAGCATCTTCCAGCAGGTTTATTGCAAAAAAAAAAAAAATCTGTTATGTACGTTGGCATTTCTGCTCAATGGTCCTTACTTACAAACATGGGACACCACCTTTAGCATAAAAATATTAAGAAAAACTGACTTCAAAATGGAAGGAACTGCTGGCTTCTTCTAAAGAAATGACACAAGGTACGGGTAGTTTATTATTATTATTAAAATTATTCCCTGAAACTCTTCCTTATCATAAACTAGTGACTTTATTTTGTCATGATTTCACTACTGCCTGCCATGACAAGTTCCAATGGAAACTTCACATGAAGGTAGAGGTTGAAAAATAGAAAGAATAGTGAGTTTACACCCTCAAACTTTAGAACTTTTTTAAAAAGAAAAGCTACCCTTACTCTCCTATGGAAATATAACCACAGGACTGGACAAGAACAACATCCCTCAATTTTTGTCAATGCTCTGCCTCATTCAGTTTGTGTTCTTCACCACCTGCATCTTCTTCATTCCCTGAGAACTTTGGGGAGGAATTCTCACTTGGTGCATTAATCTGCTATTTCAGTCACCTTTTAAACATGAATTTTTGGGTGCATCAGGACATTTCCTATAAAACTTGCCAAAATTCTCTCCCCTTTATGTATACACATTACTGGAGAACCCTAAAGGTGGTGGAAGGTGGGGAGCAGCTATGCTGAAAAACACCTGAATTTCATGGATCATGCTGCACAGAAGCACCAGCTTATTCTTCTCAATGGAACAAGGATAATGTAGTTTAAGATTTTTTTTCTCTCCAGTCTAGGCAGTAAATTTGTCTTTTGACCATTAACTAGTTGAGTGTCCTGTACACATTGCCCACAAAGCAGCTCTGGAGGGATGTGATAAGTGTTAATTAGCAGGTGCAACCCCCTGCTGCAATGAATGGAGGCCCTCCCCATCTCCTGACTGACCTGTCATCTAATGCAGGTCACTCCAATCACACGAATAATAAAGTGTCTACAGAGAATAATTACAGTGAAAGCTCTCAAACTTGTTCTTGGGAATCAGCTTGACTGTCTGCCAATGTGAAGTGTCTAATACATGCAGCATTGAAAACAAATAGGAGGAAACAGGAAAATTACAAGGCCACAGTCTCATTGGGATCATGGGGACACAGTAGGGTAGCTCACACTACTAGACTGCTGCCATGGATAGAAACAGGCTCGTTAGGAAGAACAGGTTTGGGAGGCAGAGAGGGGGTGATGCCTTTAATGTGACAGAGCAGCAGGAATGCATGTGCTCTGCTTTGGGATGGATGATGAGCCAGCTAAAAGCTTATCGGTTAACATGACCAGGCAGACAACCACAGGTGCTATGCATGGCTGCTACAGACCATCTGATCAGGACACTTTGATCATAGACAAGCTAACAAAGCATGGGATAGGTAAGTGGGAAGTCAGGTGGGCTGCAAAGTGGCTGAACAGCCAGCCTTTAATGGTTATAAGCATGAATCCCTGTTGGAGGCCACTCCACTAGCAGCACACCCAAGGGTCAGCCCTAACATCTTTAATAGGGACCTAGATGATAGAACAGCGTGCAAGTTTTCAGATAACACAAGACTGGAAGGAGTGTTTGGAAGGAGTGGGGGGATTTAGCCCAATGATCTGCCTTTGCATGGTGACTAGCTATGACATTGGTCAGCAGTGGTGAGCAACTGCACTGTGCATTTGTTTCTTCTCTTTGTTGTTATTGCTTTTTCTTTCCCACCTTTTCCTTCTCTCCTTTTTTGTTCTCTTTCTTAATAAACTGTCCTTATCTCAATCCACAAGTTCTTGCACGTTTCAATCCTCTCCCCTATTCACACTGGGTGAGGGTGGAGGGGTGAGCAAACAGCTCTGTGGCGTTCAGCTGCCTGCCAGGCTAAACCACAGTGTGAGGCCACATCCGAAACCTTATTTCTGGGCTCACCAGTAAGAGAGACAGGGACACAGAGGAAAGCTCTGCAAAGAGCCATTAAGATGATTAAAGGACTGAAGCATCTGTCATGGGAGGTGAAGCTGAGTGAGCTGGATCTGTTTAGCCTCAAGAAAAGAACGGTCAATGGAATCTCATCAATCCTATATATAAATACTTGATGTGAGAGTATGAAGAAGGAACCTGAACCTTCTCAGTGGCATCCAGCAAACAGACAAGAGGCAGTGAAAGACAGTAACTCCTATTTAAAAGTAAGGAGTTTTTATTTTATTTTGTTGCTATTGTTACTGTTCTCGCTGTGAGGACAACTGGACACTTACACAGGTTGCACAGGGAACCTGTGGAGTCTCCTTCCTTCAGCACACTCAAATCCCTAACTGGACACAGTCCTGGGCAGCCTCCTCTGGCAGATGCTGCTTCAAGAAGCAGGGCTGGTCCAGGCACTGCAGAGATGCCTTCCAACTTTGCCTGTTCCAGACTCTTTGATGTAACCCAAGGGGTGCTCTCATCTCTCCTCCTGAACAACCACGATGCAGATTGAGGCTCTGCTTCCCAAGACGTAGACAAACCTCACTTGCTGATTGGAAGCCGAGAATAATTGTTTCCTCTGTTTGCTCCCACAAAGCCTTCGCTTTTTTTTTCTTTTCCCTGTAATTAAATTATCCTTAACTCATGAGCCTTTTCTTTCTCCATCATATTTTCTCCTGCCCTCTCTCTTTGAGGAGGGGGGAGTGAGAGAATGGTTGTGGTGGAGTTTAGTTGTCCATTGGACTGAAACCATCACAGCATCTTAACATTTGAAGGAAATAAAACTTATCTTTTTGAAAGACAAAAAAAGGTCTGTAGGACTGACATACTCAATTTGGACTACTGTCTTTGGTAAGTGCTGCTAAAGCTTCTGATCAGCAATAAGAAGTTGTGTTTCTGTGAAAATAAGTAAATCTGGATATAAATTGCTACACTTTAGATTCTTACCTGTAGTCCCCCAACACATCCTACATTACACCGAGATGCTGAACTAACACGTTTTATCCTCTGTGACCTTACAGTTCAAGAAAACAAAACCATTATCTAGTGCAACGACTATTATTTTTTCCACTTACCCCTGAGAATACAGAATCTCTGCAAACAACCAAATTGACAGTTTTATTCAGTTTATCACTGAAGTTTTCTTGCTTGAAACTGACTCTAACATTGCCAGTACACTGCTTTTCAAGCAAGGATCAGAGTCAATATGTTACCTTGCACTGGTTCCAACTTTAACAAAAAAAAGTGTTTTGAACTTGCAAGCTTACCTTTAACCCAATTTACTTTCCAGTAAGATTAGAATTGAATAAATACCTTCCTCAAAGAAAACTTAATATATTTTCCTTTACCCTTAAGATAGTTATTTGAAAACTAACAAAAAAAAAAAGCATATTAGACATGTTCCAGGTTAAATTACTATCTAAACATAGGAATAGACAGGTCCTTACGAAATACCGGCCACGTTTGAACTAAAATACATTCATACCAGTTAAATTTATGTAGAAAATAAAACCATGTGTATTTAAATAATTAGATAAATTATTTCTTACATTTTCTGAAGAACCTGCGCCATCACAACCCCATTCGTTAAATCTTCCACAGTCTGGCATGGTGCCTCGACATTGAACGTCTGGATCTGAGGGAGAACAAAAAAAGTTATCTTCTTTCACTTCAATGTCAAGGAATTTTTAAAACTAAAAAAAAAAAAGCTACCAAAGAGCAAACAGGCAGAGTAAACTCAACACATTTGGTGTATATATTAAAGAGTGTGAAACTTTAGGTTTAATCACAATTAAAGAAATGAACTACTGACATGGCTTAGCATCTTTGTTTTTGTAAGCACAAATGCTGTAAATGTTGCTTGACAACAGGACAGTCCCCAAAAGGCATTTTTCCCACAGCATTTTACTTGGACTGTCTCCCCTTTAAGTCCTTCTGGAGCATATATTCAAGTACTTCCTCCCAATGAACATACGTAAGTATCACGTATTTTAAAAGTAACCCTAATTACGCAAAATTCTCCCAGGTTCTCCACAGCCACAAGACCAAATTCACACAGACACACATACTCCAAACTTAACTGCTCCTAATATCAGATAAAGGAGCAAAGCACAATGCTGCTAAGCCCTGGCAGGTCCATAGAGTACTAGCGTTCTAATTATTTCAGTGCATTTAATTAACACAGTGACAGGCATTATAGTCCATATCATGAGAAGCCTCTGATCTTCAGATGGAAGCAATGATACAGAAGTGCTGTTATTCAGAAGCATAAAAGGGGAATGGCAAGGCCATTATGACTGAGCTGTTCGATGACAGAATTACTTACGCCTAAAGATGAGCTAGTTCATAACAAATTGCCCCTACAGACTGTGCACTGAACACACTTACTGAGACAAATCTAATTTTGTAAGGATGCTGTGTATTATTCTAGAAGTAAGGAATTATGCAGGAGCAAGAGCAATCTCTTAACAAAAAAACCCACTCATCGATACACTTAATTTCTGTATGGTTTCTATTCTTCTGCTCCATTTACATGCATACAGCCTACAGGCTATCTGCAACCCTCCCCCCACCACAGCAGCAAAAAGTGTACAAAAATGCCAGGGAAAGCTCTTTTTTCCCTTTCTCCATTGATGTGGAAAAGACATCGCTTCAGCACAGTCTTTTCAACTGGTCTAAGTTACCTGATCGTTTACTTTACATGAACGTTATTTTTTGGGGATGCAGATGGATTTTCTGGAAATGGTTTTTGTGACATGACATTTGGAGAATATCTGCTTAGTGCTCTCTGCTTTTATTCTCCTTCCAGGGAAGCCTGGGCTTCTTCGTAGGAAGCACCACTTGCATGTGTCAGAGATAAGAAAGCCTACAAGACAGCTTGCAACTTCAGGCTACATAAGCATTAGGTATACCGACCATTTTTCCTGAACACGTTGTACAACCTTCCCACTTCAGTGGTACTTGAAATGCTAATGTTGGTACAAGCCATTTCCCAATAAAAGCCCTCTGAATACATATCTTACAATACACTGCAATTCACATTACAAAAAATAATGTATGACTTTTTTTTTTTTGTGGAGAAAGCTCTCAAAAATCAAAAGCACAATATCCAGATTCTCATAACATAAAATAAGCACTTTAGCAACATTGCCATTTAAAATTAATTTGGAGAAGGAGCCCCTCAGTGTGTGTTCCTTTCTTCCCTTTGCTCAGGAAGGAAAAAAAACCACAACATTTCATTAGGAAAAAAGCAGCAATCATGTCCATCAAGGGCCAAAACCAGTGAACTTTTGGAACATGTTCAGTGACCAGGCTAAGCAGCTACCTGTGAAAAGTCATGAATGATGCACATGGTCCAAAACGACAAGAACAAAATCTACAGTATGGCATCCAAAACAGACTAAGTCAATTTTTATGTAGCTTGATTTGAAGTACACATTTTGTCACTTCTCCTCCAGAGAATCCAGAAGCCCTAATAGACGAACTAGACATAAGGCAAAAATCATTGTGGGTGGGTTGGAAAAAACAAAAAAAAAGGCAACATGAAAAACACCACACAATAGGATATAAAATCAAACTGCTATTTTGCCAGAAACTTCAGCTTACCTATAGTCTCTGAATTATGTCAACACTATCAAAGCAACACAGAGCCAATTCTGTGCCCAAATCCACAAATAATTTAAAATAGGAAATGACACTTTCGCTCCAGTGAAAGAGGTTGTAATGACTGTGTGGATGATTATACTTGATGAAGTTCAAGATCTTATAAGGGTAAAAATTTCAAGCATAAACATGTAAACTTGTTCCAAGTTTTCTATACTATTCCTTTAAATTACCAAAATTTCAATCCTTAGTCTGCTGTACAATCGCCAAATGAAAAATTAACCTAAGAAGTTTACTGCTTTTTTTTTTGAAACTAGACAAAGTAAAACAATATTTTCAAATAAGAAATACTGACATTAAGGTGGTCTTCACAAGTACTGCAAATGAATTTAGTTTCTTGAAATTAATTTTGCATCTTGACATATGAAATACCTCTTTGACTAAATAAGGAGTGTAGGTGAGAGATAGTACCACTCTGAGCCAAGAAGGGAGGTTGCCAAGCCTATTTCTAAGAGACAGAACAACAAGGTGCATAATCTCTGCAGTTTTGTAACTAATTTTATCATCATACTTTATAAGTAAGAAAAGGTCAAAACTCTCAGTGAGGAGCAGAACGGCTCAGGTTTCCAGTCCAAACTCTTTATTCCACACTCACGCATGCATAACTGGAACTGAGGACAATGATGCTTTTTTATTAGATGGCACAGAACAGAAAGAAAATTTAAAAATAATTTCCCAACTTAGTTCTTCACATACATTTTAATTTTGTAAGAAATATATTTGCTTGCATAGGAAAGGAATACACTGCATAATATTTCAACTCAGGTGTCAAATTTATACTACAAAGCCTGTATTTGGCTCTAAAAAGCCCTTTATCTTTTTCATATCCTTCAGATACATGAAAGGAACGTATTTTCTTCCCTCCAAAACTACACAAAATTTAAACACTTGTGTCAAATTTAAACTCCTAGTCCATTCTCAGATCGTTCTGCAAAAAGCTGAGGCACTCTTAAGAAGCAGCAGAATCCATTTTCCAGAAGGGAGAAGAATGACAAGAATGCGGCAATGCTGAAGCGGAGTCCAACTGCAGAGAGAGAGAGAACCAAGTAATTTTTTGTGTGCCTCTAAAGAGCTATTCAGCAATGGATGTTGACGCACTGCCCTTCCTGTGCATTGTAATGTGCTTCCCCTGGAAGACTTCTCTCTCAGCCTGCTGGAACTGTTCCTTCTTCTTGAGTGTTTGCAATACTGCCCTCATTTCTTACTCCCCAAAGCTGTAAATTCATTCCCACTCCCTATTACGATCCTTCTTTTTTTCCCCCTCGCACATCTTGTACCACTATTAAGGAACCTTGACAAACTAGGTGAACTAACTGCCAAGACAGATAGGGGGAAAACAAACAAACAAAAAAAAATACAAATGAACAAAACCAACCAAACAGAAAAACACCACTTGTATCACAGCTGCTGCCCCAGCAAGGCCTTCACATTTTCCATAAGCCTTTTCTCTTGTTACATGGTAGTTGTTTTTTCCTTGGTAAAAATATTAAACCAGGGCACCAATTCACTAGGCCATGAGCATGTGCTGTCAATTTTTATACAAAACTGAAAAAGAGTAGCAGGTGAATGTTTCAGTGCAAAGGGGTCTGTAACTGGGGAGTAAATAATTGCTGCAGAAACTCAGGACACTGGATGACCTGAGTTGCAGTTCCACATTACACACACAGCTAGTCAGGATTTGTTAGCTACCAGGGATAGGAGGGAGAAACATGTTTCATGAAAAAATAATCTTACATGAAGGTCAGAGAACTGAACAAACACTCGATTCTCAAATACACTAGCTGAAGACCAGGATAAAATTTGTGATGGGATATCCAGCACCTCATGAAGCAGGAAGAAGACGAACACAGGACAAACAAACCAAATCAAACAAAAAGACAAAAAAAGCTCTCTAGGACCCTTCACTTCTCAAGGCTAGAGTTAATGAAAGACCTGTTCCTTGCACGGTCTATCCATAGCTTGTTTTTTATTGCTGGTACATCTGCACAATAAATCTGTCATGTATTCTTCTGTAGTAATACCTGAAATCTGTATCAGAGATACTTAGCTCACAAAAACACTGGTTACCTTATACATAAAGGCAACAAAAGGTAATCCCCAGTTTCCAGATAGTTATTTTTCAGAGCAGAGTACTCTCCAACACTGCTTTAGAACTATTTATCCATTAACAACTATGTTTTTGGAAATGCCTATGCAAGATTACAACTAGCTGCACTATACAGCCTACATCAGTGCTCTATCACCACAAATGAAACAAAGCACACAACTAAGATGGAAAAAGTGACTAAAATGAGCAAGAGGAAGACAAGAACCCATCTCAGTGGCAGGGATACAGATCTCCACAAGCCAGTACCAAGAGTAATTGGAGGAGGGCTGCGTATTTCTTTCCCCACACATTCACCCAGTACTATCAGCGAGATCTGCAAGTACCCCACTAAAACACATTTCACTCAGCCTCGATGCCTGGAGAAAAACAGACCATCAATATTTCTCAGGACGGTAAGCTAATTACCTGATACAGGAAGCTTCTCCTCAAATTCCAAATTCCTGTACTGAGCCATACCTGTCAGAAGGGGAACTGAATTCCTATCCTGTAACTTGGTACAGTGCTTCAGGAGCACCTCAGCAAGGTTTCTTCATTCACCCATTTTTCTCCAGCCAGTTGGCAGCACTGCTATCTTCTGCCATACACTACTATCTTTTCTTGCTTTCCAAGATAGAAGAGCCTTGTCTGCTTTATGCAGACTGCTCAGACAAGCAGCAGTGTTATTCACAGATTTAGATTTTGGTATGTTTTTAGTGATTATTACGTTGTTGAACTCTATTTACTAAAATCTCAAAGAATTGCAAACCAACTTTATGTTAGGCACTCAAATAGCTAAACAAGGTCTTTACAGTCCTGGCTGTTGTAATTTCACACTGATGGCAAGCTCCACCACACAGCTCTCCCACTTCCCCACCTCAGATGAACAG